GACCCTAATTTGATTAGTGTATATTAGGAGAATAATAGCCTGTATTCTATCAATCTAACTTTTAGTAAGTACTGTAAGGCAACTATGAACCTACATTATTAATAGTAGACATTGTGTCAAGGGCTAAGAGCCGGTTTAACCTGTAACGTAAGTTTGGGCAGTAAGATCACTAAGCAGGTCTCAAAAGGCTATAGTGACTGAATATGAAAAGGGGAGTGCAGTAGAAATGGAGCTGTATCATAGGATAGACTAGTGTGTTGATTAGTATAAAGTTGTATAAGCTGCAGCTACGTCTAGTTTGGATATGACTTTGTGAGGGCTGTATAGTATTCTGAATACTATCTTAATTTATCCGCAGTCCAACCCGCACGGATATGAGGGCGGGTTAGATTAGCTAGTGGATTTACCTATAATCTGCATGGGCTGGATCACTCTAATGGACAGTGATAGCCCTACTGTAGTTATCACCGCTTGGTGATAATTCGCTATGCATCTTCATTCGCTGTTCGCCAATGTTGACTTTCATTGCCGCACTACTCTTCTGCAGCGATAAGGGCCTGTAAGCGAAGAGCATCTATTATCAAAGGTCTTTCGATATACTTCTATATTGGAGATAAGAGTGGAGATGTTGCAAAATCCGAATGTATAGCTTTTCCAGGTCCTCCGGCACACACCTCAGCCCATACTAGTAGCCAGACCTCTCAAAAAGAAGCTTTCGTAACTCTTCAATCATAAGAGATAAGAAAAGAGAAAAAGATTCGACGGGAATTCAATCCAACTGCCATTCTAATTGTGCCCAGGCATGAATAAGACTTCCCTGCAGGAGAAGCTGCTCGTCTGCGGTGGAAGCACGATCCCCTTCTATCTCTTCAACCTGAGTCTCACGATGCGCTTAAGCTTGCCCACCACCTCGTGCATTGCTGGCCATAGGTAGTTGACCGGGCTTTCGCTGCCAGTGAAGATAAAGATATCGTACACCGCGGCTCCAGTCATGGCGCCCGCCAGGTCTCCTCCCCAGCAGCCACCTATCCACCACCAGTTTCGGAAAGTTTGCCGTCCATAGCCAACCATCAATGCGACGAGTCTAGTTGCCATGTCTCTCATCGGGTTCATACATGGTCCGGTATTGTAACCTAAACTTAGACCAATCAATGTGTAGACGAATCCGATGATCAGAGCATTCATACCCGCACCAGGCGGAGAGTTTTGGTCATCACCGAGGGCAAAGACGATGCAGACAAAGGTCGCAATGGAAATAAACTCGCTCCAAAAAGCCGAGGAAACACTGATTTCCCTCTGTGGGATCGTATAGAATGATTGGCCGGTCAAGCTCGTCAGCCCTGGGTCATGGGTGTGGATTGCATCGTGATAGACCGAGTATGCGAGCCCACCAGCCGTGAGACTGCCGAACAGCTGAGCCAGCATGTAAATCCATACTTTATGCCACGGGAAGCCGCGATACACTGCCAGCACGATGGAAATAATGGGGTTTATGTGTGCGCCGCTAACTCCACCTGCCAGGTATATTCCAGCCATTGTTGCGAAGCCATTCGTCCAGCACAGGGTCTCGTAGGTGCCGTAGGACCGATTGAACCTGTAACTGAGATTCCCGCAAATTGCAAGGAAGATTGTGATTGTTGTCTGCGGCGTAGGTCAGTAACGAAGTGCCATGCATCCCCTGGATCTGTTCACTCACGGCGAGATACTCAGCGAGTATGTCCGGATATCGTGCTCTAAATTGAGCAAAAGCATTCCTATGCCGGTCATAGCTAGCTTGCCGCTCTTCTTCTTCTTCTTCTACTTCTTCTTTTTCCTCCTTTTTCCCCTTTGTTTCCTCTTCTGCAGCTTCTTCTTTGTTCTTTGGTCTTATTGTCGGCGATTGAGGTTCATCGGCATCAAATTTGGAGCGTCGCTTTTCGGATGATGCCCTATCTAATTTTTCTTCTGCCGTAGCATCTTGCGAGCCCAAGCGCACAGCTTCCCTAAGAATCTGAATAAGCTTTAGACTGATCACAAAGCTTTCCAGTCCTTTTGGCTTTACCTGTCTCTGCCTCTCCGGTAACTCTCTCCCTGTCCTTCTCCACGCCCTTCTCCCCTCTCGACGTCGGGTTCACGTCTATATAGTGCCTCCTGTTCTCGCTTTTCATGCCGACTGGCCTGACCCTGCCTCACCGTGTGCGGAAGGGACTCTGCTAGACCAAAAACTGGTGATGACCGAGGCTGACCGTACCAGGGATTGTTCATCGCGTATTCGCTTGATGCGTAGCCCTTGTACCGCTGATCTGGCCTGAAGACTTCTGTAGCAGCTGGAGGTTCATCTCTGGGGCGCCGACTTGCGGACCTACGCGCGGACCTATGCAGATGCGAGGGAGAGTGTCCCAAATCATCTGTCATCATGTTAGCAAAGCCAAATGATGGCTTTAGGGAATAGTTGGCGACGCAACCCTACCTTCTGCTAGTGACATTGTCTTGTTTCAAGCTCTTGGTGTCTCGGTATATTGATGATGCGTTCGCTTTCAAAAGTTGGAAATACTCTGAGAGATCGTGACAGGTGTAAAGGCAGTCGGATCAGAGGTACTCAATGCCTCTAAAATATCTGGGGAATTCACTCTGCTATGTGGCATACGTCAAGGGTGCGTAGCATCGTTATACTTCCTCAAAGTCCGGCTGAATTTCAGTGTTCATTGCGGGTTGTATAGATTCTGGAAACTATCTGCGCCACTTCCTAGCTTGATGGCCCCCTGTTTGATACCTTGTTCCCTTGGCGCTTCAGTGTTGACTTTCAGCATATAAAGCAACCTGACGCGCTTCCCTTATTTTTATGCTCTCTCCCTCTAGCATTTCCACTCGACATTCAGCGTATAATGAAAGCTCATGCTTGCTTCCCCCTTTGGACAGAAGATTTCTGAACTAGAGAGTTCGAAGCACGTTGCGATAAGCGCTTCTGAATGTATACCAGATAGCAGAGTATAATCCTATCACTTAATAAGAAGGTTTCTCTAACCTTGGGAAAGTTGTTTGTCTCCGTAAATTTGGTTCTTCAAACCACGCCGTTGTTGTCTTGTTGATAATGGCTGGCTGGAATTCCCTGCCGTCTCTATGGGGGGTGGGGAGTCTGGGGGCGGGGCCGCATAATCCACATTCCCTCTTACGTATGTGGTTTGCGCTAAGTACGGTGGAGTCGGGTGGACCATCGGAACAAAACCAGCCAAAACTTTTTTTACCATTGATACTGCGTACCTCCAAGCGGCCACACACCGCGTAGTTAGTAATCATCATGATAGTCTGATAATATATTGTTATAACTTCCTAAGGCCTGCAGGCCAGAGTAAGCAGTACGTCCGTATGTTAAACATTATTAGTGGATGTTATGCTAGTAGCTATTTTTAGATTTAATTTTAGTATTATTAATTTATTACATTATAGATAAAGCTTATGAAGTTATGATCTTATGATTCTTATCTTTAGAATTAATAAGATTAACCTTCCTAGGAATATTAACACACCTATAAGGCTATAATCTTCCTAACTATAAAGGATCTATAAGTATTTATATTATTTAGGATATTAGTAGATAGCCTCTTGATTACACTAAAGTCTCTAGTACTAAGATAATATCTTATGATTTTATCTTTAATTCTTTACTCTAAAATACTATCCCTCAGACCCTCTTTAGTCTCTAGTTCTCTACTAGGAGTTAGAATAAAAGATTACTAGATACCTAGTTATAATCTATGTAGAGGAGGTTTTCTAATAATATAGACTAAGATAATTAAGTTAGATCTACTGTAGACCTGGTAGTGCAGCAAAATGCGCAGATAGCTAAGACTAAGAGGCAAAACCGGTCCCCAATATAATATATAATACTTGGGTTATTAGGGATGAACTCTTTAGCTTTTTTTCGGCTGGCCATGAAACGGCCTTAACAATAACTTGTTAGGCCGTTAGGTACTTGATAGAATACTAGGAGGTATAGTAAATGCTGTACTCATTATTAAAGTCAGTGCATAAGCACGCAGCCGAAGCTGGAGATCTACCCACTGCTCAAGTGATTGTGAAAGCCGACATTCCTTACCTGGATGCCTTCATTGAAGAAAACCACCGCTGGGGGCAATTCTATTCCCACCGTCATAAGAACCACGACCAGAGACACTGTGGTCATCGGTCACCGAATACCGAAGGGGACTAATATTTTTATAATTATAAATAGATTTAGCTTTCAAACTCTAGTCTCTAGCTTTTATAGTGAATGAGTCTGCGCGCAGCAAAACTAATTAGGAATTAAAAGATAAGTATAGCATTTAGGATACTTCTGATATTGAAAGGTTTAGACCAGAAAGGTGGCTTATTAAAGATTATTAGCATAACTTAAGATTTGATCCGTGTGCTAGACCTTACTTTTTATAGGTTAGGGCTGTATAGTTACGTTAGTAAGTACTCCTATCTTAGCCATTACTCACTACGCTGAGGTGGCTTTTACCTTGTCAACAGAAGCTGACTTACTTGACTTTACAGGCATGAAGCTTGCTGTGTTGAAATTGAAGGTTATCATCACACTCATCGTGTGGAGCTTTGAGCTGCAGAAGACGCCTCCGTCATTATCTGAGTTTGGAGGAGATGACACGAACACTCACAGGTCGCAACAAGTCTACCTCAGACTGGCAGAAACGGAATGACCTTAGGTCAAATTAGGACAAGGCTATTAGGCAATTGCGAATTTGCCAGCAAACGCTATCACGGTCCTATAATTCAAACGAATCTTGGACAGGTTAATTCATTAACCTTGCCCAAATGTGGACAGTACGTGATTTGATTCCTCTGATGAACCTTCGCATGAGGTAGAAGGCCTTCCCAATCGACGGCAACTGCACTTGTTATGCCGCGAGACCAAACGGTGCGAAAGCAACTTTCAATGGGCATCGGGACTCGGGCAGGAACAAAAATTAGAAGAATGCAAGATTGCAGGTGTATGAACGACGTTGGTTTACACAGACTGAGACTTAGTTCAGCACACTATCACTACCTATAGCCAAGGCTTTGTCGAAGACGCGAAGAGTGTGCTCCCAGACTCTTTCTGGCCATCCGCGTTCTCTATATTTTTCCAGCACGCCGGGTGCGGAGATTTGGTCACTTTTGGGGCTGATGCGCCATGCGCCTGGACTGTATCTGTCACTGGTCAGGTGAAAGGCTTGTCTCTCGCCACTGTCTTCCGCCGACATGCCAAAAATCAACATCACCACAGTAACAAGGCCGCGGATTGCTGCCAGCGTTACCCTCCATGCTACTCCAGATGACACTGGTGCAGTCCGCCGGGCGAAGATGTCTGTCCTCACCCAACCAGGAAAGGCGTGCAGGAAGGTTATCTGCTTATCATTCGCAGCAAAGTGCTCAAGCGCCAGGCTGGTCATAGTGGTGGTGTGGTTAACGACTGCGAGCGGGGACCAGCGCTGCTCAAGGCCGATGTCTTCGTCATGCATGGACTTCTCTCTGCCTCCGTTAAGCACGGTCAGGACTCGCGGCTGCGGTGACTGACGAAGGAGTGGCAGAAGGTTTCACACGAGCCGCATCCTGGAGTAGTATGAGATCGCGAAGCATGTCTCAAGGCCCTCTTTCGTGTCTACGCGACCTGTCAGTGTTTGAAGGCTCAGGACCTGGGGACACGTACATTGTGGTCCGTTCAGTCATGTATAAGTAATCCACCTTCTGCTCAGCAGCCGTGATCTGGTTGCACACGGAATCGACATTGGAAAGTAGTGAGACCTCAGCTTCAAGAAACACAACCTTGCAGCTTGGATTGAGACTTTCTAGCTTCGCATGCTGGCTTGCAAAACGCGCCGCTGATCTCCCGAGGACATAGAACGTTGGTGCATGCAGCATAAGTGCCATCCTCTCGAGCGTGCTAGCGCCGATGCCGCTCGTGGCACCAGCGAAGACGCAGACGAGTCCTGCATGTTGCTCACTGGCGAAGGGCGCGTTACACTCCCTGATTGCCGTAGTCTCCACCATGCTTTGCGTCAGTTTGAAAGGGGCTTCGGTGCGCAACTCTCAAAGTTGGCAATACGAGGAAAATTTGGGAGTTGACGGGGTACCGTATAATCTGCGTGGATTTGTCTTTGCGCTAGCAGAAATTAAAAACATTGGTGGTGGGAGAAGGGGGGGGGGGGGGGGGGGCGGCTTCCTTCCTGCTGCCCCGCTCATAAGTATCGGGGAAAGCGCAAACCATCACGCACATGCACATCACAGCGCGCGAAATGGGCTTCGCCTAATTTACAATGGATGGGACATTGATCGATTGCATTTGATAGGTCTGGGGCTTAGCGCCCGGTCGTCGGACTTGGCCAAAGGATTAGCGACACTCGGCACATTACTATAGCTCATTTCTCCGTGCGAGTCTTGACGGACGCAGCCGGACTATTCATCCCATTTCGGGCTGGAAAGGAATCATCACGGAAGATGTACTCCAGTCTATCCAGGTACTTTTGTTAGTACGGTGGAGCTTACAAGGGTCACAAACTTGTTAGGCGGTAGGTACATAAAACCGCCTTCTAAAAAATGGGTTTGCGTTGGCGTGTATGCGATCACTAGGGCTTTGGTGACCTCCTATCGCCTCTATCTGCATCCGTTGGCAACTTTCAAGGGGCCAAGAGCGGCAGCGATTTCCAGAAATTGGGTATACAGAGTCCTCACTGGTCCAAGCCTACCAGAGACAGTCTTTGAGAAATTTCATACAAATACAGTCAGTCCAGATTGTTCATGATATCCCCTAGGTTAAGGCAAAATTGCTTACCTTCGATTGCAGGTGTGAAGGTGTTCCTCTCATATATGGTAACTAGTGGGTCATGTAATGGTCATTCACGTTATGTGAGACTCATTCAAATTAAAGGAATGTTTTAAGTTCGTGTAATTTCAATGCTGGGCTCTACTAGAGCAGCACAAGGAAGCAATTTAACGCGCCGTGTGCCGCTAATCTTTTGGGTAAGCCCCGAACCTATCCGATATCATCAGTTAATGATACACATATTCTATATATAGGGGGACAGGGGTCATATCAGAATATGCACTATCATATCCGCACTACACATCAATTGCCCCCAGTGGCAAAAACCGGTGGCTTGAAGCCGACTGACAGGGGCTAGAGGCCTGGTGAACCTGCCTATGTCCGCTAAACCCGGGGGCTGCTCCGTATACATTTACGCCAATATAGAATGGAATGGATTGCACCTCAATGGTCGAACAACCTGCTCATGTGCACCAATTTTGGCCAAGGCAAGCATCCCTTAGGATCCCAGCAGAATTTTCAGCTCAAAATTAGACCTCCGATCCTCTCAAACAACTCTGGCCTTCTCGAACCATTAACAGCCTCGCATCCTTTGAAATGGCTGCATTCGTCGAGGCTATAAATGCGAGGATTAGATCCAGTCCGATATTAGACTACATTTGCTCTACCCGTACGTACCCACTGATTTGAACCCTTCTCAGGCTATCCCCGATAAGCCCGATGACGGAAGATTTGGTCTTAGTCTGGAATGATTAAGTCATGTGTCGCATCGTAGACTTCTGGGACCCGGTATCAAACTTCGGAATCTCGGTAGCGGCTATCATGGACACGCAAAAGAGTCCAGAAATGTAAGGCTTTGTCTATGCAAGGCTCTATCAGTGATGTGGTTTCTGACTCTTGGCAGGATCTCAGGTAAGATGACGGGTGCTCTCTGCATCTACGCGGCCACTTTCATGCGATACTCCCTCGCTATAAAACCCAAGAATTACCTCCTCTTCCTGTGCCACTCCGCCAACGCAGGTGCTCAGCTCACGCAGGGCTACCGCTACCTACAATATCACCACTGGGGTGGGAAGGAGAAGACGGGTGGTACATATGCCGTTGATGCGGCGAAAAAGAAGATAGCCAAGGTTGAAAATAAGGCAAATGATACAGTAAGTAAATAAGACTGGACGTCTTGAGCTAGAAGAATGAAGGGAATCCATGACCAAGTCCAAGGTTGACAGGGATATACGCGGCAGTGGTGGTTATGGATCGTAGGAGGTTTCCCTCGCGAAATGGGATATTTCCGGCGGCTGGTGGTCCAATCGCCACATCCGGCCTGTATTATCACTCCAGCAATTTTGGGATGCTCCCTATTTATGATGTTAAGCAGCATTGCAGCCACGGCACAGAAGACAAGGTCTTTGCGAGGCTGCTCCAGGTCGACACAGCCTATCATTCGCACCACATGCTTCACTGCGCAGGATCGTACATGGCCTCAGCCCCGGCTGTGTCTGCTGCGAGACTGCGGATTGCTGAGCCTACAGGCGCCGATGCAGACATAGAAGCGGTATCGCCTAGTAACAAATCGGCCAATGGTGCAAAAGAGTGTGTATTGAGGAGAACGGGGAAATCTGGCCAGCTAACTAACATCAGCGCCCAGGTGCCAACTAAAAGAGGTCAGTAGCCAGCTAGTCAATACGAATGGAGTGTAATACCGTGTCGAGCTTGTTGCCGGGAGAGGGGGGAGTTGCACGAGAGTACAGGAGTGGTCAGCTACACAACACCTCGTGAGTCAAGATAGTGGATGCCGTACTGAAGTTTGCGGAGGCCTCACAACGGGTTCGAAATCGGGTGCCACGAAACCAGTTTGACAACGTAAGCGGCAATTAGGCCGCAGAAGGTCTTGACGACGCTCTAACTTCATTGTTCGAAGTGGCACACTCTAGGCGTAAGCTTGCTTTCTCTTTCGGGGTTGAGGAGGTGAGGACGGAGAGAACGAGGGGGAGATTTAAGCTGTGTTGGTGGAATATGTATACTGGCATGGGGCATTGGATGTGGGGAGTGTGATTACTTGTATACTCTGATACATATTTGCAGCCTTTTAGCGTATTTGGATTGGGTTGAATTGCACTTTGGTGAGCAATTGATACCATTATTGAAAAAAGAGAGTATGGGAATTGAAGCTTTGAGGTTTGCTTATGCTATGACAGGCCTTGCATACGCCGATCTCGAATTTCGCTAAACTATAAAAACTCATAAAAAAGTGAATGTAAAGCAATATTCTCAAAATATCACCCCTCGATCTGCAAGTTCTTCCCAACCTCAATCTGCAACAATCTCCTAACAGGCCGACTCTCCTCCCGTTTCGATCGATCTTTCACCAACTCCAGAATGACGCCCTTAAAATTCACCGCCAAATCTTCCCAAACAAACTCCGGATTCAATGCCTTGACGAAAACACACATCGCGGAGACGGGAACATTTATAATATTGCAGACTTCTTCAGCGGAGAGGTTCTTCTGCATGGTGCTAATGAATTCCGCCCGTAACGACGACTCAAATTCCGCGAATTCATCTTCTGTTTCAATCATGGCCCTTTCCTCTTCTCCTAGAGTATTATCTAAAGTAGCAGGGGCTGTTGGCTCTAGCTTCTCGCCCGTCATAATCTCATGAAGAAAGTCCTCATCGAGAGGCTCGATGCTACTTCCAAATTGGCCCTTCTTGCCCACCTGCCACGGAACACGCTTATTCTCCGCATCGCCGAGAACCTGTCGCGTAAGTTCGAGGTTCTTAGTCTGAATGTTGGGGTCAATATCGTTGAAGTCTGCGGCTAACAGCGCTTTGTACAGCTTCAAGTTTTGGATTTTCAGCGATTCAGGCTTGACGCGCCACAGCGCCGCGATTTCGACATGTTTGGTCATTATCCCTTGGCAGGCTTCTTTCATCCGTGACCAATCATTTCTCTTGCATGCTTCGCAGACTTGCTTCTTTAGTTCCGCGAAGGCTGCGGAGCGGGAGGTGTAGACGCTCGCGGCGGTGAGGTCGTCGTTGACGCACCGTTCGCCTCCCTCTGCGAGATGGTTCAAGTATTTGATCATCCTAGTGTAACCCTGCGACTGTCTCTCCAGCTTATGCGGCAGCTGCGCGAGCAGCCGAGCCGCGACGGGCTGGAGATCAATATCCTCCGCCGTAAGCATGCGCATGAAGATGGTAATAATAGTGCGCGAATGCTCGAGCTGGATATTCCTCAGCTTGCAGAACTTCTCCATCTCAGCCGTGCGGCTTGCTTTGACTCTGGCTAGATTCTCGTTCTTAGTCACCACCCGAATGATGGCTTTGTCGAGGAGTTTTTCTAGATTTTCGTGGAATTGTTGGAGTGGCCAGCCTGTATACGGGTATAGTGCGACCGCGTTTTCATACCAGATCCACTCAGCGGAGCTCGTGGGGAGGTCGTATTGGGGATTCAGACCGAAGAGTTGCCAGACCATGCTGAGGGGACGGATTCCTGAACCGGCAATTGTCAAGAGATTACCGAAGAGTCCGCGCATTAACCTTGTGACGGTATCCTCGGCCTTGTCTATTTCCACGGGCTTAGATGTCCTCATCGCCGCGAGTTTCGCCATGGCGGCCATTAATAGTGCGCTCATTAAATGGCCAGTCTCTGGGCTGCTAGGTTGAATATCATGTTCTCTGGACGCGACTGCTTGGCCAAGTGTGCTTCTCATGATAATTCGGAGCGCGGCGATGTGCGGTTCATTGCATTTCTCCATCCATCGCACTGTGTAGGGGCTTTTCAGGTCGACGAACTCATCCCAACAGACCCAGGCTAGCATTGATCCGGTTCCTGATGACTGGCTTAGGTAGGGTAACGCCAGGATGGGCTGGGAGGGTCCTATGGTGCTTTTGAGTGGGCCGTTGTGATTGGTTTGCGACTGTTCCATGATGATGCCTGCGTCGAATCCTTCCAGGTGCAGGATTCTCGAGTCGAGGGCGCAACATTGGCTAGAAAAGTCAGTGTCATTCAAGCTGTACTTTAGATGGCTTGATGGGGGGGAATTGCCCACAAGAGGACTGACTCCAAGCTGTTTGCGCATACCTGGCATCAATGGCGCGGTTTTTCAAGTTACCCAAAAGCTCACGATAAGGCGTCGTCTCAATATTCAAAAGCATAACACCCATATCTCCCGCGTATTCCTCAAGGTATCCCGAGAGAGTCTCAAAAGTCATGGACTTTACTGCCTCGACGTTGTTTTGAATGGTGGTTTGGCGAACAAGGCGCTTCAGATCGTGGGTTCTCTTGGAAGTCGTTTGAGACGATATCATGTTAGCCAGGCATGAGATCACCGGCTCAAGGGCCTTTTGCATGTCCTTTGTGACCTTTCTCAATTCGCCAAGCATGTTATTCTTCTTCTGCACCGATTTGGGATCTCTCATACGGTATTCCTGTGTTAGGAATTCGGTGTAGCTGTCTCTTAATGGAGCTGCAACCTTGCCGATCTTGGCGGAGAGTGCAGTCACCAGGGCTTTGGAGAGTTCTTGGAGGTCTTTCTGGTTCAGAAGCACCTGGAGCTGTGGAACTACTGCAGGTATGTCGTCTTCCAGGTTTTGGATCTGGTCGACTGAAATTTCTTCAAACAACTTCTGTAGATCTTGGGGTTGGACTAACTGGCCAGTAGTGGGGAGGATGACCGGATTTGCGTCGTCGAGGTTAATGACTCGCTCTATCCTCGGATCTAGGATGGAGCCGATGCCTACAGACTCGAGTACACTTGTTATATCTGAGCCAAATGCTAGTCCCGACGTATTGAGGTGTGCCCGGTTGGCAGTGCCTCTGTAGAAGTAATACTTCTCGGAGATCTGAACCAGAATCAAGGACTGTGGTCCTGCAAGTGCCGTCACTGCATTAATATTCGCCGAATCCATCAACGAAAGGATACCATTGGTATCCTTGGGCTCGGTTTCTGGAGTGAGTTGTACGATGAAGAGTGCATTGATTCGGTAGGCAGAAGCGAGATTCCGGGCATTATCTGTCATCCGTTCGTCGACGATCACCACGGCATTCTTGAGTTGCTTATAGTAGTCCCGGAGTGCATCTTCATTGGGAAAAGGGACATTCGAAGGGACTGTTCCGGTTGCAAGTAGAACTGGGCCTTGGAGCTCGGTACCAAAGATGCATGGCAGAACAATAGCGGAGGGCTCCTCTCTCGTGGGTACCTCCTCGTCTGGTAGTTTGAATTCAAGACCGGTGCCGAACCGTATGATCTGTGCTTTCTCCAGATCAATGAACGAAGGAAGAACAGCTGAATCGGTGGTAAAAATGGCATTTTCTTTGGTGATAACCTTACGCAGGTTTTCAGAATTTGACGCTGTGTCCTCTTTGACCGAATCATTCACTGGGGCTGTTTTCGTATACATATTAGCTTTGCTCATCGCTTCGGTCGTTGGGCGATGGTGATTCTTACTTCGTGTAGTTAGTTCAGGAGTACACAGAGTGAAATCGGCGCGTTTTATCGCTTCTGGGAAGGCAGGGCTGATCAACTTATCACTGTCGCACATCATGCCCCGATCCGTGGTTGCGGTTGGTAATATCGAACAAATTAACGAGTCTCCATCGCGCTTTATCACCAACGGGCAACAGATTGTTGCATCCCCGATTGTCGCTGCGTCCAAGGGCACCGGGATGATGTAAAGAACCTGTCAACGATGAGTCAACTAATGCTAGAGACGAGGCTAGTTTCTGAACTTACCTTATCCATATGATCTGCGACTAGCAAAGCAGGGTGTGTTCCCAGAAACCTTGTGATGAGTGTAGACTGGTAGCCGGAGATGAACACGCAGATTTCTTTCTCTGTTAGAGAGTTCTTGTTTATCTTCACATAATCGAGGAGATCCTGTCCATTGAGAATATCTCCGCTGTGGGTAATTCCCGGGAAGGTATTTCTTGCAAGCCAGCAGCATGCCCTACACGATTCATCGGCGAAGCAGAAGTCGTAGTAAGTGGGGGTTCGTTCAGAAACTGCAAGAATCGTAATTTGATCTGAGACGATAGGGATTCTAAATGTTGATGCTGGTGCTTGCACAATCTGGAAGTCCTCGAATACCTCTGCATGTTGTTAACATTTCCTTCTCCATCCATATACTCACTGTAAGGAGAGGACATACTCAGATGGGACTCAAAGCCGGCCATTCGCCGTAAAAGGATCTCACCCATCTCGCCCAAGTCTATGGCATTAAAAAAGAAGTTTTCCGGGTAGGAAGAGATATCGATTTCCTCAATGCCATTTTCTGTCCGACAAAGAAGGATTTGCTCCGGGCTGAAAGGGTGTGCAGAGCCGACTGGGAGGTCTTCCAAGATCTTTTGAACCTGGGCCTTCGAGGTCGCGAGAGGGTTGAAGAAGGTTTTCCTTACTCGCTCCATGGTTGCTGGAATGAAGCCGATCGCGAGTAGTGAGAGTAAATGCGAATGCTCAATTAGAATGCTGGCCGGATGAGCAGAGTATTTGTACCCCCAGCTGGTCGATCTATCCCACTTCTCGCTTGTACCACATTATGAGTCAGTGCGGGCTCCCAAAGTCGATTAGCATGAGTTGAGGTGTGACTGACTAGGGCTGTGGCCGAGCGCCGATTGCTTGGGAGCCTCAGGAGGACCGTTAATAAACGGTGTCTAGTAAAGCGGGGTAGTAAAGTACACCTGAAATTAGTTTAGTTCCATTTGTGTCATACAGAGTACTAGGGGATTCTTAATCTTGACACTCTGAGAATTGGGAGCTTCAACCCCTTCCCTACTCATGTAAGCTAGGACACCCTAATGTGTCCTCGCACAGTCTGCTCCTTTATATCTTAAAACTAATTCATTTCATCTTTTGGGATTGGCTCTTTATTAGATTAGTTCATTCTCGCATACAGTGCCATCCTGTATCAGCATTCCGTGAGATATAGTTACTGGCGCCAGGCACCAAGCACCAAGCGATGGATTCCATTGAACATTACGGTATTATTATGACGATGACTCATTATAGACTGGAAAGTGGTATTCATGTAATTTCCAACTGAGTCGCGAACCCAAACACATTGCAAATGAAACAAAATACAACCTAGTATCTCAAACAACAATGGCCGATGCAGCAAGATGAACGTGGGACTGAAATGACCATCGCAATGACCGGGCTATAGACTCCGCGACCAGAGCAGACGACAGATTTACCAACCTTGTGTGACCCCAATCCTAGATTATGCGTCGACGGTCTGGCATGACCCTCTCTGAGACAAACCCACCTTTACCACTTCAACACAGTCCAGAGGAATACACTGATCACATCTAATTAGCATCTAAAATAGCAGCCGCCACAACCCTAGAGGAAAAGGCCCGCGTCCTCCCACTAACCTCCATCTCTACTATCAAGCCCCAAATCACCATCACAAGGCTCTGTGGATGCATTGATATTCCGAGTCTATACGGGTAAGCACTATTAATATATAACTTAAACCTAGGCAGAGGCAGATATCAGATCCACCACCTTCGTAGTAATGGCATACCATACGTTACCACCTGGAAATATCCGGTCATCAAAAAAGGCAGCATGCTCATCCACCACTCTCACTCTGTCCATGCCTTTCACTTAAAGATCTGTGTTAACTACCTCCCCCATTACTATAGTAGCTCCTAGATGTTTAAAGGATTTTCCTCATGCGCACCTAGGCCTTAATGTCCTTATCTACCAAGTCTAATGTAAGGGGCTTAAATTTCAGCCCTATTACTTCACTCTTAATCATAGCCTTCTCTTCATGAGTCTCCTTTAATAGTTATAACACCTAGTGTACTTCAGCGCACAGAATTATGCAATCCACTTCTATTACATAGAAGTTTAGATTACATATCAGCGCAACACTTAGGTCCACTAATATCAGGAAAATGCAGCCTCACAATGTTGGTACTATAACTAATACTGCTAATACAATATGACGTGCTATCTATTAAGATACCTACCCCTACAATATCCACAAATGCAGATGCATACACAATTAACATCTTAATATAACTAGCCTTAGGTGATAAATATGGGCGTCTATTAAGCTCCCCTGTTTCCCCATCAACCTTAAGCGCATGCTTAAGGTCCCCCTGCGGTGCCTGAAGCATCATAATCCAGTCATAGGGAAGCCTACTCATATACACACTCTAGATGATTCCAAAGTGAAATCCCCATCCACAATCCCTGCTTAGGGTGTCGCAGATTCCACCACTATGTGAAAGAAATTGTGTCCCACATCTGGATCAACTCCCAGCTGGCAAAGTTTTACCAGAGATAAGCCAAACTTTTTGCATATGGCCATGTGTCTGAAGGGCATCCAGTGCTGGAAAGGGCACCTAAATAATAGTTTATATAACTACCCATTTATTATATAATTCTGCCTATGTTTCATCTTACTACCACTCTATTACTGAGTCCTGATAATTCTGGTGCTTATATACACTATTTAAGGTGCATGACGGTGGTGTCTTTGAGCCGAGGACGTCGGGCGTTTGCGATTTCGAGAAGCTCGATGCCATGGGCTCCGCACTGATCGCTTCCTATGAACTCCCCAACAGCCGAACGAATGGCACAAAACTGGCGCATGAACCAACTAACGGCATTGCAAAAGCGATCGACAAGGCCGCAACGTTGACAGGACGCAAAGTGCTGTTTGCTGCAACCACTGCAGTGGGAGAACGTCCAGGCTGGATTACTGTGCATCCCCTCGCTCAAACTCAGGCCATTGGTTGACTAAGACACATTGATACAAGCATTCTGTTGCGTTTTTCCAGCGTGGGAGTGGACAACATCTTGCCGTGCCGGGCCGAGGATTGCGTGGCTTAGAATTTCGATACCAGCTTAATATCTCACCAACAGATTACCATCGCGGCAGCGTACGAGATGGCACCACCAGCAAGAGTCAGGGCTGTAGTGTTGATTACCAGCATAAATGACGCGTCTTGAGACCATCGAAACAATGAGCGCCTTTCCACCGTGCTGGTTCGGAAGCGAACGGGCCCGCTGAGCGTAACAGTGTCACCCCTCGATGCCCTGGAATCTTTATTTTATGGTCGGGATGGCTGGCGAACTGAGTCGATCTCTTTGTCGCGTTATGGTCAACTGAGGTGCCCGTCACATTGCCCTAGCCAGCCGAAATCCCGTCAGCGATGCAAGCTGGCTTGCGGACATCTGGGTGGCTGGCGCCGAGGTACGAGTCGTGAAAATGGGCGTGGCGGACTAGTCACAGGTTCGGGCAGCGGATTCCATGGTGCGAGATACTATGCCTGAGTTCGCGGGTGTAGCGAATGCTGCGCTCGTGCTCAAGGACACATTCTTTGTCAACACTGCAGCCGAAAGTTGACGGTACGATACATCTGAACGAGCACTCTTCCAACTACAATGTGGATTTCTTCATCACTTTTTCATCCTTAGAAAGCGTGTACGGCAATGCCGGCCAGTTCATATACCACGCCGCCAACATGTTCGTGACGAGCTTGGTAAACAAGCGAAGACGTCGAGGCCAAGCGGGATCTGTAATCAACATCGGAATGTGGACTTGGGATATGTCGCCAAGAGCCGGCACCAACATTGAGAACATCATACTCGCAATTCTACATGCCCCTCGCCGAGACAGAGTTCCGCCATCTCTTTCTCCAAGCAGCGCTGTCCGGTCATCCAGACTCAGCCAATGCAGATGTGACCATGGGCGTTCAGCCTTTCATTGACGATCCAGAAGCATCCGTGAGACCGCATCATCCGTGCAGGTCTAGAGCACTCCTGTGCTTCTTAATATAGTATAATACTATTTAAAGGCTTATAAACTTGATATCCCTTAAGAGTTAAGTTTAAAGGTAGTTAATTATTATAATAATATCTCCTACCTGTTCTAAATCTAGTTCTTTATTTTATAGATCTCTAAATAATATAGGATTATACCTGTAACTAGTAGAAATGTGATTTGCTGAGTTGACAAGTCAGATTGGTAATTGGTTTCACCCTAGGGAAACCGAAACCGGTGCATTTTCAAAGGCCAGGAACCACTGCGAGTGCGGGGAGGGTTGATTAGAGTCGCCGTGATATGGCCGGGTTATTGATATTCCGGGACGAAAGCGGAAGTACTACGACCCCATTGCTAACAGGTCATTACCATCGATGACAAAATGTACCCACCCCCTTCCTCATATAGTCTGACGGCTGCAAAGATGCAGTTAGTCCGTGCATACACGAAATAACAACTGCTTCTATGTTTCCAGTGGGCCATAGCTTAAAAGTTTTCGTAGGTGTCTTGGTGTCCTTTATCCTCAGCAGCCTTTTCGTCGCCGCGCGCCTTGTGAGCCGATTTGGCATTGTCAGGCGCCATGGCTGGGACGACTACACTATTATAGTAGCGTGGGTGAGTGGATTCCTCCCTGAGACTGGAACTGAGATTGATGTATTTGTCAATCCAGTTCCTCGCCTTTGGCATGTCCTTTGCCGTCGCCTTTTGCACTTTCAAAGGCCTAGGGCTTCCTGAGGAGAACATATCCCCAGCCTGGGTCGACCCACTGCTCAAGGCGAGGTATGCTGCGATCGTGCTTTACAACCCGGCACTGAATGTCACCAAGGCCTCGATCCTTTTTCTTTACATTGACATTGCACAACGCGCACAGAGGTTCTTATACTTTGGCTCCTGTGTGACCTTCGCTGTCGTCCTCGCCGGTGGTGTTGCCTTCACATTCCTCACTGCCTTGCAATGCCGCCCCATAAAGGCCGCCTACAATCTCACCATTAAGAATCCTACCTGCGTGCCAATTGAGACTATCGACCTGGCCATCGTCCCTGTCAATGTCGCCACGGGCCTTGCCATCCTAGTCCTACCGATCCCCGTGCTAACGAAGTTGCACCTACCGCTTGGTCAAAAGACCATACTGTTGCTGCTCTTCATACTGGGTGTCATCCTTATCATCGTTGCCGATGTCGTGCGTACCTATAACTTGCAACTGGCGGCCATCAATCTCCGGCAATCAACCACCAGGCCTCCCGTCAATCTTAAGTTTCTCGAAAGTGCGAGTTCGACAGCCCTGTGGTCGACGGTTGAGGTAAATGTGGCCATTGTCGGTGCATGCATCCCCACCCTACTGCCGTTGATCAAGCGGTTGATCCCGAAGTTGCTTCGTTCTCCAAGGAGCAGCAACCGCCAGATGCTTCCTTCTCCTTCATCGCTTCCCGATAGAGCTGAAGCTGGTTCATCTTCTCCTAATGAGCCTCATCGCCATCAGTCGAGTTCCATATCACTGCAAGCTGACTATCAGGAGCAGCTACAGCCGCAGATATGTACGACGTCTGAGGAAGCACAGTCGCCCTACCAACGCAGTGATGTATCTACATTCTCTAGAACTGTCGGATTTGAGCGGTCCAGGTGCATGCTTGACATGCGCGGCTCAGAATCCGTCAAGTACTGTGTGTTAGTTGCTTTTCTCCTCTTCCTGGAGGGATTCATCATTGTCTTGCTATCTTCCGTCAACAGTAACATGCCTGTCGTGGAAAATGAAACTCAAGCCATAGGCGTCACCTCAGCCACTTATGCCGGCGGCGCCTTTATCGTGCCCTTTATTGGGTATTGGCTTCTACGTCACGCTGGATTTAAGGCCACGTTTGTGGTAGCATTGGCTATAATCTGCACGGGGAACCTGATATTTTGGCCATCTGGGGCTTTGGGTTCCTATCCTGGGTTTATTGTCGCCAACGTTGTCGTCGGGACAGCTGCGACTTTACTAGATATGTCGACGATCGCCTTCCTTACACTTTGTGGACCAACGCAGTATGCTGAAATCCGCGTACTCATGGGGTTAGGCGTTGGTTATAGTGGTTCGGCTATAAGTTTTCTGCTTTCAGAGAAGATCTTCTTTGCACATGTGGCTAACTACGATGGAGTGATTGCCATCCAGTGGACTTACCTAGCAGTTGCTCTTTCTATGGTCCTGTTAGGACTCTTTTACTACTACTTGCCGCTTCCTGAAGCGACGGTCATGGATCTACAGAGCCGAGATAACAGGCTATGGATAGACCCTTCACAGAGATTCTTTGGCAAGCTTCCCGTCTATATCACAACGCTGGCTCTAGGTGTCCTTGCCGAGTTCTGTTCAACCTCTACACTATCGAGTATCCGAACATTCCTTGATCCTCTCCTTAAAAGTGTTTCTGGAAGCACTCAGACATCTCCACACCTCTCAGAAGTAAATTTGAACCTCGCTATATCTGGAATATATGCTGGGAGTCATTTTATCCTTTCCTGCTTGTGTCTTTTCATCCAACCACGCATTCTCCTGCTTTTGCTTTTTGCCTGTGGTATCACATTCTCTGCGCTGATCATTTGGCTGGATTTCTCCGACGCCCGAACAGTCGAATATTTAGTGCTTCTCTTTTCCATTCCATTGGGCCCAATTCCAAGCTTAACCTATGCCATAGGATTGCGTGGTATGGGCAGCTGGACGGTGTTTGGGGCTAGTGTACTCGAGGGTGGTGGCAACCTTGGACCTACCATCTACCCCTGGATCATGTGGGCAATAGTACGGGCACCCAGCCATTCCGTCCAATTTTCTTTCTGTGTAATCTTTGCTGCCTTGCTTGTTGGGATCATTTTCCCGCTTTACCTCAACCTGGTACGCACTGCGCTACCGCATGCTAGATCCCCTGTCTGTTCTACGGGGTTATTATCCGGTGGCCACTCTGCTCACCCATAGCGACCCTGGGTTATTACCTTCTATATCAGTTCCTCTGAGCCCTTCTGTAATTGCAGTCTAGCGGCTATCCGCTTTATACCAGTTTTATCCTTTCCTTTTGTCCTTCGGTAGGTTCATTGTATCATAGCCAAGACCAAACAACCTACGTTTCTATAACAGCGACTGCATAGCAAGAGACTACCTAAGAAGCTCAAGCTCTTACTATCTTATAGGGTAATCTAGATGTGGCTTTCCATTTGCAGTGTAATGGTCTTTGCGGGCAGCTTTATTATAAGGAGAGCCACCATCCACCGCTTGACATTTTCGGCTGTCTGCAACACTGCCCTAGCTAGTAAGCATGGCCCGATGCTAAGAAACGTATTATATATAAACTGTGTGTTTTAAGAATCCTAAGACATGATTATTATATCTAGTTTCAATAAGGCAGACTAGAAACTTTTCTTTATGAAGTATATATGTTAGACCATATGATCTATATTCACTATTTACCTCTTATAAGAGCTAACCTCTTGGCGGTTAGTAATAATATATTTTACTACGGTATACTATGTGGGGATATTGATACTACACAATAATACAAAGGGTAGGTTAAGCCATATAGTAGGCAAGAACTCAGTTAATAGGTTATGTGACATCTCTAAGGTAAATACTAGATACTAGTTTACCCAAGCAGAAGATACACAATGAAGAAGTAAAATTATTTCTTAGTGAAATAATAGAAGAAGTTAGATATAAATAGGTGATACTTGGCTATTATAGTTCAGAGTCTATAGGTAGGCTATATAGCTTTACTATCAGTTCTTACAAGTTTAGCTCTAGCCTAGGTTATATCTTATAAAGCAGTCCATGTTAAGGTGATAAAGGTTATATATACCGTAATAATCTAGAAATAAGGGCTTATAAGGCAATCTTGCCTAGGTTATAGTTTATTAGTTATATTGGATCAGAAGAGCTATCTGTTGTGGGAGAAACCAGGCTTGTTTTGCCGGTTAAGGGCGCGGGAGCTTTGAATACATTATATGGGAGGGGCGTGCTATCTGGGATGTCCCAATGCTTCCGCGGCGGTCTAGAAGGTCCCGGCTGGAGCAAGAGAACAGATAAGGTCACTCTGGGAGTTCTGAAGTCGTGCATTTTCTCAGTGTATAAGATATAGAGTACCCTGTGATCAGGACAGAATACGTCCCCTCTACCTAGCCCCAAGAGTGATCCGTTTGACGGCTACCTAGGGCAAAGGTGATGGTAGTGTAGCCATTCTATCTGTGGAAAACGCCAAAGTAGAGGCTCTGTTCTTGCTCTAACTTATTCCTTGACTGAGGTCCCAAGCGCCTAACTTCGTCATTTTGGCAGCTATTGCCCTGTCTAAAAAGAGTCTCAGTGTATGTAGGTTTTGCGCAGTATATTAAAGATAAACTTACCACATTGATCAGAAGAAGATTGCAATCATAGGGTGAAGTATCCTTGGCGGGCAGCTAAAGTATGTTGATCATCAGGTAATAATTGGCTACCACAGCTGTCGACTTGAGATTCGCCAAGTGCAACTATTTTCTCAGCTAATGTCGACCTCAGATATGGCAGGTGCTGCCGCTAAAAGCATTTTCGGGGTGCAAGATGATATGTCCAAACAACAGGCCTGTCTTGCCAGCCTTACTTGCCTGGCGCAGCGGGGAGTGCGCAGCAGGGACTAGCAGCGTCAGGCGTTCTCCACCGGACGCAGCAAGTGGTATGAAATACAAGACAGGTCGATAACAATCATTCAGGATCATTAGGCAGAGACGCGCTCTGTTTAGCCACCATCCTATCCAGGTCCTCACCAACTGCAATCTGTCCCGTCGCCTCGTCAACGAATCTCAGTATCGTTTTTGGACATGGCCAGGAAATATGTTCCCAGGCATCCCGCCATGCCACCAGGCCATCCTCACAGATGATATGCATCTCCTCCAGGTTAGAAAACGTTTCTAGCTCCTGGGACTCAAAGAAGAAGAAGGCTGTGTTCTGGCGCTGAATGGTAAGCCGGCGGATCAGCAGTTGTTCAGCCGGTTCAATTGCATCAAAACATGCGTTCCCAATTGATATCATATCAATATCAAAGTTGACCCAGACATACCGTGGCTCAACTGTTGAGAAGCTGAATGCCTGCTGGTATAGTCTCAGGTTTCGGGCTTCATGGCAGACCTGAAGGACTGCAGGTACCGGTGTTGAGCAGGTTGCATATAGAACCTTGCCCCATGATATACGCTCTCTCTTAAAATGGAGCTTAATTGTGCGTGGTTCAACTGTCAACTCCCAGATTCGTGCGCGAAGCTCGAAGGGGAGATGGGGGAAAAGATAGAATGCAGGCATGATGTCTGTTACGAGTGGCGGCTGAACTTTTCAGTGAGCTAGTTCTCTTGGAGGCAGAGAAATTCACCATTAACAGATATGGAGCAATGGATAATGTTAAATAGTGGCAAAAGCGAAGGGATAAACGCGGACATAGTCACATAAACTGGGCTGAGTGTAGTGGTTTTTAGCGTTTACCGCCGCTTCTAGCGTGTAGACCGCCAGTGACGCATTAAAGATGGCAAAGGAAATTATTTTTACCAGTTTGCAACAAGTATGAATCACTCCAGCTTGTCAAAGAGGACGATATACTCTGACAAACCCTGTTAGTGTAAGGGTTATGATTATTTTTATTTCTTCCATCATCAAATTTGAAGAGTTGAATTTACAGCGCGCAAAACCACCTTCTCTCTCCACCCCACTTTTTAATCATGACTCACCATCCTCGTGTCCTGACGGCTTTTCGCAACTGACACGCAGAACGTCCGGTTCCGCATTTAAGATGGATATTTAAGCCGATACTCAATCCTTCGAGCGAGTCTCAAGACTGAGGACGGCCCGATGAACGAGTCGAGCTGGGTCTGGACCAGCGGATCCAGAATCACAGGGGCCGGTTGGAGTATATTTGATTATCAGATGTGAGGGCAATGATGTATCTGAATATATCTCCAGCTAGAGAGCATAATTCCAATTCCTCTAATATAATAAATAAGATTTACAGATCCCATGAAATGCAAGGGAAGGAGCAAGGAATATCTCAATACAGCCTGCTTTATAAAGATGGGCAGTTATATTCATTTGTAATACCTCAAAATGGTTGTAACACAACGAAATAACAAGACAGCTGAATTTCACATAAAGAGTTATTCACGCCATCACGAATTTCTACCAGACTACCCCTCCCCCATCGCCATTCATGCTTCAAGCGAAGTCTAGCTCTCTGCTTCGCCTAGTTACCTCCGATGTGGATGTATCTTACCAGATTGGTCTTGGAGTCGTCGGGGGTGAAACTATCTCCACGGCACAGAATTGTCGGCTGAAGTTAGTCTATGCCAATATTCTGGTTATGTATCGTTAGCCAGAGAAAGAACCCAATCATAAAAGTTATCATACATCTTCGTTCTCGGTACTTACCGGAGAGCTCCCCGGCCAAACCTCTAGCAGCTAACCGACGCGGCTGCAAAGGGAATCGAGGTACAACCCGTCGCTGGATTAGCGAAGACCGCGGAACTTCCCCTGCAGTTGCTGCCCGACCAGGTAGTCACCGTGCCACCGCTATCGGCATTGAGGACCTCGAAGGAACTTCCCGGCCTGTGGTTGGAACACATGGTTCTAGAGCCGGATTTGATCGACAAGGCCGACGATCCGCTGCAGCCCGATCCGGACCATGTCTCGGCTGCCTAATCGCAGGTATTGTAGAATTATGTTCATTCATAGTAGGCAGATAAGGCATTAGTAAGGACATTTAAGCATGTTGTCGTTCGACTCAGATATTGTACGTATGATTAATGCATACTTTACGAAGCCACATGATCAGACTGATAAGTCTCGTGTGAAGGCACTTTCTTTTCATGAGGGGCTGCACCCAATTTCCTTCCTCCTCCTGTTCCTCCTCCTCCTCATCTTCTTCCTACGTCTATTTAAATTCGTTTCTGTTCTCTCTTTATAGCCACCCACCCTCAATCTTTGACGCAGCATCTCGAAGGACGTTTTCTTCCGCTTGGGCTCTACTTGCTACCAAACATGTCTTCCCTTCAAAATCAGAACACCAAGTCTCAAGCAGTCAAGATAGAAAGTGCTCAGACAGGACCGGCAGAACGGGAAGTCTCAAACGGTACATCTCCTATCATCCCTACCCCGGTCCAAATCACAAGCTAATACGTAATAGGAGGCAAATACAACGCTACACCACGTGGGTCCAATGACATTGTCGGAAATGACAGTCACTCCAATCCCAATGGTCTCGAGCAAGCAGATGCCCATGATAACTGCGATGCTGATTGGGAGGTTGTCAGCAGCGCCCAGTGTGGCGAAAAAGGCAGCAATCAAGCGTTCCATGGGCATACAGGACATTTTAGCGTTGATGTGGGTTGGGGTAAAAGGAAACATCGGCTGTATTCCAGTGATTGGAGCTTTGGCCATCATCATCACCAACATCATGATGATAGACATGGCGAGAGAGGTACTCAGTGACACCATGTGCATTCTGTCTATCACATCTCCTGGGTTAGCGCCGACGATACCCTTCGTCCAAAAGGGTGCCTATGAAACTGGACGGTTTCTTAGATCACACGACAAACCTTGAGAGTTCTTTCCCCGGCTACTTGCCCTGGAAAAGCATTTTACGGCTTTTTGGCAAGTGTGATTTCCAGGGCTATGTGTAATAATAAAACAATTGATTCTTAATCATAGTCTATCACCCACCGGATTCTGAGAGCTATCATCCCAGTTCTCTTCATTTTTATAATGATAAAAGTTGTAGCAAATTATCGACTCAGTCTGGATCTGACAGGAAATGTCTTAGACGAAAAAAGGCCGACGAAGATTGAATTTGGAGAAAAGCTGCATCAATACAGCAAGCTGTGCAAGGCGGATATTTACTTAGGTATTCGTATTCAGGACACAGGGCGCGTCTTTACATTCTCAGCAGACAGATCAGGATTCTGGGCTTTCTTATACTCTAAACTTGTCTGTTACAAACAGACTCAGGATGATCATTATGTTAAAATTGGCAGAGCTCTAACTATCCTAAGCCAATCCAAAAACTCGGAGAGGACCTTGGGAATGGAGGATCATTCGATGCTGCTCGCGAGGGAAGAATTGTTTCCGATCTTCGACACGGATATTTCAAAGAATACAGCAAGTAGAAAATGAGGGGAGAGAAAAAACTCCACTTTAGAGGAGGGGAGAATTTCTTTACACATGCAGGAACTTCCCTGAAAGGAGATGAACTTCTAAGAGGGCAAAGCGAACCTCGCATGAGAGAAGTCGAGCTTCGTATGGTGCAAGGGAAGTCCCCTCGTTGCCAATGAATGGCAATAAGCTATCTACTCTTGTCTTAGCGCTTACGGCCAAGCAAAGATTGCTGCTCACCAGCCAATTGGAATAGCTCTATGCGCCAGGTTAGAAGATGTGGACTGGGCGCTTGCATGCAAACCCGTCTAGCTGCCTGGATGACATGTTTGGGAATAGCCATGCCAATCAGCTGCCTCCCACGTCACCCTGTTGTCGACCTGCAGGGGGTTGTTCTAGAACGGTGAACGCTTATGTTATCGATGATGTCGCGTTCCTCGTAATGGAAAGAATCCCAGGTATAACTCTTGAACGATGCTGGGAAGGCCTAACAGGAGATGCCAAACAATCAGCGCAAGATTGAAGGGCCACTGTTTGGATCTGTTGATGGTGGTACATGCGAAGATGTCTTGTTCAAGCATGCGTGGGACGCAGCAAAGTCCCGACAATATGGGCCTTTTTCGACAAGAAAGGAATTCAACCGAGGTGTAGTAGAGGCACTGTGCAACGCCAGACCGTACGGAAAACTCACGAAGAGTGATGAGCCTCTGGCAGAGAGAATTCTCACATCGAGAAGCCAGAATGAGAGAAAGGTGCTCACACATGGTGATTTGCACCAAAGCAATATCACGGTCAAGGATAATGTCATCACCGGTATCATTGACTGGGGCGTAGCCGGCTATAGTATATCGGCCAGAGAATACTGTTGCTTGCGGTGGCAAGCGTTGGATCTGGATTGGAGAGATCTTATATCTACTATATTTGACGTCGGCGATTACGATTTCTGGGCCGAGGTGAATCAATCCATGGCCGATTATACTGGAATTCAAGCTGATATTGGAGAAAGGACCATATTTACACTTGGCGGAATGGTGATCGGCATCGTTTCCAGGGTTCGCAGCAGCTTACTTGTGCCAGTGGATCTATACACCTTATTGTAATGTCAAACTCTTAGGGGTAGCAATGACGAAATGGAAAATGACGACAATTGACGTCAGGTATCCTGGTCTGCAGGATCATCCATGGCATTAACCGGTGTATTTCGAGGACATGTTGACCCTCAAGCTTCAATACATTTAAATACTACCTATGGACAGTGATCCGTCATGTCACCCCTCACCTACAAGCCCAAATCAGCGGTCGTGTGTGACCTAGCAGATTTCATCTGTCGGTCCAACTCGCGGGTTGCCGAGTTTACCGCAGCTGTAGAAAGTGCACGCAAGCCGGAAAATGGCGGTCAAAATGAGATGGACCAGGAAAGGATCTACACACTGGAAGACTACATCAAGTTCTTGGATAGCTTTATTCGCTGGGCTCCCAAAGTCTCGTGTAACCGCGACGAGGTCCCCAATAAGATCTTAGTCTTCTACTAGGTGTTGCACCAGCCTGTCCTAAAGCAATATCAGACTGCAATCGCTCCAGAGACGGCCGATACTGATCTCAAGTGGCTGTCTTACTGGCTGGTCACGTTCCCCCGTGAGCAGGGCAAGTGGTTGGATACTGAGGAGTCGGAGGGCTCTGTTTATTCCTTCTATCGGAACACGAAGTATAACAAAGACGCAGATCTGTGGGAAGAGCCAGAGGATGGCTGGAAGTCGTTCAATCACTGATTTTGGGCGACAGTGGAAGGACATTAACATGGCTCGCCCGGTGGGTCATCCAAATGACGATAATGTAATTGTGCATGCTGCTGACTCGATGTTCGATGGCCACTGGGACATCAACAACGGCACAATCCACCTGAAAAGCAGTGTCAATATGAAAGGGGTGGATTGGCCAGTGGCAACTCTCCTCCACGACTCAGGAATCGATTACAAGAATGGAAGTTTTATGCATGCCTTTCTCGCGCCTGCAGATTACTATCGCCAACACGCGCCAGTCAGTGGAGAGGTGATCGAGGCGAGGAACATCCGGGATCAGGTCTATCTTCAGGTAGGGAAGAAAGCAGATGGTAGCATAGGACGGTCACGAGGTCTCGTCCGTGACTCGGACGATCTAGAGCACTGTCGCGAGCAGAGCCAGGGTCAGTGCTTTGGCATTGAAGCCCCAGATGAGGCCGGATACCAGTGGTGTCAAACTCGCGGCGTCATTGCCATCCAGACCCCGGACTATGGCAAAGTCGCGGTACTCCAAATTGGAATGGAGCAGGTCTTGTCAGTAAAGTTGACGGTCAATGTTGGTGATCAGGTGAGGAAAGGTGACAATATCGCCTATTTCCAATTTGGAGGCTCTGATGTGTGCATTATGTTCGAAAAACGTGTCAAGTGGCGCGCTGATCTTGAGCCGGGCAAAACCAAGCTGAAGGTACGAGAGAAGCTCGCTACCTTTCATTAATCGGGCAGCTATTCAACTCTTTAATTCAGTCGCCTCATCCTTCATGGTCGAAAAATCTGGTCGAAGTATATCATAGCCATTCAGGCGAATCTGTGGAGATAATAATAAGGTGGGATTGCATTGGGTTTTAGACGTATGTAAAGTTAGAAATCAACAATGCCCCCTTAAGGGAATGATGCATCTCGACATCAAGCAGTACCACTTTGGTCGACCTCAAATGTCATTACTTTCAACTCTGGCACTATCAAGTCGACTGATCACCACTGTCAATCCCCATCATCAGTTGAAGACTCCGTAGCGCGAGGGGATTAATATCTTCAGTGGTCTCCTATGGCAGCTGAATATTGAGATACAGCTCAATGGGATTAGCGAGCATGCCTGTTGATCCCCTTCCTAACCTACCTGATTCGTTGTTTTCACCGACGACGCCATACTAGCCTTAGCGTGCGAGGAAATACCATTCGGATGCCTTCCCGTGAGTGTCCACAGGGGGCCAACCGAGGTACTATCGGTATTTCCGAGTCTTTGTCCGTGATTAACTCCCCCGTGTACCGAGCTAATCTTAGCATGGCCAACTTCTCTACGTTGGCAACCAATGAGGGCGACTCGGAGAACAATAAAATGATAATTCCCCGCGCTTGAGTGAATTTCATTTCATTCCACCATCTCATACGCATCATCATGCCGCCATTTTGCAAGATTGCCGTCATCCAGCTCTATGTGAAGGTAAGTTTATCCCTTCCATCTTCTTAGTCGTCAGTGGGAAAAGAGAGAAAGAAAGATAAACGTTCCAACATCCTATGCCAAATCTCGGATGGATTACATGTTCTAATATGCTCTCCTTCTAGCCGCTCAAACCCGCCGACAACTTCGCTCGGGCTGTGAAATTTATCCGTGAAGCTGCTGCGCAGGAGTGTCATTTGGCTGTACTGCCTGAATTCCATCTGACCAACTGGGTCCCCACTGATCCTCGGTTTGCATCTCTGTGCGATGACTGGGAGACCTATCTGCATCGTTATCAGGCCCTCGCCAAAGAATGTAACATATGCATCGTACCCGGATCGATAGTCCGCCCCGTATCTGCCTCCTCTACAGCGGCAGCAGGGGCACCTATCCCCGACAAGGCCGAACCGAGCCTCGAAAATGTAACCTTTTTCATCTCCAACACCGGCGAGATTCTAGGCTCCTACGTGAAAAAGAATCTCTGGGGACCCACTGAGCGAGCGCACCTTCGGTCGTCCAAGGACACTCCACACCAAGTCGTCTCGACTCCTCTGGGTCCTGTGGGCTTGCTGGTGTGTTGGGACCTGGCCTTCCCCGAAGCCTGGAGAGAACTGGTGTCCCAGGGAGCGAAGATCATCATTGTGCCCACACTGTGGACTCGCAGCGGCGCATCTGAGGCAGGCCATCGGCAGAATCCTTCCGCGCCGTCCTTGTTCCTCGACAGCATTCTGACTGCGCGAACGTTTGAGAATACCTGCGCTGTCGTCTTTGCCAATGCAGGCGGGCCCCCAGGGAGAAACTACTGCGGACTCTCCCAGATCAACATTCCGTACGCGGGTCCTCTGGTTCGTTTAGGTACTTCTGCCGAAGGAATGGGCGTGGCGACAGTCGATATGGCGGTTTTGGAGGATGCGGAGCAAAACTACGCGATCCGCTCCGATCTGAACGACCCTTCGTGGCATTATAGGCATACTCGCCGGATTCCGGTAGAATTGACCAAAGGCAGGCTATAGATAAGATAGGTGGGAGCGCATTTAATAACCCGATAGAAGGTTCGGAAAAGACTCCCGGGGAAGTTTCCGGATAAGGTTCCGGGACTGATGTGGGCGGGCACGGGATGCCGTTCACCTGGCGAGCGATAGATCCTCGGAAAACTTTATACTACCTGTAGCCTTGTTGTTGTGGGTCGAAAAGAATGCGTCGTCCAGATGATATCGAGTTTACTAGTTGTTGTGGATATATATGATCTAAGAATACAAGAGAGATATATATATGTACATATGTGTGTGTGTTGTGTTCCTCTGAGTTTGACCCTTTGGAAACATAAGTCTATACTTTTGTATGATTTTCTTAACATTATATACCTAATACTCCGGCATATTTATATATAGTACGGTGAGAGGTGATCAGGAAAGAAGACTGGAAAGCAGGAGGGAAGGGAGACAGTCTTCAGGAGCGGAATCAACAATTGTCCCGCTGTGCTGGTTCCTCCAGTAAAGAAGGAATGCCACAGGATCCGCGTCACATCGCCTTCTGTGCTCCCTAGAGATTCCAGTTCGACGTCCATAGCGGGCCGGATTAGTCGAAGCGGGCAGACATAGCTGCTCACCATAGCTGCTCACTAGAATCGAGAACTCGGATTCAATGAACAGGATTCGAGCATAAGGGAAGACGACGGGCAGGTCGGTGTATTTGGCGATGTGCTTGGCAGAAGCTTCTAACCAGGTGGAGACGATAACAAGATGACCAGGCGGCGGCTTGTTGGGACTGAGAGCCAGGTGCGTGTGCTATGCGAGTGAAATGAGGGATTAGACACCTGCTCAGCGTTCAACCTCGGTTCTTCGGTGTATTGGGCCTATTGGAATTAGCCAAGGCGAATTTACAGGGGTGCCTATATGCTGGGCGATGACAAATCAGACGTTCTTTTGTTCTTTGTTTTCCTGTTCTGGGACATCTTCTGTAGATAAGGATGGAAATGAAAATGAATGCATCCCTGCTTTTATTATATGACATTCCTATTGTCTTTCTGACTTGCGTAGCACCTCGTTTCCTGCCCTAGTACTGGTTTGATTGCCCCGTCCTAGCTTCAGGTTTCTCAGTGATTCTCTTCCTTATTCCATTGCCACAAACTACTCACATGGAGACTGAGCAGCCCGAGCAGGACCAGTCCAGGGAACCTTCAGCACCACCACCTCCGGCTCCAGCTGCAGCTCCAGCTTCCCCCAATGGTGGATTGGCGGCCTGGTCAGGCGTCTTCGCCTCATTTCTTCTTTTTCTCACCACTTGGGGATTTTCCACCGCTTTCGGTGCCTTCCAGAGCTACTATCAATCTGATCTGCTGCGCACACACTCTCCCTCCAGCATCGCCTGGGTGGGCACCGTCAATGCCTTTTTCCTGATCTCCACCGGCGTCATCGCTGGTCCACTTTTCGACCGGGGATACCTTCACCATCTGATGATAGCTGGCTGTTTCCTGACCACCTTTGGGCTCATGATGCTGAGTCTGGCGACTCAATACTACCAAGTGTTTCTTTCTCAAGGACTCTGCTGTGGCTTGGGCAGTGGCTTGATATACGTCCCTGCCTTGTCGTTGGTTTCAACGCGCTTCACAACGCGACGCGGCATCGCAGTTGGCCTGGTCACCTCAGGTGCAAGCGTGGGTATATTTGACTGATTAACTATCAGTTAAATTTCTGAGCTGATTGAAATACCCAAGGCGGAGTCGTCTTCCCTATCATCTTCATCCGTCTTCAACCCCATATCGGCTTTCCCTGGACTGTACGGACCTTGGGCTTTATTCAGCTGGCCTGCTCGTGTATCGCCGTCCCGCTGTTGATGGTCACGACCAAGACCCGGCGCGGTCCTCCCCGACAGCTCATCCACTGGCACGCCATGAAGGAATGGAGTTTCAACGCTTACGGGATCGCCAACTTCCTCATGTTCATGGCCTACTTCATTCCGCTCTTCTACGTCCCTGCCTTTGCTTCTAGCGCGCTTCGCACCTCCACTGACCTTAGTTTCTACATGGTCTCCGTCCTCAACGCTGGCTCTGCGATTGGCCGCATCGGGTCTTCACTGCTGACCTACCGACTCGGCGCCAGTCACATCCTACTAGCCAGCGTGATTGCCTCGGCGGTGCTCCTTTTTGGCTGGACTGGCATTCACTCAGTCGCCTCGTTTGTTGTGTTCTGCGTACTCTTTGGCATTTTCTCTGGCGTGCTCATCTCCGCTAATCCGCTGGTCATCGCCCACCCGGTAGTCTCGCCGACTCCTTCGGTGATTGGGACGCGCATGGGTATGCAATGGTTTGCAACCAGTCTCGGTGTGTTGATTGGAGCGCCTATCGCGGGTGTGCTTGAGGGTCACGGGAGAGACAATGGCTTTTTGGGACTGCAAATCTTCAGTGCAGCAGGGATGACTGTGGGAGCAGCGTTTCTGTTGGTGCCTATGATGGCCGTTTGGCGCCACGATCGTACGCAAAACAAGGCGTGATTGAGACTTTCGAGTCCTCCTGTTTCTCTTTACCATCCGGCCTACACCAAGAAGGGAAAGCAACCGGGAAAAGTGTCAGATTGGGAGATTTCAACATATAATACAGATTTATATACATTGGAGGTAACTAGATTGTCAGCAGATATAAGCTATATGGAGATCCACGATAGCTAGAATCTCTGTCGTGTGGGGGCTGACAGAAGCGCGAACCCGACTGGGATAGAATATCGCAAAGGCCATATTCGTCTTGTCAAATCTCTGTAGAGCTGACGACAAAGACACATTACCTGAAACCAGACCTCCATAGCCTTCTTCCCCACATGAATAGGAGGACACACCTTCCTATTACGTGACCAAAGGCCAGCGGCAGTCCAAACTTAAACAATGTGAAAGGTTGCCGAAGCCTGACTGTGGGCACCGTTATGGCATCGCCTCGTTCTCTCGTAGATTCATCTTCCACTTGCTTCCCTGTAAACGCCTCGACAGCCTCCAATATAATTCTTGCCGTCGCATCTGGCTGACTCAGAAATGGCGAATGGCTGGTCTGCAGCTCCCTATGCTCCACACTACAACCCACTTCCCTTGCCACACCGACCTGGATCCGTTGCACCAACACCGGCAAACCCCGATCCTCGACAGTGCCGATATACCAGACAGGCAGATCCATCCAACCAGCATATGAATGCTCACCACCCTCGAACAATGCCTTAAGGCTCTGGGTTGTGAGCTGCGAAACCCAGAATTCAGCCTCTTCCGCTGGCAGGTCATGATAAAACAGCTCACGTGGGGAAGTGACAAGCTCGGCATACCCGGTCTCGCTATTGACCCGCCAGTAAGGAGGTGGATGGCCAAAGAACGGATCCATGAAGGATAGTCCTGTCATGGTAAAGCCAGAGGCTATGAGAACGAGGCCGATAACGTACCCCGTTGATGAGGTTTGAGTCTGGCTTGATGTGATGGCCTGTGGCCGCGTGAAACCCTTGATAGCGCTATTGCCAACCATGCCGCCGTACGAGTGCGCAAGGACAACCACATTGCGTCCCTGGGTTGTCTCTCTGGATATAGCTTCGCGGGCAGCATCCATATCATCTTTGAAGGTCGCCGCTGGGTTTCCCATCGTTGATGGGAGGGTAACTAAGACACATTTCAACCCATGTTGCTCATGAAGGATTTTGGTGACCTTGTCATAGCATGTGGGTTTATGCCAGGAGCCAGGTATGAAGACTAGCGTTGGAAGACTAGACATCTCAGGATATGACTATATTGATAGAACCTGTATGTGATGGGTCACTTCCTTGGATATACTGCTTGGATCAGCGCAGGATGCAGCCAAGGCTTTTGTGATGGGTTTTCCCGTTGGGAAAAGCCTAATAATAAAAGGGGAAATGTGTCAGCACGTGACATGGTGACTCATTCTAAGTTCTGCAGAGCCAGCCTATCAGATGTCTACTTTTACTTACTGAACTTCGGCCTTTTCATTAGTCTTCCTGGTGTCCATTGAGAAATCTGCCTGCCTGCTCCAGCAGATAACTCTCAGTATCTGCCAATGTTCAACACTGAGACTGACGTTAACATAACAGCTGACCATGTGGATCGACATCGTACGGTTCAAAGTACGTAGTGGAGCAGCCAAGAATTATGGGCAAACTGGTCCGCTCCAGTGGTCGTATTCGGCTGTCCAACTCGTCATACATCGATTTCCCGATTTGGCAACTCTCGTACTCGCCCATTTTCTCCATCAGAATATAAATATCATTGTAAGGTCCTGGATTCTACAGTCCTGATCATTGGCAAAATCACGATCTCTTCTTATCATTTTCATACACATACCATTTCATTCAAGTTTTTCGTTTTCCGATTGATCATCGTACTGTTAACCCCCATGATCCTCCACGCTGAAACCCTTCTCTCGGCTGTGGGGATCCTCACCATTGCAGCAAATGCACAAGCCCATCATCGGCGTCGATGTGCCTATGGTGACGACTGCTGGCCAGATGCGCAAACTTGGAATGACTTTAACACTACTGTTGGTGGACGATTGATTCGGTCCTTTCCATCTGCTGCCGTGTGCCATACCGAGGGGTATAATGTCAACCAATGCAACATAGCAAAGCAGAGTTGGCTAGATAGCTTCTGGCGGACGAACCAAACAGGAGCCTATTCCGCGACAGTATGGGAGATGGGAAACAACGGACAGTGCTTTATCGATACGCCCGTTAGCGCTCCATGCGACCAAGGGATAGGTAAGACCGGAAAGAAAGCCAGCCACTCTTCCTTGCTAATGAGGTGTGCTCCATTAGTGCCGTACTACTCTGTCCGGGCGGAAAGTGTCGAAGATATCCAGAAGACGGTGAAATTTGCTAGCGAGAAGGATGTGTTTCTTGTGATAAAGAACACAGGACATGACCAGTGAAGCATACACACTTGATTATACCTGCGATGCACGGCTAACAGGTTATCCCAGCCTCGGTCGATCAAGCGGTAAAGGAGCCCTTTCAATCTGGACTCACAATCTCAAGGGCATCAACTGGCACGACTCGTTTGTCCCACAGGGAGCACCTGCTGCTGTCAATGGTGTACCTGCTGCAACGTTGCAAGCCGGAGAGCAATGGTTTGGTATGTGAATTATTTCTCCAGCTTTTAATAGAAAGATTGTCGTACTGACGGGAGGATGTAGACGTATACCAAGCTGCAGCACGACAGGGAGTGCTAGTAGTCGGAGGATCAGCGCGCACCGTCGGGGCGGCCGGAGGATATGTGCTTGGAGGAGGCCATTCGCCATTTGCACACTACTATGGCCTCGCTGCCGATAGTCAGTGACCGAAGCCCATTCAGCCACTGAGGACTGACTAATAGGAGTACAGACCTCTTGGAGGTGAGCATTGTTTCCGCCGATGGACGACATCGAGTGCTCAATGCGTACTCGGATCCCGAGTACTTCTGGGCCGTTCGCGGCGGCGGCGGAAGTGCCTGGGGGGTATGTGCATCTGTCCTAATAACCAAGGGAACTGGTATCTTGATTTGACGCTGACCCTTTATACCAGGTCGTTACGTCGGTGACTTATAAGACGCATCCTGTCCCACAGAACCTCACCATTGGATTCGTTCAATTGAACGCAACCGACAACTCCAGCGCAACTCGTCTCATTTCTGAATCCCTGAAACTCATTCCAGCTGTTACAGACGCAGGTTATACCGGATATGGCTCGTTTGCGCAGGGCTTCCAAGCACTCTTCCTTCAGCCCAACGGCACCATAGAATCGTTTAACCAGAGTTTCGCTCCTTTCTCTGAATTGACACAGCTTCCCGGTGTCACTGGAAGGGTTGCAGCCTATTCCTCCGCCTGGGACGAATATTTGAAAACCTTTCTGCGAGACCCTAATATCGGGACCAACATTCAGGACACGTCACGACTGTTGACAGCGGACATAATCCAGGAAAGGGCCGACGATTTGGCGGAGTTCATTGTCGACAGTGGTCAAGAGGCAGGATTCAATTTCAGTAAGAAGATTCGGCTTGTAGCAGTTGGTTTCATCGTGCTGATCGTCAATGTTTTCAGTTGGTAAAGTCAACAACAAGGAACGCGACAACACTGCCGTCCATGAGATCTGGAAACACAGCCACGCGCTTCTCAGCATCTCAGTAAATTGGCTGGATAACGCAACAGCTGGCGAGAAGGAAGAGAAGCGACACCACATGGTGCAGTTGAGCAGGCGCTTTACTGAGATTGTTGGCCCAGATGGAGGGACATATGTGAATGAAGCCAGTCCGTGAGTAGTTTCTGACCTCTCTTCTTGTTGAACACTGAAAGGGCATTCATCTCACATGAAACCTTTAGGTATGAACCCCGATGGCAAAGAGTCTTCTGGGGGAAGAAGTATGAGCGATTGCTGTCTATCAAGAAACGGGTGGATCCAACCCAGTTGTTTGTGTGCAATAGGTGTGTCGGGACAGACGTGGTGCTGCAGCCATAGACATGGTTGAGGGCATGCACTGCGAAACTATACATCCTGGACTATTCGTACCTTGCTAACAAAGAGCCCGTATAATATTGAACTGCGATGTCGATACCAATCCGTCAAGTACGCTACAGCAGGTATTGTTGAACCGCCGAAAGAGAAAAGATACAAACGCCTTTCCAGATTCTGTAGCTAGAAGAGTTCTTTAAATGTCATCAAGTCCAAGAATATACCATACATGATGCAGACGGGGTTGGATTTATATATATACACAGTGCTCTTTGAATTTGGTCCCAACCTTTTTCCCTGGGCAGCCTCCTTGTTCCTCGAAGAAATATTATGAATTAATCTAACCGTACTCGAGTCTATCCCAAGCCGTGAATAAATGAGGCTCCCATGTAGAAAGTATTGGGGGCGTAGGCTCCACCACAGTAATAAGCTTAGGCAGCCACGGAGCCTAGATTGACCTGTTTCAGAGCTGCCTTGTCCGTGGGCCGCCCTAACATCCCTAGATTACGTCCAGGATCCACATATTTCACGAAGGAATGGAAGGCTTCTGCCAAGAGACTAATAATACGAGGCACAGTCCTATCATTTGACTCTGATGCTGTGGGAATGAAACCTGCCAAGCATTGATACGAGCATTGACCAGAGTTTGGGGAAAATTGTCTTCTTGTCGATCTGGTGTTCCATTCTCTTAAATACCCCTGATCCTCACAGGTTCCATCAAATAGTAGACGCGGGAAATACCTCTGAAAGTTTGCACAGCACGCAGGAACCAAGATCACAGAATATACAACAATGGGGTTTTTCGGGTCCAAGAGCAAAAAGGCAAAGTCGCCAGTACACAGCCTGATGGAAGAATGCAACAGATTGATGGACGAGAATAAGTGGCAGGAAGCTCGAGACAAACTGAGCCATGCTGTTCGACAACTTGAAGAATCTCAAGGTCTCGACCACGAGGACACACTATTTATGAAGACCAATCTGGCTTACACCCTGCGCCGCATTGGTGAGTATCAGGAGGCAGAGCGCATGGATCATCAAGTGTATGCCGTTCGGCTCCAAGTCTCCGGGCCCGATGACATCGAGACGGCCAAATCGCTAAACAACCTGGCGCTGGACCTGAAAGGGCTCGGCCGATTCGATGAGGCACTGGATCTGGAAGAACGAGCATTAGAGACTTTTCTGAAAATCAATGGGGAAAGCTCACGAGAGACCCAGACGAGCATGAACAACTTGGCTAACAGCTTCCACCGACATGGGCGCCTCCAAGACGCTGCCAGGCTGCATGAAAGAGCCCTAGAGCTGCAGACCCGCACACTTGGGAAGGGGCATTTTGAGACAATCATCACAATGGACCTGCTCGGGGTGGATTATCGGGAGCTCGGCCAAGTGGATAGAGCCCTTCATTATCAGAGCGAAGCCCTGGAACTCTCCAAGGCTAATCTAGGGGAGGCCCACGCAACCACCATTCGATGCTCCGCCAATCTGGCAACAACATACCAGAAGTTAGACACGGAAGACGGCAAAGACAAAGCATTGGCTCTACTGGAGCAGGCCTTGGAACTTTCGCGGCGGACCTTTGGCGAGAATAGTTCGGACACGGTGCCCGTGATGAATAATCTCGCCGCCGCTTACGCCAGAGCGGGGCGCTTTGCTGATGCTGTGCCTCTATTGCAATCGGCGTATGCATGGAATCAGAGAACGCTGGGTCCTGATCACCCACAGACTCGAGCCTCCGAAGGCAACCTGAACTATGTGATGGAGAAGATGGGCCTAACTCGTGCTACAGTCTTTTAATACAAGAGTACTTCTTTATCTATGGGGTTTGATTAATACCTATCCTCTACAATTCAACAAATTTTTTTGTCAGTTGTCCGAGTAGGACTAACTCTGCTCTATACATCAGCCCAGCAGAAAAGCAGTGGCACTCATCCTCCGCATTTGTAGAGTACATATTTCACTCCCATATCCTTTCCGATGGGCATTCCATCTGCTCAGTTTTACCTCTTTGCTCAAACCAGGCCTGGTTTAAACAAAAATATCATTTTGGGCACCTGCGTGAATATTAGCGAATCAGTTCTCATGTACGGGAGATGAAGACATACCATTCTTGAAACCCCACGCCGTGTTATACATCGGTGTCTTGCCATTAGGGACTTGAACGTTATTCCCAGTTTGCTCTATGGCTTCAAGTTAGTTCTGGTCATACCCCGAGGAGAATGGCTGACTCACGGTTGAAGGCAATCATTTGCTTAGCACCCTTGACGCACTTGCTGCTATCGTCCGCACAGTAGCCAGGGACTTGAGCGGGAGCGACCTTTTTGGAAGAGGTGGATCCAGTGACGTTGCATTTATACCCAGCCATGTACCTGATTCTCGTCAGTTAACGGACTGGAACTTAATCATGAACACTTACATGTTGGGCTGTCCACAACCGTTGGGGACCTATCTGGTGTTAGTTAAGTAAAATCTGACTGATATTCATACACCTACCCAGAGCCAAGCACAGGTGCATCCGCCAGGAGGACAAGCAGGAAGGTCCTTGGGCACTTCGTAGGTAGCGATCCGCTTCCACGGGGTGCTGTACACGGATTAGAACCAGCAGTTGCAGTGCAAGAAGGGTCCGAAAAGAACTTACTGCTCCAAAACAGTAAACACAGCCAAGTTCTCCATCGTTACCGCAGACAAATCAGACTGATAGCTGATAGCAAACGCAGTGCCAGCAGCCATGGATTGGTTGTTGGTATGCAGTGCTCCATCGTCCTGGATACAGTCGGGCGGGTTTCCAGGACCCGCCCAGTTTTCAGGGTGCTCTTTCCCGTCTGGCCATTCCGAGGTATACTTTCCATCGTATGAAAGCGTGGTCTGGGCGCGGTTGTGTGCAAGTTCTACCGTGAACTTTCCGCCAGCGGGCAGTTCGAGGACGTCGCCATCTGCTGGAGGCACTGCGTCGCAGCCGCGATCATGTTGGAACCACCAGTCTTCCTTCTTAAGATTGTACAGGGGAGCCACCGCAGTGTTGGTGTTGGCGTTGTCTGTCGATGGGTCGGGACCTCCAAGGCAGTACATGCCTTTGACCCAAGCGACGGTGTGGGCTTGAGCAACAGCACTCAATGCGAGGAATGCAACGGGGCGCAACATGATGGAGCAGAAATTCTGGGAGAGAAGAAGAAGAAGAAGACGAAGCGAAGAGTGTGGTATTGTTGGAATGAAATGATTCCAAGTCGGGAGTACTAGTATTTATATAGAGAAAATGAAGATGCAACCTTGAATGCCCTCAATAATAACACTGGATGTGACTGTGCCATGTTATCCGGGGTACACTTGCCACGTTCCTGACTGGTTATTAATCTTTTGTTTCAGATTGCCTGCCGAGCGGCAATTGCGTTACACCGGACGCTATACATGAAACGCTGGTATCGGAGCTTGGTCTCGGGATCTAAATTAAGTACTGCGTTCCGGGCCCGGCAGCTGGGCTGTCAAAATATTTATTATCAACAAGGGACGAACGCAGGGTGCAGTACGACCTGCTTCCAAAGTAATACCGACCGGGGTGGGGTGGCCTCCCTGGATCTGAGCCCCTTAACCCTTTGTTTCATAATACTCACTCACTAATCTCACGAGAGTTTATGCTTGTCATTATGCTATCACAGATTTTTGCGGGAGGCTTAACGCTGATGACATCTGCACTCGAATAAATAGTCCTCAAAATGTTTCTCGGCATTGGAGTCACCCGCAGGGTCTTCGCATCGGAAAAGTCCAATCTTCGTTAGGCTAAGCTCTAAATGCCCCGACATACCTGCGGCCAGTAGTCTATCATGGGAGTCGAGGGCAGTGAAGGAAACGTGGCAGGGTCGACGTCTGTCCTCATCAAAGGCAGGTCATCAAAGAAAGAGGTGCAACTAGAGAACGCCATGTCACCTCCACCTACTTGAGGCGACGTCCTTGGTTCAATTGTACTGGACCCCGGTTGTCCAAGTACGATTCTCAGAGCTACGACGACTGTGTTCGCTTCTCTCGACATGTCGTTGGTGCGGCTCCAGATGGCTAGGCTCTTTTCCAGCAGGCTTCGCACTTCCACTAGATCCTGGGCCGACAGCCTGTCTTTGCGATGCTGCACGAGGAAGGACGCGATGCTCGCAGCTAAAAAATATCCTTTGTATATGAAGCAAGAGTCGACCATACCAGTAGGGCGCGACGCGTCCAGGACATCGGACTCCTCGGCTAGGCGGTGCTGCAGCCGCAGGATCTCCAAGGCCGCCTCCATCACGACACTCCAGGACTGATTGCTAGCACTTATATCCTGCGACATGCTGACAAACTTCCAGTTGACAAGGATCCGGGCTCCTTGGTAATGCATGTAAAACTTTTCCGCTGTTGAGGGAGGGATGTTAGCAGCTCCTCTTCTCCCCATTGCTAGTAGCTAGGGGCTCACTACTGTAGATATTGTGATAGGAGTGTGGTCTGAGGTAAGCCACGCACTAACCTGGAATACGACGCTTGGAGGGTCCGACTGAGATTCAGACATGGGCCGCAACTTGCAAGGGCCGGGAATGGTCGCGTACGTCAAGTCGAGCTTTGAGTTCGCCGCGACGAGGTCCTTGTATGAGAGCGGGTGAGGACTTCAGACCAAGTCTGAAATGGCGCAAATGCTAGTGGCGACGTGAAACTTGGCGACGATCACGGTGCTCGAGGTAAGTTTGTCGATCGGCCTTTCGGGTGGTAGATCAGTCGAGCTGGCGTCAAAGTCTGGCAAGTTTAACCTCCTCCTTTGACAACTGTTCCATGCTGACGGCGAGAAGCCCTTGCCTGCGTCTCGACCTGGGTTTCCAAGAAGCGCGGAGCAGCGATGGGCATCATGGTGACAGGCTCATGAGTGGGCGGCGTCATCTTCCCCATCATGATCAGTCGCATGATCCAGAGCACCGGGTACTCCTGGGCCATGAGAACGGCTGCCTTTCTCATCCTCTGCCTGCAGATCATTGCAATCCTCACAGTCCATCCAAGAACCAAGCCTGTGCTCAAGAAGATGCCCACCGGCCGCTTGCTGCACCTTTCACCGAGTTGCCGTTTGTCCTGTTGCTGCTGGACATCTTCGTCCTAACCTATTCCATATCCATCCCATCGACTATCTGGCTGTGCCGGGCTTTCAGGAGGCGCAAATGTCGGAGGACATGGCTCAATACTTGGTATCCATCTTCAACGCTGCAAGGTCGCTGATGCCCCACACCCAAATGTCGCAAGAAGCTGACGGTTATCTAAGTCTCTTCGACCGTCTGGTCGCAGGGTATGGCGCGGATTGAATCGGAAGATGGAATATGTTCATCATCGCCTGTACTGTTTCCGGAATCTCAGAGTTCGCCGTCTGGATCCCGGCCAAGCACTCGTCCATCACCATCGGCTTTGCCATCATGTTCGGCTTCGCGTCGGGAGCCTTCATAGGTCTTTCCGGCGCCTTGCCCGTCTCGGTGTCCCCGCCGCCTGAGATGGGCTACCGGCTGGGCGTGGTGTTCCTCGCCATCTCGATCCCAGCACTCATCATGGCCCCCATTGGCGGAGCCATTCTGCAGAATTCAGCCATGGCTGGCTGGACGTGAAGATCTTTGGCGGCATCATGTGCCTTGCAGGGTCGGCAATTGTTCTGCTATCCAGGTGGCTGTATACCGAGTGGAAACTTCTCAAAGCTTTTTGATTGTGGAGGTGGCATCTTCATCAAGGCATGGAACTGGTGCGGTGGATACGGTTCGGTTAGAGATAGAGGTCGTCTGGTCTTTGAATCATCATTTTTCTAGGATGACATATCTCGTTGGACTTGAAACAATGTACTACTACTATACTCAGATATAGAATTGCCGCCTATCATCGTCTTTCTTCGCCATAGGATACTACAGCGTAGAGCTTCAGAAGAGGATCTCTGGTCTCCGGCTAGAATCTTCCAAGGACGAGGTCCGAGACCTATGGAAGCAAATCCTCGAATACAACTTTCCCAAGCAAACCGCTGATTTCCCCGGTGGAGGATCCGTCCACAAATAGTTCGACTTCGAGAGCGACTTTCCTCATATTGGCATCGTGAGCTGACTAAGTCTTATAGGCTTCTGGCTGCGTGCATTGGTAATCAGCTAAGGAATCAAACTTGATGATATATTGATAGACAGTACTGGCTAAATTGCTTAGGAAGCAACTATACACTTAATTACGCACTCTACAACACCTGGCCTCAAGATGTTGTAGTAGTTACAGAGAATACACAGGCGTTCAAGGCGATATCACTAGCATCCTAATAATACTCTTTCAGCTATAATGCCATGCAACTAACCGCTATCCCAGCGTCCTCAAGCTTTTCCTCCTACAGCTCGTTCCTCCAACTTCTTCCGCAACTCCCCTTCCTGATTCTTCAGATCATCAGTTAACTGATCACCAAAATCTTCTGGGCCAGCAATTTGTCGGACTTCAATGGCACTCCCCTCAGCGCGAAATGGTGCTTTGCGAGCCCATGTTATTGCCTCCTCAATGTCCTTGGCGTTGATCATCCAGAACCCTGAAATGGTGGACTCGTGAGGAAAAGGCCCAGTCGCCACCGACGATTCGTTTTGGTGGTTAAAGCTGACCCGAGCGCCCTTCGAGGACGATAAAAAGCCCTCTGCCGCAAGTAATATACCCGCATTGGATAGAGAGTTATTGTATTGCATCATCACCTCAATCATTTCTGTTGAAGGGGGATTGCCAGACTCGCTGTCTTGGGTAGCACGAACAAGAAGCATGAATTTCGGCATTTCACAAACAGAAATGGGTATAGAGTATGCAAATTCGGAAAGAAGTCAAGTCTCTTTGAGTAGCTTTTAGATTTATACGTATTGAAGTTCAAATCGCTCAAGGTGTGATGAGTTCCTTCAACCAAGAATTTTGAGAGATATTTATACTTAGATTTTCAGTTTGGTGCCTGCGGCTGCCTAACTCATCGCCTTGGCAAGTCGGGGCTGAGGGGATTTATTTTATGACTGCATTTGCATCTTTGTGGAAGTAGTGGCTATAGGCCATACATGCGGGTGGCAGTAAAAAATAGTTTTGGCTGGCTTTTTATACATTGAGTTCGCCGTATAACTTGCCCTTCTCCATTGCAGTTATAATTGGTTGAGGTCTCTCAAGACGTAGTCCCTCCATCATCGGGCCAAAGGTCACTTGATTGTCTAATACGAAGCTTCACGGCCAGCTCGTATCACGATTCGTAGATCTGGATACGACAAAACTCAATCGCCATCTATCACGATCCAGACTCGGCCACGTTGTCATCGACCCGTGTATTGACCATAGTATGTCGTGACATAAATAATGCCCCTGTTGTCCGCACCAACTTCTGCCCTCAAAGCTCTCAGTACCGATTTGGATGAAGTATCGACTAAAATGAATGCAACCCCCGAGATCATGGCCCGCAAAGGCGAGCCTGACCCAGACAGCTTCGTCAAAGCCGACGCCTTCACAAAGGAAACATACAGAGACCTCTACCCCGCCATCAACCCCACACGCCCCAATCTCTCGCAAAGTGGGAAGGTAGTGATCATCACAGGCGCGAGCCGCGGACTGGGACGATCTGTAAGCATCGCACACACAGACAACTTCGTAAATGGGGATTGAGAGGGGCAGTCCTTTGCTGCGTCGTTTGCACGCGCCCGTGCAGATGCCATCATTCTTCTGGCGCGATCGAGGGAAAATCTGGCCGAGACGGAGAAGATGGTCGAGAATATCAATCCGTCTACAGAAGTCCATTCAATTGCCGTGGATATCAGTGACCACCACGCTGTCAAGCGTGCATTCGACGAGATCAGCGAGCGGCTCGGGGCTCGTACGCCACAGGTCCTCGTGAATAATGCTGGGGTGGTCTCTTCGCAAACTCCGATGGTGGATGACGACCCAGACTTCTGGTGGAGGACTCAGGTGCGTGTATCTTTTTCTTTTCGGTCAGGGTATCGGAGTCGGCAAGTGCGTATGACAAGGACTAGGAAGTCAACCTCCGGGGTACGTTCAACGTCACTCACGCGTTTCTGAAAATGGTTGGCCCGAGCCCTGCTGCTTCGACGACAGTCATCAACATCACCTCCGCGGCAGGCCACTACGTGAGTCCGAATCTGAGCTCTTACAGTATTAGCAAACTGGCCATCACGCAGTTCACTGCGTATCTTAATGCTGAACTTCCACATATCACCAGTGTGAGCCTTCACCCCGGCATGGTCCTTACAGATATGGGAAGAAGTGTCCCTTGGCTAGCACCGTTCATGAAAGATACGGCGGAGCTATGCGGTGGTACTGCCGTCTGGCTGGCCAGCGGGGATAAACACTTCTTGTCGGGGAGGTACGTAGCTGCTAATTGGGATGTAGAAGAGCTGGAGGCGAGGAAGGAGGAGATTGTTCAAGAGAATCTGCTTACTGTTCGTCTCACTGGGCGCTTTGGGGAGTAGTTCGTTTCCTGGCGACGGTTTGAATCAACTCATGGTAGCTCAGAACCGAATTTGGGCTCGGAGTGTACAGCAAAATTCTGGAAGTCACTATACTATTATTTAATCTGTAAGAAGGCAAAAATAAGTACTTTAATCTATAATGATCCTCTAATATCTTATTTGAATAATAAGAGATCTACTTCTACACTATAAATGACCATAGAAGGATGAATGAATGATATTGATCTTAGTCCTGACAGGCACAAATATTTTATATTCTAGTGTTCATCCTAAGTGGTAGATTATGTCGACACGATATTGAAACACAGTGCCTGGAAAGACGTGGCACAAAATACTTTTAGTGAGGCCTCTTTAACTTGCGACAATTCTCTTGTTCAAAATATATTATTGTCTTATGTTGTCTTGCACTTCTCTTTGTCTTCTTTTGCGACATGTCCTGCGCCAAACAATGCCCACCTTAGTCGACCAACAAATATAATCATGACAATTTAACAATGCTATTCAGTTTTGTTTTATTGTCTCAGACATTTCAGTTGAATGTTGTCGCTCAAGTCGTAGAGCTGCCCTGAGAAGGTATATAAACCACCATCACGTCTCCTGCTGGGCGTCTCAATTCAATACTCAACTCCTTTCTTCATCAATCTCAACTGCCATTACACTAGCTTTCGAGATACGACCAGCATCAATCATGTCGACGGTAAGTACATTCAGCAATACCACAGATTGGAGACATACTAACAAATTCCAGGACCTGTACACAATAAGAGCATGGGAGCAGATATCCTATCTTTGCCCACAGTCAAGCCAGGACCACGTCCGCGAGGTATGGAATCTGATCCTGAAACCGGTCTTCCCCCATGTATCGATTGACGGTGAGTTTTTCACAGTGACCAACGAGGACGACCAAGATCGATTCCCCCAGATTGCCGTTGCTAATCCGATTGGTCGGTTTCCAACCGTCCCACTCTTCAAGGTCTACTGCATCGGATTTCCTGCCCCTGACACGGATATGTGGAAGGAACTCGAAGACGCGGTTCAGCTCGACTTGCTCGAGGCGTCGAGCCTTTTGGAGGGAAAGCCTCGGGCAAGCCTTTTTGCAGCTATTGCTATTGGCCCACTGGTACGTTTCTACAGACTGGATGAGGAGGACTATTTCTGCTATGTTGAGTATCGAGATAGAGATGCGTACGACATACATCGGGATTTCAATGTCATTGTGGAACATCTGCTCCAGATTCGGGGGGCTATGGCGTGAGCACTGATGTTCGGTTTGTTTTCTTTGGACTTGCCCCTGATTATTATTGTTATTCTCCAATGATATATTCAATGCGAACAGAAATCGCGAAATACTAATGACATTGAAGTATTTAGATAGTCTCTTGATGGACTGTAGACCTGACACCTTTGAGATCCTGTGTGATAACAACTGATTCCGGTTCTGTTTCGATATCACCCACTGGCCTTGTCGGTCCGTCAAATATGATGGCTACTTGTTCCAGCGTGTAGCCCTTGGTTTCAGGATACACAAAATACGCAGTGACACCAAACAGCAGTAGGACCGCAATAAAAACCAAGTAATACTTCCATGCAATAGCCTCCAGGGCGATTGGGTTGACGAAAATATTGAAGAACGCGGCACAGATAGTAGACATCCAGGTTACGGCCAGACCGCGGGATCGAAGACGGAACGGCCAGATCTCGCACGGATACGCCGTAAGCAATGGGGTTCTAGGGCCGAATTAGCTGGATGACAAGAATACATCCAGAGAGAACTTACAAAGCAACGCCATATCCAGCAAAGAAGATGAAGAGGAATGGTATGACCGCAACTCCCGTGGCTGCGTGACGAGTCACTGTGAAAGAAGCCGATAGTGCCGTGACGAGGATATAACTGGCGAGCATGATCACGGCGGATGTAAGGAAGAGTGGACGGCGCCCGAATCGGTCAACCAGCACCGAACCTACGATGGCAAACAGGAGATTCCACATCTGCATGCAGGCCAATATGAGCGTCTGATCTCTGGCGCTGGTCACCCCAACCGTATTGAGGATAAGAGTTAGATAGTATGAGATGACACCATTGCCGACCCATTGGGCGAAAAAGCCCAAACTGAGGGAGATTATCAGTCGATGGCGATTCCCTGGAGTACGGAACATCTCCACGTAACTGGCACCCTTGTGAGCGTCTTGCTCGGCTCGAATCGTCGCGCGAATCTCCTCAAATTCGGCATCGACCAAGGATGAGCGGCGCCCGCCTGCATGATACCGCGTCAGAATGGCATGCGCCTCTTCCTCACGTCCTTGCGAAATAAGCCATCGAGGACTCTCTGGAGCGAGAAGGAGCCCCGGCAAGGCAACGGCCGGGAGAAGAGCCTGCAGAAGCGATGGAAGGCGCCATGACCACGAGGAGGAATAGGTTCGGACTCCGAATATAACCCACCCAGAAATGCTACCCCCCATATACCATCCGGTCATAAACAGCGAGTTGACCATGCCCCGGTGTCTGGGATGCGCTATCTCGTTGATGAGCAAGGGAGCGGCGACTCCGAAAAGAGCCGATGCCACACCGATAGACAGACGGGCCACCAAGAATGCCGTCGGATTCGGAGAGGCGGTCTGCAGTACTGAGCCGAGGATCATAAAGAGGTAACCGACGTTGAGTCCCGGCTTACGTCCGAAGCGGTTCGAGACCCAGGCGGCAATAGGGGACCCCACCCCGGTGCCTAGCAGGATGATTGCATTGATCCATCCTAGTTTGACGCCGGTCGGATAGTCCATAAAACGGTTCCACTCATTCAAGGCCTGCAGGCCGTTCATGAGAGAGCCGTCGTACCCATTGGCCGAAGAGAAGAGAACCAGGGAGATAATTATGTAGTTCAGGTACACTAGATGAGGCTGACGGTACCATGCTGGATCTGTTGAACAAGACATAACAGCTATCTCGGTCTCCACGGCTGTCTTCCTTAGAGTGTCGGGTTCAGAACTTGCCATGGCCTGACTACCCCTGGAATGCATGCTATACAGTATGATGAGCCAGACACTATTGACTCGAGTATCGCGTTTTTGACGAGAACATATTGTCGGCGACGTGAGGATATAAAGGAGTAAAATCCAAAGGACTCGGATTGCTCTCTCCTAAACAAAGAAAAAAAGCTTCCTAAAAGCTTCCTGTCTTGAAGCACCAATTGCAGTCGGGAAATTCAGCCACGCAAAGGCGTCCAGACTGGAATATGCCTCAAACTGGTTATGTAAGCGGAGATGGAAGAATCCGTGGGGAAACAAATCCCGGGGAAGGATGACTAAGCGCCGAAGTCGGAGAGAGAATAGGAATGTTGCATTTTGTTTGTATTCACTTTTCGGAACAAATATCTATGCTACTGGTTGTCATACATTGATCGTACCATATCTCATATCTAATACCATGGCTGCATACTTCTACTTCCGGAAAGGAACCGCAGGAGGCAGAGCAGAGGGAGTGTTCTTCCGAGCATTGTGACGAATCAAGTGCTCAAAGGACGCCGCATGCTCGACCCGAGGGGTGAAGGGCTCAAAGTCCCAGAGGTATCCAAGCGTGCGCAGAATGGAGGCAGCCGAGTACGAGACAGTCTCGCCATGAGCATTTTTACCCTTCTGTTCAACCTGTGCCTTGGCAACCCAGGGGGAAATCAGCAGAGTCGGGATGCGACCACCCAGACGGTCAAACGGGAAGGTGTAGTCCACGCCACTGGGGGTGCTGAGGGTAAAGGTCTGGTTATCCGGACGGGGAGCGAGCGGAGCGGGGACGTGGTCGTGGAAGCCACCGCTCTCGTCGAAGGTCAGGATGAAGAGAGTTTCCTCCCACTGGGGACCGGCGCGCAAAGCATCATACACCTTCTTGATGAAAGCTTCACCGTCGGAGATCAGACCGGCGGGGTGCATGGAAGTGGTGCCAACTCCACAGCAAGAGGGATTGAGGTACGCCAATTCAGGAAGGGCACCAGCCGCAGCATCGGTGTAGAACTTGGCCAAAGGCTGGATTTTGTCCTGGTTGTTGGTGGCATAGGTCCAGTTGAAGAAGCCCGCATCGGGGCCAGTACCGCCGGCAGGGTCGACGTAGTTGATCCACGAGTGACCGGTCTCGGTCAACTGCTGGAAGATGGACCGCTGGGGGAACTGGTGCTTGCTGAAAGCAGCGTCATTCAGACCGTGTCCGAGGGAAGTACCGGAAACCAGAGCGGCACGGTTGGGGTCGGTGTTCTGCGGAGTCAGACACATTCTTGCAAGGGTCTAAGGGCATGATATATACTTACTCCAGGAATATCCGAGTGCCAGTGGTTGAAGGTCAGGTAGTTTTGCACCAGAGAAGTCAGAACTGGGACCTGCTCTTCGGTGTAGTAGTTCATGACCTGAGCAGCGAGGATGGTCTTGTTGACCTTGGCGCCATACTTGCGGACCTGCTCATGAACAAAGCCTTGGTTGTGGGGAACCAGCTTGCTCTCGGCGATCTGAGCGTTGTCGGGGTTGAAGGTGCCATAGAACTCGATGTTGTTGCCATAGATGGCGTGGTCGGGGTCATTGGTGATGGAGTCGAAGTCCTTGGCGGCAGAGCAGGCAACGCCCTGACTAGGATCGGTGAGGTTGTAGGGGTTGCAGTAGGGGCCCGTGTTGACGGGATTTTCAAGGCCCTTGAGCTTCTGACCACCGAGGAGGTTGTCAAAGGAGCGGTTCTCCATCACCAGGATGACCACATTCTTGATCTTGGACTTGAGATTGTTGATTGACTGGTTGGAGTGTGCACTGGCTGGCTGTGCAGGAATGGCCGAGGCGGCGGCCGCAAAGGCAAGAAGACCAACAAGAGCACTGGGATGCATTCTGCAGGACGTCGAAGCAGAGAAGGCTGGTCAGAATATGCTGCTTTTCAAGAAACATCCTGTCGAGCGATTGAGGAAGGCCTTTTATACCAGTCCTCGTAGCCTTTACAATCATCCCTGCCCTTCGGTCTTGTCCCACGTGCTCTGGAGATACGCATTGAGTTGCATCTCTCTTGATTAAACGAGGCCCAAGCGAGTGGATAGTATAATTGGAGATACTGCCTTGGCAAGATGTTGAGAAATGAGATCTCAGCAGGCGTTGCGGAAAGAGCCGACACATCCGTAGACGCTGTAGCCGTCTCCAATAAGATAAATTTGCAAAGGCACGAGGAGTCTATAATCTGAGCGTACATGGTGTTATCGCTTGGCTGCAGGCGGGGAAATCATGCAAGGTTTAATCAAGTTTGTGCTATCCTGCTAGAATGGAGCTATGACCCTCGAACATGACATACGAAAGACACGATATTGCTTAGCGAGGATGGTTTTCTGCACGAGGCATGGGCCAAGCAGCCAATGTCAACAACAAGAATCGTCAAGCATGATTTAACCTGCAACTGATTCGACGCCAAACGTGTGCCAAGACGGCTTCATATTTTGTGTCCCTCACTAGACCCCAATTAGCGGCCAGGAACACGAAAATTGGGGACGCTAGATGAAAGAACGCCTTCCCGTGCTGCTTCTCTATACAATCATTGGAGGACGGCAATATCTTGCAGGATATCTCGGATACTAATGCAACCTCACTAGTTGCAATGTTACCGGCATAAACCCCATGTCGCTCACAAGTTCTAGAAGACGAGTCTGTCGAAGGATGTATGTAGAGTCGGCCGAGTATCGAAGAGCAAACAGTTGCCATATTGTTGTTCATGTTGTGTTTGTGCTTAGAGAAGGAGTTTGAAAGCTCATTTGTCCATCCAGCGGGTTAATACCGTAGTGCGACAGTCACTCGTCCAAGTTTCCAGGTTGGTTCAACAAGAAAGGTACTGAACTTCTCTAGTGTAGATAAAAGTGTAGATACACACGACTGTGCTGCTGCGAATAATTTTCGAAACCATTAGGGAAGCAGGACGCTCCAGGCAGTGTGCCCGCGTTCTGCTAGTAGAAGTCACTGAACGTCCGTTGTACTAGTTTTCGGGAATCTTATGATCGGCAGCGTCTACTCCCGCATGCCAGCGGTACCTGGACGCAGGATGATCCTCCAGGGGACCTGTCTGCCCTGGCTTGCCATACAGATTCTCCCGATACGTTCCCCTCTCGACAGCATAATCCTCCCAGAACAGTCCGCGTCGCCGAAGTTCGGGAATCAACAAGTCGATGATATCTTTGAAGGATCCCGGCTTGATAGCGTAGGCCTTGCCTATTGTCAATTCCAAAGTAGTAGATTGTTTACGTAGGCAACTCACCAGGTTAAATCCGTCAACATCGGCTTCTCTCACCCAGCGTTCCATCTCATCCGCTACCTGGGCTGGTGTTCCTACTGGCGTAGCACCCAGACCTCCCACTGTGATATGCTGACCAACCGTTGACTTGGTCCATTTCGCGACTTCGGGTGTTGATTTGGACCAGCCCTCGACGGCGGACCTACAGGCTAGTTAGCACAGTTTCCGGTTTATTGGGAGGGTAGCGCACCGAATTGCATTGCTTTCTACGTGTCGCAGCTCTTCGTCATCACCATACGTGTCTAAGTTGATTCCTGTCCACCCGCCAAAGAGCGCCAAAGCACCATCGATCGAGCCCAGGCTGCGATAGTACTGGAATTTCTCCCGTGCCTCCTCCTCCGTCCGGCCCAAAACCGGGCACAAAAGCGCCAAGAACTTGATGCTCTTTGGATCACGTCCGAATTGTGCCTGTGCCATAGCCCGTATCTCTGCAATATTCCTCGCAACGACTGCAGGGCTGTGTCCGGCCACAAAGATCGCCTCCGCATGTTGTGCGGCAAACGTCTTGCCTGCCTTGGAGGTGCCGGCCTGGAGGATGACACGCGTACGCTGCGGGCTCGGTTGGCACAGATGTGGACCGGGGACGGTGAAGTATTTGCCGTTGTGGTTGATCTCCCGGACACGGCTAGGATCGGTGTAGATTCCGCGTTCACGATCGAGGACCACAGCATCGTCCCGCCACGACGACTCCCAGAGTTTATAGGTTACTCGCACGTATTCTTCGGCGACAGCGTATCGGTCGTCATGCTGATCTTGTTAGACCAGGCTAGTGGTTTGAGAGTGGACCTACCTGAGGTTGCTGTGCATGGCCCAGGTTCCGAGCTGCCGAGTCCAGATAGCCGGTGACAACCTGGAGTCCTTATTAGCCCGATGATTATTGTTACACGGCGACGCAAATGCTTACATTCCATCCCAATCTAGGCAAGTGATGTTAGCACCTTTCGTGGTAGATTCGATCTCACATACCGTCCCTTGGACAAATGATCGACCGTCGACAACCGCCGAGCCAAATGATATGGCTGCTCATAGGTCGTCGTCACCGTCACCCCAAATCCGATATTCTTTGTCGCAGCTGCCATTGCGGATACCACGGCTAGCGGTTCATTGACGGGCCATTGTGCGCCGGAAGCAATCGCCGGAGAGAGGTTCCGGGGCCCTTTGTACACGTCGTAGCCACCTAGGACGTCCGCGATGAAGATGCCATGGAACTTGGCTGATTCCAACAACTGTGCCAGCTCGATCCAGTGGTCTACGTCGTTGAACCTGTGGGATTCATCTTCTGGGTGGCGCCACAGTCCTGGGGACTGATGGCCGCTGCCTATGGTATGTCAGAACATTTATGCAATGAGAGGCTGGATGCGTACACATCTCAACGAACGCATTGAGGATGAGCGACTTTTGTGGTCCGTCTGTCATCATGAAAGAGTGATAAATTATCTGCGAAAGGCAGGAACCAAGTGCTGGAAGTCCGGTAAGTGTCTTTCCCTCCTTTTCAATGGATATATTCTGATAGAGACACTGGGACCCAAGTGGAATAAATTGGCCTGGTTTCAATGTGCGCGATGAGTTCAGTCTGAAGAGCAATCATTTATGTATGGAGTACATCCGCCAGTATCGTGCGCAACCATGTCTTGTTGACGGTCCATTTTTGGATTCTCTATAGCATCAATGTGGGCCGCGATGACGTGCTGCGGAGGGATGAGGGGAACAGCACGAACAACCAGATGAAGATCCTAAGAGAAAGACCTTATTAGACTTTATCGGGCCATTTGTGGGATCCTTTTGTTAATGACTCGTCGTATTTAGTGATCCGGCAGTGTTGTTATTGAGCGAGGATCCCTTTTCGTCAACCACAATCCTCATCGCGCCATTCCCACAAGCCATACTATATGCCTCCTATAGTAGATTCCCTTATTGGCCAAATCAACTCAATTCTGAAGTTGTCAAACTTCCGGACCTTGTGAACTGCTGACCCGATCGCCAGGTTCTTGGGCAGGATCACAACTTTATTCAGGACTTAACAAGACCGCCCTGATCAAGGATGCGTAACTGGTTGTCTAGCACATCATAATCTGTATTGATCATGCCATCATATGAGTGAACGATGTTTTCTATGTTAGTGGGTGCAGGAGGGCAGGCTTCTCAAAGAAGTATTCTGGAATACAAATATATAATACAGAAGGCGCATTCATCCATGCACCACAGGAATAGTGTTCTTCGTACATACATATTCCCGGACAAATATGGCAAGTGATCGAAGTTCAGATGTTGAGGCCGTGGTCCAACCACCTCTGCTACGAGTCGTGGGCTACGTGATAGTCGTGGTCTTGGGTTTGATCATTGCACTGGGTATGTCGATGCTGCTTGCCCAGGAAAGACAGCTAACAGGCGCAGTGATGATGGTCATCACCAAGATTCTCAAAAGAACGGCAGGTGAAGATAACAAGAGGACTGAAATGTATTCTCTCCGACACTGCGCCATACCAAATACTTACTCATTGCAGGTTTATGACTGCCAATCGAACCGTTCGCACTGGATTGACAGCGTCTGCGGTCATATCGGTAGGATACTCTCTCCAAGCGGCGCATTGCATACGAATAATAACCCGCCGATAGTCCTGGCTCTGGTCAACCGCCATGTTGGGGTCTGCATTTGTAGGTTACGATTATGGCGTATCGGGCCCTTTTTGGTTCGCTGCTGGCTGTAGTCCGATGATTGTCTTCTTCGCCCTGCTGGGAATCTCGTGCAAGAGGAAGATCCCTGAAGCCCATACATCTCTGGAAGTAGTTCGAATCAGATACGGTAAGACTGTCCGCTGGCTATAGTTAACAAAGCGCTGATGCAAGCAGGACGAATCGCCCACGTCGTCTTCATGACACTCTGCTTGATCAACAACATCTTCGCTTGTGCCAATATGCTCCTAGGTGCAGCGGCAGTGATTGCAGCCCTGTAAGTCATCCAATAGAGGTTGGAGATGGTCTGACGGGAGTAGGACTGGTGTGCATATTGTAGCAGCGACATTCCTCTTGCCTGTGGGTGTGACTGTCTATACCTTTGTTGGTGGCATCAAAGCAACGTAAGCCCTTCCCAGCCTACAAGCTTGACGGCGTCTGAGATTGAGAATAGGTTCTTGACCGACTATTTCCACACTGCTGTCATCCTCATCATCGCATGTTATTTTTCAATCAAAGCCTTTACGGTCGACGAGGTTGGCTCCATCGGCAACCTGTACGAGCTGGTCAAGTCGGCTTCTGAGCGGCATCCAGTTTCTGGAAATCATGCTGCCACTTACCTGACTATGACCTCTAAAGGCGTAGGTGATCTCGCAAGAGGGATCAATAACAGAATCTGACAATACTAGGGTATCCTGTTTGGTATCCTGCACATTTGCTCCAATTTCGGCTTGGTCATCGTAAGTGTTCCGACCAATGCGATGCCCCTGCTAACTAATTAGATGGACACGAGTTTCTTCATCAAGGCATTCTCGGCGGCCCCTTCGGCAGTCGTGCCCGGATATACCATTGGAGGCATTGCATATTTTGCGATTCCGTGGGCTCTGGGAACCATCATGAGTTCAGTCGCTCTTGGTCTGGAGAATCAACCCAGCTTCCCAACCTACCCACGCGTACGTATTCCCAGCATCACCAGAGTACAGCTAACGTGGATATCAGCGCATGACATCGACGGAGGTCAGCAATGGACTCGTCTTACCCTATGCAGCCATGGCGATTGCTGGGAAAGGAGGCGCGGCGGCTATTCTTCTCATCACCTTCATGGCAGTGACGTCGACCCTGTCGGCGCAGGTTATAGCCGTCAGCTCAATCTTGAGCTTCGATGTCTATCGGGAGTATTTCAATCGAAAAGCCTCTGACCGTGACATCATCCGTTCCAGTCATTTTGGAGTCATCTTCTTCGGGGCCTTCTCCGCCGGGTTCAGTACCATGCTGCACTACGTAGGCATAGACCTGGGATGGACTCTGTATATGCTCGGTAAGCACCCTTCCAACTCCTAGGCCAATAGCTAACTTTGAAGGCGTGGTTACCTGTCCCGGCATCTTTCCAATGGCGTTTACCATTCTGTGGCGCCAGCAGAACAGAGCGGCGGCCATCCTTTCTCCTGTGCTCGGTCTGGCAACCGGTCTGGGGGTATGGCTAGGGACGGCCAAGCACTTTTATGGCGCTGTTACTGTGTCAACCACGGGCCAGATTCTACCATGCGTCTACGGCACCGTTGCCTCTGCTTTTTCGCCCATCGTTTACTCCGTCATCCTCACCCTCCTGCGACCGCAGAATTACGATTGGGCAGAATTCAAGAAAGAGAAACTGGCTCTAGAGGAACTGGAAGGTGACCTCACGACAGTCCACAGTAACCGGCTAAATGCTTCAACACCCAGCGCAAAGGAACTGAAAAGATGGGGCCGCATCGCTGCGTTCTGGTCGGTAGGCACATTCCTGGGACATTGGGTCCTGTGGCCACTTCCGATGTACGGTGCCAAATATGTCTTTGGCAAAACGGTGAGTATCCGGTCACACCCATGTGAAGAAGAGGCTGACCGTCGTAGTTCTTCGTGGCCTGGGTAGTGGTTGCAATCATCTGGCTGTGGGGCACAATGTTAGTGGCGATTGTGTATCCTATCGTTGATGGAGGCGTCCAGCAGATGACCCAAGTCTATCGAGGATTAACTAAGGGGGAAGAATCGACAAGCACACCAGTAGAGAGCTCGACGCCGTCGTATTCATCAATCAATGAAAAGGAACAGGTAAAAGCCTGAGTGAGTGGAGATTTGCTACTTGAGACTGGATGGCTCAATGGAACTGCAGACACGGCTATGACAGCAGAATGATTTTACTATGCACGAGAATCTGGGCCAATAACAACCTTGAGTAACCTGAGTAGTTGACTATTTAATCTAATGCTTGTTCCATTGTTAGTGCAATTCAAACAAGGCGTGAAAAGACACAGATTTGAGAATCGCTGTCACACTGGGGTATTTGGAAAGAGATCTATATTTGATTGGTACTGAAGCCTTTGCACAATATACTCTCAGAACTATGTGAGATGTTTTGCACCAAGAAGGCCTGCATCTGATACTGTCTCCACATAGGCGAACCGAGCACCTGTCTTCTCAAGGACATTCAAAAACTGATCCTGATAAGCCTGGTTCTTGAGGATGCTACCAGAAAGAATCAGACCAGTATGCTCTGTAGGAACGTATCCATCACAAGCAGGATCTAGCAGACGTGCTACGGTCCGACTTGCCAAGTAATCGATTTGTCGACTGACAATGGCCGAGGCGATGTCGTCCTGTCCGTTCATGCTGAGCACCACTTCGGCAGCACCTGCAATGCGGGCTTTGATCGTCTGTTTGTGCTGTTGAACAAGGATCTCACTGACGAGATCAATCTGCATTGGCCGGCAGGTGACACATCCCAGTCGTTCAAGAACTGCCTGCTCCAAACGTCCTAGTGGCTCTATACGTATACCCAGTCTCGTCTCTTCGAGTACCGCCAAGGTGTATTTGATGGCCTCCAGTCCGATGGCATATCCCCCTCCTTCATCTCCCAAGATGTGTCCCCAGCCGCCGGATCGAGCGATTCGGGAGTACTCATTGCCATCATCACTTCGGTTGTATCGCATGGCCACACTCCCGGTGCCAGCAATGACCACGACTGCAGATGAACAGTCTCGGTGGGAACTCGCAGCGGCCACCAGCAGATCCACGTCGTTTGTTAGTCGGATCTCTTTCTCCGTCAATCCAAACAGCGCGCAGACCCTTGGCAGGAGGGACTCTCGGAGATTCCTCCGGTCAATGCCCGCCAAACCAATCCAGACTGACTTGAAAACGGACCGGAGAGTGCAATCTGGAGACGGAAAGGTCGACAAAGCGTCCTTTGTAGCGGCCATGAGTGTCTGAATTACCTCCTCCATGGCATTTCCATCAGTCCTGTCAACGTCAGCTGTGATTTTCAAAGCAAAAGTGTGGAAGCGTACAGATTACATGGACCTGTCGTCCCTCGCCCGACAACGCTGCCTTTCAGGTTCGCGATGACGGCCGCGCACTTGGTCCCCCCGCCGTCAATGCAGAGTACATATTGTCTGTTCGTAGCAGGCGTCTGTACATGCCTGACCTCTGCAGAAGATATCTGTAACACCTTGGCGAGTACACCCCCAGCAGATGCCAAAGTCTCCTCGCACTGTTCAACCGGTTGCCCCGTTTCCGCGACGAGAAGAGCTAGTTTCACCCTTCCTTTGCATCTTGTCAGCAACTCGTCCAGCTCCTCATCTGTCATACTGTCACAACGAGCGCTCAGCCTTCGCAGGATATTGCGCGATCGCTGTTCCAGCTTCAGATTGGAAGCTACAAGATCTACCATCTGATTCGGTCAACCACATTCTTCAGCTTGCTGCAGCACATACCAGGTTTCCATAAGTCTTGCCCGTTCGGATCATGGTACCCGTGCTTAGCATATTCAGCACCATCTTGGTCGCCGTTCCCGCCTTCAACCGGGTACTGCCCGTCACGACCTCCGGACCTGGCAGCGGAGCAATCAGGAAGTCGACTGTCCCAGATGACGCCATTGCCGAGGGAGAAGCGCAGACCACACCGATGGTGAGGCAGCCGATCTTTTTCGCGAATGCCAAACATCCGAGGACGTATGGCGTACGGCCGGATGCAGCGATGCCGATGACGCTGTCCAGCTCTGGATTGAGCTGCAAAGCTCCCATGTCGGCCTCACCTCCAGCAACACTGTCTTCGGCTCCTTCTTGCGCTCGTCGAATGGCAGCATCACCGCCTGCGATCAGCCCGACAAATTGCGATGGCGGAGCAGCAAACGTCGGAGGGATCTCGGATGCATCGAGGATCCCGAGTCTGATCACAACAATTGTTATCACATCCTTTCCGATGGCCTTCTTTTGGTGGTACTTACCTTCCACTGGTCCCTGCACCCACGTAGATGACTCGTCCACCATTTCGCACTCGCGGGGTTAGCGCATCAATAGCAGCGGCAATTTCAGAGACACATGGTGTGACACTAGGAGCAACACGGTGATCCTCTTCGTTGATCAATCGGCACATCTCCATGGTCGAGATCTGATCGATCTGTGCCGTCCGGGGATTGACGGCTTCGGTCTGAAGCTGTGACAGATTGGCTAGATCCATGTTGCATGCTTCTTCAAGAATGTGTCTGACAAGTGAGTTGAAGCCCCTGCAGTAGTTCCAGGAACTCTACATTCTATATCATCGGTTAGCCGCGTGGTCGCGTGGGGGTTACTTGACAGGGTTACATTGTCTCGGTTACGAGTTCCAATCCGGGTCGTACAGAACGTACCTGTGGAGAATCGAAACACCTAATCCAACCACTCGTGAGCTTTCATAGCAGAATGATCTACAACAGGATATCTGTTATGAGTTAGACGTCTTTTATACGAACGAACTAAGCTTCGCCTAAGGGATGGCTGACCATTGGCCCGATTTCTCCGCATTTGACAGCAAGGGACAAAGGTCGCACAGGCCTCGTGATAGCGAGATAAAACCGACTGTCCTTCCACTGTCCTGTTCAACGATCAAATGATCTGCTCATAGTATAGTCAATATGGGCCACAATGAAATTCATCACGATGATGCCGCCTTGGAGTCTGGCGCTGACTCCCGACAGCGGTCGCTTGCATATCGGATCTACACACATTCGTGGTTCCAGATCCTCCTTATCAGTTTCATCTGTTTCTGTTGTCCGGGAGTACGTCTTCCTCCAACTGTTCAGATCATTCACTAATCTTCAGATGTACAACGCGCTCTCCGGCCTGGGAGGCTCCGGACAGGTCGACCCTACAGTTGCTGCCAACGCCACAGTAGCCTTGCTCGCTGCGACAGCTGCCACGGCGTTGTTTATCGTTGGACCCATCTTCGACCGTGTCGGACCTCGAATGTGCTTGCTGATCGGCGGATGGACCTACTCCCTGTACTCGGGAAGTCTGCTATGCTTCAACCGTATGAGAACGCTCCCCTTCAATGACCAATACTAAACTCTGTTAGATACCTCCAACGGCGCGTTCGTTATCGCCGCCGGCGCCATTCTCGGTATCGGAGCGTCCTTCCTCTGGGTAGCGCAAGGAGCTATCATGACGACATACGTGCCTGAATCCCAAAAAGGCCGAGCCATCGCCGTCTTCTGGATCATCTTCAACTTAGGCGGCGGGGTGGGCTCCCTCGCCAGCTTCGGACTCAACTACCACTCGAAGAGCGGGACCGTCACAGACGGAACCTACATCGCGTTGTTGATCATCATGGCCATCGGCTGGCTGCTAGGTGCCCTGATCTGCCCGCCCGCTTCCGTCCGCGTGCAAGGACTACAGCCCACGCCGGAGACGGAGAAGAACTGGCGTCGAACCGCCAAGTTGACGGTGCAGACCCTGACGGACTGGCGGGTTCTCTGCATGATTCCCATGTTCTTCTGCGCCAACGTCTTCTATTCGTACCAGCAGAACATCGTCAATGGCATGACCTTCAACATTCGCACGCGCTCCCTCAACGGGTCCCTGTACTGGATAGCTCAGATGCTGGGCGGTCTCATCATCGGTCTGATCCTTGATATGCCGCGGGTGAACCGGCAGAACCGCGCACGGGTGGGCTGGCTCTTCCTCTTCGTGACCGGCATGGCCATCTGGGGCGGCGGGTATGCCTTCCAGAAATGGTACGACCGGCGCAGGGCACAGGGACATAAACAGGACATCGACTACTCGCAGGGCCAGCTGTCAACTGGGCCGATTTTCTTGTACATCTTCTACGGCGCATACGATGCGTTTTGGCAGGGGTTCTGCTACTGGCTGATGGGCGCGCGATCGAATTCTCCCGCCGTAGCGGCCATCCTTGTCGGCGCGTACAAGACGTTCCAGGCAACTGGGGGTGCGATGGCCTGGCGGCTGAATGCGCTGGCCAAGCCGGCCATGACGCAGTTTGCCATGGACTGGGGTCTGTGTATGGGGGCCTTGGTGGTTGCCATACCGTCTGTTTTGGCTGTGACGTTGACCAGCGAGGTTCAAGAAGAAGTGAGACAGACGAAGGATGGTGATGAATGATGCTTGATTAGGATCTTATTCTGGAATGATCTATGTCCGAGGTACAGGTCTAATCCAAGAAACACAAAGATTGACTCCAGCAACTATCGCCCCGATAATCCACAATGCACGATCGTAGTGTGTGCCGTTGTAGCGGAAGATAATAGCAAAGACGATTCCACCAAAGTTACCCATTCCTCCAACAATACCAGAGACGATTCCTGTATCTATTAGCGTACGCCTGATAGAAGAGTGTGCTGGACTTACCATTGGCAGTTGGATGCACATGAGGCACAATAGCGAAATTGGCCCCGTTACTCGCAGCAATGAAAAAGGCCATCAGCACCACCAGTCCAAACATCAATCCCTCACTCTTTGGGTTCAACTGTCCAACAGCCAGTGCTGCTGCCCCCATACACACCCCCAGACAAACCAGCCACACCTTCTTGCCCCACACCGACTTCGTATACCGATAGATGAGGTCTGCGATGAACCCGCCCGCCGGGCGAAAGACAACATTGACCAGTCCGAACATGGCGGCCCACCGGCCCGACTTTGTCTGGCCCAGGCTGGGGAAGTTCTTCAAGTAATACGCACCGAGAATGGAGTTAATTGCTAGTTCGGCGCCGAAGGAGCAGGCATACGGCAGAGCGAGCGCCAGCGTTGGCAGAGAGAAGATCACACGGAGTGCTTCTCTAAGCGTGGGCTTTTGAATCATTTCATTGTTCGCAAGGCTGATATCAATAACCGGTTGCGCTTCGGTGTCGACGATCTGCGGCGTGGAGACACCCTTCTTCTCCGGCAGGGTTGAGACATTGCTGCTGGACGGGGCGCCAGATCCGCTGGATCGCTGGAGGTCGACGATATTGCTTTGTATAATGGGATTGTTGTCGTTCCGCTGGGACCATTTTCCGCTCGGGGTATCCTCGCAGAGGAAAAGCATCGACAGGGCGAGTGCGACGATAATGATAAAGGGAACCACGTATGCGACGCGCCAGGCGCGGTGCGGAGTCAGTCCTTGCGAGTGAACGAGGGAGTCATAGATGGCAGGCATCACGAAGCTGATCATATGAGCTTTGCACAGAGGACGCGGGCAGATAACATACTAGGTGATACCACCACCGGCATTGCCGAATCCACCAGCCAGAGCGTTTGCAGTCCCCACGACGTTTTTGTCGAAGAAGCCCGTGCACCAGACCTGGCAGGGCACAAACGTCGCTCCGAGGATCCCGATGAAGAAACGCAGGGCAATGAGTCCTTGGGGAGAGGTGACTAGGCCGGCCATGGCGGTGGGGATGGCGCCGCAGAGGAGACATCCGACGAAAACGTATCGCGGACCGAATCGGTCGCATAAAGGGCCGGCAATGAATCGCATGAGAAGGCTGTTTAATGAGCGAGAGGGTCTACCTGACCGTGAAAGGTCACTTACGTTCCCAACAGAGCCACGATATTGGAGTTGGCGACCTGGTCTTGCGTCATATGCAAGTCCTTCTTGATCGTGACGCTCAACTGTAACGGTTCAGAGGGGCCAATTATGGAGATGAGATGGGGACTGCTTACCAACGGAGGAAATGCATACCATGAGAGGAATGCCACCATGAATCCTAACCAGGAGAAGAAGAAGACGCGACCATAGCGGTCAACGGGATTCAACAAAGGGATCGATCTTGCTTTGTGGTTGACCGGGTTGATCTCGGGGCTGGCAAATGCCAGTTTCAACGTTTCCATCTTGTATCACAGCCCTTATCAAGTGTGTTTCAATTGGGACTATTCTGATGTCTCTATGCTCGGCTTGAATTCTAGAGCAGATCGCAACTGAGGTGGCCAGAAACTATATAATGCGTGACCGGAGTACTAGTATCGCAGCCATTTCGTAGATACAAAGCGATTTCTATCTGCCACGGAGATGATAAACTCTTAGTAAACGAAAAGAGAGGAAAGCCCCAGCTCCTAGGAGATGCAGAATGAAAGAATTAAGTCAGAGCAGGTGCCAAGCAGCTCGGAAAGGATGGACAGGTCAGCCAAGACAGGTGGAAAAGATACACAGCATCCCTGGAAGCAAGCAAACTGGGAAAAGAAAAGAGAAATAACATCACAATCCCCAGTGAATGACTGCATGTCGGGAAATCTTGACAAATACAGTCGTCTGTGGCGGCAGCACAACAAGGCAGCCATTCCATGGCTGGAGCTTCGGGAAGACAACACCACGAGATCTTGGACTCACAGTATTATCTTCATCCTCCTGGGAGCAACAGATAGCTCGAGCAGGAACATGTCGTTTCCGGTCTTATCTACTCCGTATCTGCCATTGAACTGGCATATCTTGGATCTCCGAAGCCACCGCCAAGACCGAACCGATATCTGTACACCTTCTGACTGGTCGATGAGTCCCAAAGGCTTCACTTTGCATGGCATCCTGCTTGATAAGAGTTCCAGAGCTTCATTATGGACATGCTGGATGATCTCCGCGGAGTAGAGCATTCGGGTTAGTGATGGAAATAGAGATAAGCAGAGATAAAGACGGGAGATAAGAACAGCAGAAGTCTAGGTTCGAGGGAGCTTGGCCTCAGCACTGGCAATAGCTAGTCCTGATCTGGATATTGACGGTCTCAAAAAGCTGATATAAGCTAGATCTGAGTCACTACTGTTGCTCATGCCCGCATTCGTCGGTTGATGTTTCTCTTGGCGCGTTGTAGACGAATATGTATATATGTATATCAACATGACGGCCGCCCCCACGCACAAAGGTAATAGTTGTTTTGGCAAACCAATCCATTGAGATGGGTGCACCGGAGTATATGCGGTCTTCTGTGTTTCTATGTACTCAATGCCTTCTAGAGTTCTGGTTCTCACTCAGAAAAAGAAAACGCCATGCACGCCCATTCCCTCAAAAAGGTCGTCCCAAGTGCGCACTCCTAGCATGTTCCCGGGATGACTTCCGTCGTCTAGGTCCCATGCCAACTGGAGGAACACTGCCGCATCAAGGGCGCTCATGTCACCAAGGCATCGACAAAGCTCCTGCAAAGAGCTCACAATGAACGGCCTCTCTGACAACGCTTCAAAGCTACAGGCGCTCTCCAGTCCCGCCATCAACACAGGCCAGAACGCGAACCGGCCCATCGACCTGCCCTTTTGGAGCGGTTGGTCCAGTAAAGGATGAAGCATACAGAGAAGGTTGCCCAGGGTCACACTGGCAAGACATTGAACGTCCGGGATAAGACCCTCATAAAGGCTGTCCAACAACTCTTGAAGGACATTCTCTTTTCCATGGTTAAGAACTAATGCTCGGAGGCAATAGAGTAGGGTAGCTGCCTGGAATGCAGACGCAAGATCCGCCCAGCCTTCGCCCTCAACGGGCTGTGGAACAAGGTCCAATCGCTTTCGCGGTCGCTGCATGCCCACACGTTCTTCCAGTCTCTCGTTGTAGGATTCGAGAGCTCGTTCGGCCCAAGCCGTTGGAGAGAATGTGATGATATTACGAACCAGGTCCAGAATAGCACTGTTAACATGCGCCATGTCATCGTAGGGATGGTGATGTAGGATGAATCTGAGGTTGTTGGTATGGATGATACATGCCAGGAGCTCGTTGGGGCACGGGAATCCTTTTTCTAGACCGTCGGAGTGTATCTCTGGCAGCCAATCGATATATCTTAGTTGCGATGGAGCGTCAGGTGGCAAGCATGACGAAGCCATGAAGACCGAGCTCATTACATCGATTCTAGATTTTCCATCAGCAAATTTTCGATCAAGGAGGAGAGGACTTACAGCATGAAGTGGCTTAATGCATATCGAATACTCCCAAGTCTGGTCGATACAAGCACTTCAAATCCACCTTGACACGCAATGATGTTCTTCAAACCTTCAAAATGGATTTTCCAGTTGCAGAACGCTGATCTTTGAATCTAACGCCATACCCTCGTGTCAGATGAAGACTTTGAAAACACAGAGATCTTGCATACCTCGGACATGAGCATGGCAGTAACAGTATGAAAGACCAGATCTGGCCCCTCTGCTCCTGCTTCGGACAAATACTGATTCAATCCTCGTAACGACCGCGACCGGTGCTTGTAGATTAGAGAGCTTAACGGATGCCGAAACGATTGGAGAGGCTCCAGTTCGCCAGGGTGTACTTTATCGCGTAAGGCCCGTGATCGATTCACTGTGATTAAATGCCAATTGGGCTGCGACTGGATCACCTGGTGTATTGCAGAGACAGAAATCACAAGGCTGAGCAAGAAATCGGGGACGTAGGGCAGTATATTGAGGTCCACCCGGTGGGGGTTGAGAGGTGAATCTACAATGACCAATTCCGGGCAGATGTGGTCGTTGACTGCGAAAGTCAGCTCTCAGATCAACGAGGCTGTACTGCGGCCGTCTCGTACAGTAATGGGAGAACTCCAGGAGCATCTTGTGCATCTCGTAGTCACCCGGAAAAAGTGACCAAGGAATCTTTGGATTTGATCTCGAGCGATATACGAGCACGCCTGCTGACAGACCGCAGCGATTAGGTTAGTGCTCGGTAGTACGGCTGCAGTCCTGCTGGTACTTCCACTAAGCGTACCTTTCTCCGGTTCGAGATCTTCATCAGACCGAAGTGAATCTGATCCAAATCTGGAGCGTTGAGGGGCCCCTTGCATGAGGAATAGCTTCGGTCGTCCCCGTTTTCTCCTTTCCCGGCCTCTGACATGGCTACTGTCGGAGAGTCTTGGTGCTTCCGAAGAAGGAGTTGATGTAGGCGCTACCCAGCGAATAGGTGTAGCTGAGTATCCCAGACATTCCACTCCTCGGGATATGCATCGCATACAGGACGGCTTCCCGGCATCACACACAATCCGTTGCCGTCGGCATGTGTAACATTTTTCTTTTGATTTAGTGGAGCGAACAGACCGGTCGCTGAACATGTTCTAGGCACCCAGAGCGGCAAACTGAGCAGACTATGATGGTGAATTCAGGTTTGTATTAGTTGAGGTTTGTAGAAGACAAAGTCGAGATTATCATGATTCATAACTTCAGCTGGCGTCATCTGAGAATGACCTGATTGTGGCTGCGCTCGTATGAATCACGTGAAGATGGCTTGGCTCAGCCCAAAAACCCCATAAATAGGGGCATTTACCCAGATTGGTTGTCTAGCGCCTGAGGCTATGTACTAGGCTCCCACAATAGCATCCTACAAGGAGCTTATTTCTGCTGGCTTTGTGAAGAACCTTACTATTCCTTCTGTGAGCTAATTTCACTCTTCTATGCCCAAGACTATGACATAATTACACTCAGTACTAGGTACTGAGTAAAATTCTGCAAGGACCCCATACAGCAGACTATTTGTATCAACCAGCTAAAATACATTTCTTACTATTGATACCTCCTTACACTATAGAGGTACTTCATACTCTATAAGCTATAGTAAAGCTTTCTAGATAGCTAAGAATATGACTACCCTACTTATAAGATAGTTTCTATACTCTTCCTAAGTATGAACTTTCACTAGGCTAAAGTCCATTTATAGATCATAATATATATAGAGATTACGATCAGAGAGGCTTATGATGTACAGTCACTAGTAAACAGGTAGAATTCTAACGATATAAGAGGCATTGAAAACAATATATTTATAAAAAGAATAGTATGCAAAGGGGGCCATAGTCTAATCTAGACAACTACGAGTATCATACGTCTTCTTCTAGAAATTTCCACCCGAGATCTCGTTAATACAGCCTTTACTTTATCATCTACTGTCTCTAAATGCAGGAAGAGGTGCAATTCTTCCCACATGACCAACAAAATGCAAATGGTCCGGATTAGTGCTGACGCAACCAGTTACAGGCAAATCCCAATCAGACAGCAAGCACAGCCTGGAACAAAGCCTCAGTTACCCCGCGGAGAACAACTCATCTCAGTGTCTCGGCCTGACTATCAGCCTTGTCAAGCTCACGAAGGAGATGGCCCCAAAAACCGACTCTCGGCTTCCACGATAGCGCCTCAATTCCCTCCTTCCTTCAGGGAGCGACTCTACCTTGCCTTTATCGGTTCGAACAATCTCGCTTCCTGCCCCTCCCTGAGTGTCGCCATGGCAGACCCGGTATCGACAACGGGATTGATTATCCAGACCATTGGAGTTGTCGGAAAGGTATGCAAGTATGGCAATCAGGTCAAATATGCGCATCACGATATCGGGGAGCTACTGGGAGAGCTCTTTGCGCTCAAGGCAATTTTCGAGCAAATTGCAAAGGACCCAAATCTTACAAAGATGCTGTCATCGAAGCCCTTCCAAGATACTGTGCCTGCTGCTACAGGTACGCTGAAAGAATTGATAGATGACCTCGAAAGCAGGATGTCGCGAGGCCAACGGTTCTGGTGGCATTTAGGCTGGCCGGAGCGCAAGGCAAAGCTGCAGGGAAATATCCAGCAATTAGAAAGGCTCAAAACATCATTGATAATGGCCTTACTGAGAGACAATAGGTATGTTCGATCGAAACTGCGCTTGATATAGTCAGTCCTGATAATGATGAAGGGCGGTTGAGGAGGAAATGTCACACTCAATAAATCTCCTGACCGACTTGGGCAAGGAGATGAAGAAACACCAAGAAAGTAAGGAGAACGCAGACGCTTGTAGTTTTAAAGGCTGATAACTGTGGCGGTCCAAGGCAAAGTAAAGCAGAATATCAAAAATTGGTTATGTCCAGTAGACGTCGAATCGATGCACTGCAGAGCGCGATCTTTACACCAAGCTGGCACAGGGTGTTGGTTCATCGATGGACCCTACCAGGAATGGTTCTCGGGGGTAAGGAGAGAAAGATTGCTCTACCTAGAAGGGAAATGTAAGACAAACCCGCGTTGTTTTTGCTTGACAATAGTAACATATTCTTTTCGCATCAGCGGGATCGGGAAAGACTGTTCTTTGTTCGACAGCGATTGAGGAAGCCAGAAACAGCGCGGAGAAAACGGAGGAAATGGTGGTGCTATACTTCTACTGCTCATTCCATCTAGATGCGGCCCAGAAATTGAACCGGCTTCTCGGAGCCCTGCTCGCGCAAGCCCTGGATGTCGATACCCGTATCCCGGAGGTGTTGGAGGCCGAATTTGCGAAGGGGACTCCACTCACTACTGACTATTTAATTAAGTATTTGTCATTGTTCTCCGGGTTCCAGAGGAAGGTCTTTATATTCCTTGACGCCATAAATGAGAGCGATGAGGCCGACCAGATTTTAAGCGTAATGCTTCGTCTAATCGATGCCTTGCCCCACTCCTACATTATGGTGACCAGCACAGCACCGGTGAGAAAGGATTCCCGGATACTCAGGGAGGTGATGAAGCCTTCTTCAAATGAAGGCGACATACGGGCATTTGTCAACTCCCAATTAAAAGTGCAGCTAACGCTTCGCTGTCTTCCACCCGACCTACAGCGTAATATAAGTGAAACACTCATGAAGAACGCAAACGGAATGTATGTTATTTAAAAAACATGGTTTACAATTGTGCTAACACTTTGCAAAGGTTTCGATATGTCCGCTGTCAGATTGACCTGCTGGCCGGTCAGAAAACGGGAAGAAATGTTCGTCGAGCGCTTGAGAGAATCCCAGGAGACTTAAACGGGACATACGAGATTATCCTATGCCAGATCCCCCCTCATTGTCGGGAACTCGCGAAGGAGGCTTTTCTCTTGTTAGCATACAGCCGGGAGGTGCTCACGTTACCGGCACTAAATGAGGCACTGGTGGTTGAGAAGGGTGATCGCTTTCTTGATGACGAATCTAGACTCTTTGATCAAAACCTGATTCTCCATGCATGTCAAGGATTGATTGTATATGATGAGGTCACAGGGGTTGTGACACTGGCTCACTCATCTGTCAGAACATACCTCACATCAGACGAGATTCAGCGTGGTTCAGCATCATTCTTCAGCCTGAATGAGCGCTCGGCCGCGCGAAATATCTATCAGAAGTGCCTGACATACCTCAAGTTTGATGCATTCTGCGCGCCGTGCTCTAATACGGTCTCACTCAAAGAGCGTCTTGAACATTTCCCGCTCCTGTCATTCTCCGCTCACGCATGGGCGCAGCACTGCGGCTGCTATGCCCCTGCTGGCTTTTCACTTGCGTCCTCAGAGATAGACGAGATCGTGGACTTTTTTTTGACGCGTGAACTAAAGAACGGTAGGAACGTTGCATCCTGGGTTCAGGTTATACAGGGTGGAGTGTCTAGCGAAGATGCTCAAGAAACTGAGCCTCTCTATTTCGCTTCGCTATTTGGCATATTGCCTGTTGTGGATCGCCTCATTGACAATGGTGCCCCAGTAAATATCCCCAATAAACGCACTGGTGCGACTGCCATTATTGCTGCTACGTTTAATGGGCAATTGGCTGTCGTAAAAAAACTCTTGGAAGCAGGTGCCGACCCGAACGTGGAAGACCACAGTAAAATGACAAGTCTTGCATGGGCTAGGCAGCACTCCTATGATCGGATCGAGGAGATTTTGTTGGCGCACAGAGCCATCGATATAGAGCGTCGTCCGTCAACTCTGCCTGGCTGGTGGGATTGCTGCACTTGTGCGGGCTGGAATAACCCTCATTTATGTAACAGAATGTGTTCCCTCTGCGGACACGCACAATGCTTATGCTGCACTTGCCTACTATACCACTAATCAAGGAGGGAGGGAAGCCGAAATTATATGATATGTATGTAGACTACTGTCAGAGAAAGTCATAGTATTATAGTCGCTCGTCAATAGGAGGAATTTTGACTTGACCTTCTCGTGATCAAATTATATAATCTCTATCAGCAGCCAGCATATAAAGAATTACAACCCACCTACTAAGGTAGGTGTAGGAGGTAAGGTGACCAAGGGTAGAAGGAATAGCGTGGTGCTCACCAATCCGAATCTAGTGGACGTTTTCTCCTTTCTGATACTGGCATAACTTGAACCACCTCTTTAAAATCCACTTCCCACCTATCTAGTCACCTTATAGCCTCGTTGCGCTGCGTTCAGGGTTTGAAGCACCATCAATGACAGCACTAGTCGTGAGCCCTAGTGTTGCTGCTAGGCTCTGAATTTTGGAGATCTTCTCTTGTGAGCCGAATGGTCTCAATTTTCTTTTCTCTTATGGACTGGAAGTAATTCTTGAAAGGGGCCCTATATTGCTACGGGGCCTCATGATCTAATCTACGACATGGCAGCGCAGGTACATAATTCCCAACATCCGACTTGCTTTTCCCAGCCCACTCTGAAATATGCCCTGAACAGAGCATTTGAGATTGAAGCAATCTGAACTCTGATGAATTTCGGCATCCCCCAGATGACTTCACTCAAAGGATCTCTGCCTTGGCGACCCTCGCGGAGAAATCGGGGCTTTCAGAAGATCCGCGCTTGCACGCCTCATTCGATACGTATCCTGCCACGGTTTTCTACGTGAAAAACCTGGAGTGATTAGTTATAGTGCACTGTCTTCACTATGTGTTACGACCAGATACCCACTTTTCTCCTTCGTTATGGAGCCGAGAATCACTCATATTGACTAAGATCTCAGACTCTCTGTAGCGTGATTGACGGGGTAGCAATCTTAGAGCACGACGAGTATGAGGACGAGTCGCTACCTGTCCTCGCCAAACTTGTGCAGCTAGTCAACGACCTAGGTGTCGCTGCTCCGATCAAGCTTCTACTGATGAGCACTCCGTCAACGAGGGTCGTCCTTCCGTCCAGTGACGAGCGAGTGGCTAGAGTGTTAGGTGCGACGGTTTTTGCGGGAGAGGGTTATATATAGCATCGTCCATTGTATTTGATTTATCCAGTCGCAGTTCACTGCAGTCGCTTTTGGTGTTAAAGTGTAGGGTCACAGTACAACACATATTTCGCGCTGAAGGAGCAAAAATGAAAGCTGCCCTCTTGGAAGCATAATGCGAAGTTGATTTCCTTGATCAGTTGTTTCAGTAGTGGCTGTGGTCAAGACCTGCGTCCCTTCTGGAGTAAGGGCAAGATTAGTGGGTATCCTTAATAGTACAGCTGTTAAAGATATCAAACAAAGGACAATTGTAAGGTAGACAGTAGACTTATGCCAAGTGACAGCCAAGGCGGTAACTGTATCTTCGCTTGGGCATTTTATCTCAACCTGACTGGGCCATGACAGCGGGTCGAAGACGAGGTTACAGGTGATCTCACCCTTCAGAGGACTTCGGGTAACTAAAACCGGGTGACTACCTATATTAAGCAAAATGTCATCATCCTCTTGGTCACTTTTTTTGGACCCCTTTTTTGTACCGGAGGCAAAGCGTGTCAGGCTGTGGAGACTGACCACTAGGCATTTGCCTTGGCGTTGGGGGCCGTGGCCGTGGCTGGGGCTGGACCGGGGTCAACTGGACCGGGGTCAGGATCCTGCAGGGCTCCCCGGGGTCAACGCTTCTTGTCCCGGGATGGGTTATTGTTATCCTTAGATAAGGGATGACATCATTGTGTCTTTGCAGTTGGGAGTAGTACAAATACATTACAAAGTCTTGCCCATCTCCTACCTTTTCCCGTCACTGTGGTCGCAGCAAAGATCCCTTACCATGACTCGCACCTTATTTTTCTGTATTGCAGAAGAGGCTAAGCCTGTAAGTCAATCTGTATCTAATGAAGGTCACCTCGAGGCTGACCGTGATTACCAGTTCGTGCCTACGGCCTTGCGCGAATCCAGCACAGACCCGGAAGACCCTCCCTTTCTGTACTATCTTGTTGAATCGAAAGACTGTCCCAGCACGGGAGAGGGATTCAGAACGGGGTTACAAGACGGTGAATCTTTCGAGTCGGATTTTATCAACGCCTCAAAAGAGGAATGCCAGGACTGGGCATTAGACAAGTGGCTCCAGCCTGTCAAATTCAATTTTATCGAACCGAGTATTATCGCTATTGCAGATGAGCGAAGTGCTCGGGATGGGACTCTGCTTATGAGCTTCTACTTTGGTGAGGATGCCCCGGACGAACCTCCTATGGAGTTTAACGGATATGGCCGTCTCCCGCCAAAGGGCAACACCTGGTACGATTTCAGAATTCATCATAAGGCAGCTCAGTTGTTCCACGCCTCCCTTTTGTTCACTGAACCAGATATTTTCTTTCCGAACTATTTTGGACGACCTGAGAAATTCACGGATGAGACTGGCGTTTTCGATGTGTTGAAAGCGTGGGAGCACACAGAGGAAGAAAGCAGTGACAAGGATGAGTAGAAACCGTACTTCTCCGAATTGCTGCTCTCTCTTCCGATTTTCGATGTTTGATAGGAGAATGAAAATATCTTTTCCTGATTGGCTCCTCTGGACTGCCTGTTGGAGCTTAGCTTCTGGGCCAAGTCTATTATCTTTTGTTCTTGCTCTCCTAATATCAATACAGCATGATGACAATTGTGAATAACGAGTATTGATGATTATATTATTTTAAGGAGACGCTTTCTCCATTCAATAGCTCTCTTTCTATATCTGAAACACAAGGCATATACACCGACAGGTCTTGGCGCGCTGCGCCCAACCAACGTATCACAAGGGAAGTTAACCTCATCTGGGCCCGAGTAAGGTATTTGGCCTTGGAGACCCCCGACCTGAGCATAATGCTTGGATACGAGGGGCTTAGCACCCATAACGTAGCCCATTAAGTCTTCGTGAGACGCACTACAGAGTAATCACAGCTTATCATGGTAGGCATCCACCAGTTCACCTGAGACCCCCACCAATTTCTGTACTTGTTGGAATTCGCAGCCACTCGGTAAATCTTGCGACTGACCAAGATTTTGCTGCTCATGGGGGCGCTCGTCAACTAGATCTGACCGACAAGCAGCCCCGCCCCCTCAGACCCCGAATGCTATGCTTGTATCGCCGAGACAAAATTTACATCTGCTACGTGACCCAACCAATCCTCATGCGCGTCCTGCTAGACTATTTAGTATATCTAACTTCACACTATACGTTGGTTGGTATTTCGCATGTGAAGCAACACTCTGTAGGCCAGGAACGCTTAATCAGCCGTCTACGTTTTCAAAACCCCGTAAACGTCATATGTTCTCTGTAATATTGTAGTTGCTCATATTGTTTCCGGGATATTAGGTCCTGCTTTACCTAGGGTGGGTTTGACATACGAGACTCACGGGCTCTGCCTCAAAGCTACCTGACGAGCTTCCACTCCTCTAAGAGTTCGTCTACCTTCGTGCTTCTTGATCCAACCCCTAATAATCGTGGCTTAGGCAGCACAGACGGGGCCGGAATGACTTTACTCCTTGATAAAGGATCCCTGCTCCAAGGGTCCTGGACCCAAATATCCCTCCCCCCACCGGCCTCGGACGAGGTCCTGCTTCTCCTATTGATAGAAGTAGCCGGCAAGGCAGATAGAACACCAACAAGCACATGTCTCATTATTTCATTGGACTAAGGACAGCTGCCCGGTCTCAGTGGATTGGATACCACGGCTCTGCGAGCTGTGCGTCGTCTCAATATCCCTACCGACTAGGTTTCACGCCTGCGGATGGCCGCCCCCAAGAGATGAAAATAGATCACAACAATGAGCGCTGATCGAATCTATCTAGGAGAGCAACTTGACGCAAATCGTTATTATATAAAGAGCGGTCCAGAAGATTGGCAGGTACAGCATCTGAGAGCAATATCAAATGCACATCATCTTTTTCTATCCCACTTTTACCTAAAGACCTACAACCATTCGACATGCTGTTCCAAAGCCTTGTTAGTCAACTCTTTTTTCTTCTTCTTAGCTGCTCGCCAGTTTTTACGGTCCCAGTCAATGTGCCTGGGGGTGGAGCAGATCTAATTGCGCGTGCTGGCAATAATGGCAAGGGCACATCAAAAAGCAACCCTAAAGATGCAACATTTGACGTTACCGGATGGGAAGACATCGCGGAAGAGGATTGCTATGTAATGCTTTGCCTGAAGAATGGGGAAAGAACCTGGTAAGTACTGTACTTATTACCCAGCTATAAAGTCACCCAACTATAAATTTTTTCACTGATAGATCGGCCGCCAGGCAAAGAAACCCTACACCTGGTCTGAACAAAGTCCATTACCAAAAATCGGGAGCAGCAGCGAAACCTTTCCAGAAGGGCAATGTGCCCAAGCGCCATACTGGACAAATCAATCCCCAGCCTGGAGAAAGGACGGAGACCAATAGTGCAGAAGAGTTTCCCTGGGAGAGTATGTCCCAGGGGGGCTCAAATGCTGATTTGCTCCCCGCAACTAGGCATGAACAAAAATGTATGCTACATGATGGCTTGTATCCTAAAAGCAAGAAAAGAAATTTCTCTAACATATATGACAGTGCAAGGAGCTGCTATCAGAAAAGGCTTTCAAACAAGCGATATTGACCTTGGTGAATGGTTCAAAATCACATTCACAGGTAACCTAGGGCCAATTTGCCAGGCGCTACACCGAGATCCCCCAGATGAAAGTATCTGCAAAAAGCCTGAGGTTTCCCTTTTTGGCAAGAAAATAAACCTAAACGACTGGGTCTGGTACATGGCTAAGGTTGGAGGGAGTCTCGCATACTATCATGCAGCTGGCAGCTCGAAAGACAAGATTGGGAAGCGTATGACCCTCATCGAAGTCCCGAATTATAACAACGATGGAGACAGATTCATGGAGAATCGCGCTGACGGTTTCACGAATGGTGACAATCCGCCGATCGTCGATCTGCATCAGGATTTCAAGCTCGATGGCCTCGTGGCACGCGCAGAACATTACACAAATGGAAAGCCTGCTTCGCTCCAGGTGTTTGATCGAGATCTTGAGAATATGGAGCTTACTGAAGAAGATCTGGAGATTATCAAGCCATGAAGCCGGGCGATCGTCTACAGAGAATGCTTTGCGCTTTGTATGCGACTCTAGGTTGCTTCCATTCACTCGCTTCCATTCACCACTAGCTTTGAACAGTTTATTTCTGGCGCAGATAATCCCTGGGCATAAAGTAAGCAATTTGGGTGTCTTTATTTGTCAGTCTACAAAGAAACAATGAAGTGGGACGGCAGTATCTATCGATTAGCAGAAAGGTCGAGCATCGCCGGACCTAGACGAATTCCATATGCCACTGGCAATAAACAGCCGAAAACAATCATTACTGAACGTATAAGGCTATATAGTCTTCAAAGGGTTTGAATGATGATATGCGGGACTATATCACATTTGCAGGATCTTACCAGCTATAGGGGAGTATTATGTACTTCTGGAGGTCTACCATAGAACCCTCTTAGGCCATCAATCCTTCCAAAAGCAATTTTCGAGGTAGCATGACCGAACCTGACTTCCTTCCACTGTGACGCACAGGTCAGTTTTTGATTAATCAACTTGAGTATAGCCGTTGGTGTAGTAGCAGCAGCTTGTTGCCATAGAGATGGTTAGATTTTCTACCTAGAAAGCTGAACTGTGTGTAGATTGTATTGCTTAGTGTAGAACACTCTTAATAATCTTGTGAATGCTCCATGATTGTGTTGATTGTCAACTGCAGCCATGAAGTCTACCGAGCGGGAGGTCTTGGGATGCCAGCGGGATATATATTCTGGATCGCGAAGCCGGATAACCCCAGATGGGTCACATTGAGGAGGTTGCTATAGACGGCCTCATCGTCGGCTGCGGATACCATAATGAAAAGCAAAAAGATGGAAGCGGTATATTTGCGGGATGCTCCACGATGGACTAGAGAATTACAGGACAATATCTCGAAATTCTTTCCCTTATATCGGACCGGGGATCTGGGCAAGTACACTGAAGACGGCGAGTTCCACTTTGTCGGACGAAAGGACAATCAAGCCAAAATGCGTTGCCAACGGGTGGAACTCGAGGAAGTAGAGCTGCATCTGCGGAGCTGCCTTTCAGAGACAATGACTGCTCAAGTTACAGCTACGCTGGCATCCCCTGCTGCTGCCGGAAACGGGGCTCTCACTCACGCCATTCATAGCTGTAGGTGCGGACAAGTTGGTAGGATCTCTTGATTGGGAGCAGACGGACAAGCCGGCTATTCAGAAATCGCCAACTGAACAGAATGCGTTTGCCTCGCCTACCTCAAACGGCCGGTCCAAACTGGCGCGTCTCGTGCCTGCTTATACCGTTCCATCACTCTACGTGCCTCTACGAAGCAGTCCCTTGACTCCGAACGGAAAGACAGACAGAAAAGGACCGCAACAGCTGGTGTCTATGTTCACCAGGGCGGATTGGCGGCGATTTCAAGCCCCAGGGCAGGAATATCAGCCCGCATCCAGTTCGGTTGAGAAGCAACTTGCTCATCTTTGGATATCGTTACTCCGAGTCACAGAAGTTGGGCTCCAGGACGATTTCTTTGGACTTGGAGAATCTCTCTGTGCATTGCGTCTAGTCGTCGCTGCTCGAAGGGAAGGCCTGTCACTGTTGACGGACAAGATCGTCATGAACCCAGCTTTGATAGCCATGGCAGAGGTCGCTTCTTCCATTTCCAAGGGTAGCCGCGTTCTCACTCCTACCCGAAAACGAGAAGGAGGAAAGTCTACAAGGGGGAGCCTCTCAGTGCGGCGCAGCCATAGCAGATATCGAAGATGCTCATCCTGCCACACCCCAGCAAACGTTCTTCATAGATGGCGGCATCAACTCTAAATTGTTTGAGAGGCAGAGCGTACATCTGCTGCCAAGGTGGGTCGATTCCGAGGAGTTTCTTCAGACATGGGATACAATAACCGGCACCTAGGAGATTCTTCCTACTCGGATGATCCGCCATCCATGCAGCTTAGGATACATTCAAGCAGTGGTTAAGGAGAATATCATGTGCAGCTGTGGCGAGTCGCTTGAGGGGTATCTGGAGCAAGACCACAAGCACATATGGGTGTTGGCAAACCATTGTATCGATTCGGGTTGATCAACGATTCCAATCTGGGAGCGAGGTTTTTTCGTGCTAACAGTTCAACATGCTGCATACGACGCCTACGCGTTATCCTAACTGTTTGAAACAGTAGATCTCGTCTACCACCGGAGCTACTGCCCTGCTTCAGAGTTGAAGTACAACCGTTTCATCGAGCGAGTCGTTCAGATGGATCACCACGCAGCGACGGCGTTCTGGAAGTCGTATCTAGCCGACGTGGACACGAAGCCGTTTGGTGATGTTCCCAAAGGTCTTTCGGGTTTTTGCCGCCAGATGCCTCCAACGCCATGTCAGGTTGGTAAGCTGCTCGCGGAGTACCAAGCCAATATCTACGCGTCCGAATATCTCTTCCGTCACGATCAGTAACATGCTCGATTGGAAGGATGTAATTCTGGAGCTATTTAGTAAGGGTAGTCAAGGAAACGAAGTCTTGCTTACTGCTACTCTAGCTGCCTATCCCTTGAGGATTCAAGTAGATCCCCAAGATAGGGTCCTGGAGCTGATCCACCAGACCCAAGAGGACTCTGGCTTTATCACCACCTTTGATCAATTCAAAATTGAAAATATTACCCAAATCAGTCCTTCTCTGCATGAAGTCTGCAAGACCGCTATCCGCATAAATATATTACCATTTCTCAAGCCTACTAAGGCAAAACCCCTTCTCCCTCTCCTCTGGGGTCGATCTGCCATCTCTCAATCACTGGGACTGACGTGTGCCATCATCCGGGGTGGTATCAGGGTGGAAGCAGCTATTGACAAGCAACTTATCCCCATAGATAGGGCCGATGAGTTACTACGGAGATGGGAGCTGGCACTGCTACAAGTCTCCAGCGCAGATGACGACCAAATTGTCGCGGATATCGACCACGGAGGTTTCAAAACTCTCGCACCTTTAAAGTTACTTAAGTCCATTTTCAAGAAGTCAAAGGCAGTAAAGTGCAAGATATTGGTAGATCAGGCTCATTCTGTGCAACTAGTGGCTAACTTGTTCTAAGACACCTGGTTCTTAATAGGATGGGATTATACATCATTCCATCATGATAGGGATATGCCGTCCCCTCCAAGCCTCTGAGGTAAGGGGTCCTCCGCAGCCGACTCCAAACCTGGAAAGAATATAGTGAGAGTACTTCTCCACTAAAGAAATTCCATGACGGAAAGCAAACTACCATCCTACACTTACTGTATAGGATCCTAAGTACTTTCATGTCTCAAAAGTCCTACTTTTAGTGAAGCTGGATTTCTTCATTAGTTAGAAAACCCCACAAGTACCCGAACTATGACCATTCCGTAGTGTATTCACAAAGGCTCCCGCTCGGGAGGTCCCGAGCCACTATCCACTATTTGGATGAGGGAAATTAATGGAATTAATGGAATTAACGGAATTATCGGTGGTAGGCGAGTCCCAAAAGCTACAACCAACCGGATACTTACCAGTCCCTATAATTTTGTCACCAAAATTGCTGGACCCTCGCTGATAAGGGTCTGATACGTATTATCTCCGTAAAATTCTAACAGCCCAATTTATACAAGCTTGGTTACTTTAGCCTCAAAGTGTCACTAAAGCGCATGGAGTCTCATATCAAGCCGAAGCAAGTGAGCCATAGCCATATGACAAACGCGCATGTCTCCATCAGCTCTTCCACCTCCCTTGCCAGAAGACAGCAACGGCAACGGCAACCTCGAGGCGATCGGAGATAAAACACAGCAGGGCGAGTCTGAGAAGGAAAAACAGACGGTCGAGTCGTCCACTATGGCATCCTCGTCTGTGAGTCGTGTAGACGATGGTCCTGCTACTGAAGAAAAAGCTGTGGGTAAGCCGCCAGAACCTGCTATGGAATATCCGAAAGGAATCGAAGTCTTGTTCATCATGGCTGCGCTCGTGCTCAGTATCACCCTCTGTTCTCTGGATCAGGTGAGTTCTAACCGCTGCAAGCTTCTCGTAGAGTCGTCTTTTGCCAATGCAATACATTACGGGCCAGTAAGCTGATGCTCTCTATTCAGACCATTGTTGCAACCGCTATTCCAAAAATCACCGACCAATTCCGCAGCCTTGACGATATCTCGTGGTACGGTTCGGCATATTTCATGACGCTCGGAGCCTTCCAGTCAACCTGGGGCAAAGTGTTTAAATACTTTCCCCTCAAAACGAGTTTCCTGGTGGCAATCTTCATCTTTGAACTTGGGAGTTTGATCGCCGCCGTCGCCCCAAACTCAATGACTCTGATTGTTGGACGTGCCATCTCCGGTCTCGGTGCCTCGGGTATCGCGCCTGGAGTATACACGATTTCTGCCTTTGCTGCTGAGCCCACCAAAAGAGCTACCTATACGGGGGTCATTGGTGTGTCATATGGCGTCGCTGCTGTCTGCGGACCACTTATTGGTGGGGGGCTTACAAAAGGGGCATCCTGGAGGTGGTGAGTCAGGAAAATTTTACTGCTTTGTCTTTGTTGCAAAACATGGGACCATTCCCCAGTTATCGAATCCTGCCATGACCGGACCTGGCCTGATGTGACAAATTTAGGTGTTTCTATATCAATCTTCCAATCGGTGGTCTGGCCGCTTTCGTCATCCTGCTCACCTTCAAGACCCCTAAAGCCGCTAGAGTGGCCCAGGCTACGCTCAAGGAAAAGTTTTTACAGATGGACCCGATAGCGACGGTGCTTACAATGGGTGCACTGACCTGCATACTTCTAGCTCTTCAGTACGGTGGTGTAACCCATGCGTGGAATTCCAGCGTCGTTATCGGTCTACTCGTCGGCTTCGTTGTCATAGTTATTGCCCTTATAATTGCAGAAATATGGCAAGGTGAACGCGCCATGCTGACACCACGCATTATGCGCAAAAGGACCGTCTGGGTCAGCAGCGTATGGGGCTTCTTCTTCGCTGGCGCCTATTTCGTCACGCTCTATTACCTCCCTATTTATTTCCAAAGCATCGACAATGTCAGTCCGATTGGCTCGGGTGTGCGCAACATTCCTCTCATTGTCATGTTTGGCATTGCCACGTATGGCTCAGGCAGAGCCATCACGAAGACGGGTATTGCAACCCCTTATATGGCAGCTGCCTCTGTGATCGTGACCGTCGCGTCTGGTCTACTGTATACTCTCGATATTGGGACCTCGACCGGCAAATGGGTTGGGTATCAGATCTTGGCGGGCTTCGGATACGGCCTCGCCCTCCAAGTTCCGGTCGTCGTTGCGCAGGCTTTTGCTGCGCCAAGCGACATAGCTCCTACGACCGCGATTATTATATGTAAGTTCTCGTCCGCCCTTGTCCTTGGATGTCGTCAATTTTCTTTGTCTCTTGTTTATTCCCAAGCTAACTATATCCCTCGTGCACAGTCGCTCGATCTGTCGGCGGCACACTGATGCTCGCAGCCGCGCAATCCGGCTTCGTCAACCAGATCGTGCACAAGCTTGCCAACACCGCACCGAGCGTCAATCCCGCCCTAGTCACGGGTACCGGTGCCACTGATGTATACCGGCTATTTTTCGGAGCCGAGCTGGACGGTGTTGTCCGTGCGTACGCATGGGGTATCAAGGTTGTTTTTGCACTTACTATTGCGGCCTGTGGCCTCACTGTCCCCTTCAGCTTGTGCAACACATGGGCCAATGTTAACGCGAAGAAACCCAGTAGTGGCAGTGCTTGAAACAGCTGTTCAGACGATTATGCCAACAGAGTTATAGCCGTTTTCTCGTTATAGAAATTATCCATCATGTGGTCTGAGTTTGATGCCTACGTTTGAAAACCGTCACTGAACCGTTGTAATTTTCAATTGAGATTTTAGAAAATAGATCCAAATTGGACCTTGTCTGTGTTGATGGTTTTAATCATTAACAACTACTACTCTGTAAGCCCAGAGGCCCTAGATGCCTGGTGAGATCCAGGATGCTGGTGCGAAGGTTATTTCTTTCCTTTGCTTCTTTTCCCCGCAGTGCGTGTGATGAAGATGTTCTTCATCTGTTCTGGAAGCATGGCGACTACGTGCTAGGGGGCCACAACAACGTGTGTGTGAGACATTATTCGATCGTATGTCACCCAAGAGGAGTATATACCGCCCAAAATGAGAATGTCTAGTATGTTTGGAAGCTTGAATGTCAGGCCCCTCACCTCCCTTGACCCCCTGGTCCTAGAAACATATCAATACCATGGCCGGCAAATATCGCCGAGACATAGTAGGTGTAGTTATAGTCGCTCAGATTGCAACGCATGCTATCAGACTAATTCAAAATACTGGTATTTGTCAGCTATTGGTGAAGTCCATCGTGCTAAGGTCGCGACTATTTGAAGATACACATAGGTGCAGATGTAGCTGCTGAAATTATGATGCCCTACAGATACCCACCTCTGCGTGAGATAATACCTGGTATTCCCAATTAGTGGGTTACTGCCCAATAGACAACTGAACATCATATCTACTATTAGGCATATAGGGGCCACTCTGATTAGGTATATTAACTCTTATTCCATACACAGACATATGCCTGCCCGCTGTAACTTTTTTAAGCTGATGGAGCCGCCTAGTGATTCTAGTGAGGCAGGATTAAGCTTTAGGCAGCTATCTCCCACCTTTACTCATCCTTTTACTACAGTTCTAGGCACTTATACTGCAGGCATGAGATGGATAAAATAAATTAGGTTAGAAGAGCTCCTACAGGCATATTCCTCTGTCTAAGGCTTGGTGCCTCCCCCTGCTCCTGCTAGGTAGCTCAGCCTTGTCACAAGCTGCGCCAAGTTCATGTGTAATGAGGCGCCTAATGTGACCACAATCCACACAGCCCATGTAGAAATAGATGGGCTTTCTATTATGTATCTGAAATAGCATTAAAACAGGGATCTTTATGGTGAAAACGATTAGGCAGCCTTATTCTACTGTCTATTAGTCTCATGAGTCATTCAGTAAAGGCAATCACAGATATGCCTGTTCCAATCTTTGCTAGTAGATTTAAGAATAGCTTATTTAGCTGCTTTAGTAATCTCTAGTTACATATTACCATAACTGCAGATGTTGAGTCCCAGCCAGAGAAGAGAGAAAGGGTCCTGGAGAGACCAGTTTGCCGTTCCCGTCTCTCAGAGTGATGATCTACTTCAGCAAGTACTACTAAAGAGTATGTACATCCTTTTATTGCTCGTCCTGTTTCGTGGCCTTCCCCGTCAGTTCGGCTGTATGATCGCCCGGAGCTGCTCTATCTCACGGGAAAGTCAATTGTATGCCGGAGTCGATTGCTTTCTCATCCTTTGTAGGGATTTGCGCTCCCTCCGAGCTTTGCAGAGCTGGTTCGCCAACTCCAGTGCATCAGCGACCAAGTCTATATATGGCATCTGGACGCCTCCAGCTGACTTGTTCCATGGAGAACGTCGTACTGTACCAGTCATCTTTCAGTCTTGGAGGCTTGATTATCAACTATTAACCATTTTGCAGGATAAGCCTTAGGAATACACATGAAGGTATCTTAAAGGCGCTTAACAAAAGCTATAAATAATTTGCAATCCACCATCTCCCTACTTGACATATGAGCAATTCAGTGAATACCTAGCAGACCGCCATTCAGGTCGCTAACAAGACCTTCAAGGACTGTTTCTAACGGGTGAACCGTCGCCACATCGGATCTCGAAGCCAATCATTCTGCTCTGCGCTCCCTATGTAATCGCCGCTTCCGCCCCAAGTAGCAAAGTACTGACCCCGGCTTCCCCTGTCCGACGCTGTTCCAAAGAGTTTGGCGGTATCTACGACTGAATTTATGTCGAAGCCTTTTGCACCCATGGATTGCATGCTGCTCGCAAAACCACCGCCATCACCACCCATGAGAACAGCCAGGTACATAGTCTCTCCTCGAAAGAATCGGCCCGACGCTTGAAGGTATTGATGGGTGTTACGAAGAAGATTGCGACGAGTGCGGCGTGATCTCGGAAATGGTCGAGGCGCTGGGCGATTTCGCAGAATGTAGCCCATGCGCCGCGCTCGTCTTCGAATCCGGGGGTGTCAACGACGAAATGTTCGGTTTCGTTGATTTGAGTATCGATTATCTGGCATCGTTCCGTTCCTACTTGAGGATGGGCAACTGGTTAGGGCTAGAAGCTTTGAATTGTCGAGGCAGCAGATACCTGTTTCTGACGCCCCGGAGAGACCAGATATCCCCGTGATGTGCTCTGCCAGCGAGGATTTTCCGACGCCTGGTTTACCAAAAAGCAGTATAGCCCTCGCAACGCCTGTCTTGTAAGCTTTTATTTTCTCAAGACATCTCTCTGTTCTCTTAATGTTCACCGACTCGTGATACTCCATTGTGGTGGAAAAAGCTCAAGCTGAAATGATGTCGGTCCCATAGGATACAGTGAAGGAACTGTACTGCGGGATGATTCCTAAGGCGCTTTCGACTACCTCCTCAGTTAAGATCTTGTGATTCAGTAAGGACTGATTTCGATTGCAGCCAAATGGGCGTGAGGATTTCTCTACTCCTTGACCAACTGGAGCCACGTAAGCATGCCTCAGTGAGCGAAGTCTTGATCCTGCTTGGTGCGGAGCTCAAGGCGCACACTTCGCGACAAATTCTGCCTTTTTATCTGACCACCGTTGGCATGCAGCCGCCTCGGAACGGACACGGCGTTGCTTTACCATTTGTTGTGAGGACTAGGTGGCGCAAATGATTGGCAACAAGACATCGGGTCTCACACAGCCTCAACTGGCGACAAAGAATGGGTGCGAACGTCTTGCCGTCAGCCTGTCGCTTTCGAGGACTTTGATTGAAGGCAGAGCGAGCCGCAGCATGCCACGCTTTGACACCCCTATGTTCTGAGTCCTTGCTGAATAGCTTTGAATTGCCTTTTCTTACCTCGAGATTGTCGCAGCTCCAAGAATCTGCATATTCCCTTTATCTAATCTAATAGCTATGGTACCCCGGTGGTGGTCAGCAGGCCAATCATGCTTTGCTCCTAGGCGCCCTTACCTCACAATCCAGGACAAGGCCAACACCTCCTGCCTTGTCTGTTACTGTGTTCATTTTATGCAAACTTGAGAAGTCTTTGAACATTACGTTTATCAAGGTCAGGTTCCTTGAGCTGAACCTGAGGACCTTCCACTTTGTTTAGTACTGGTTCAGGTCCCTGGAAAACTTCCATCCACCATGCATAACGCGTCAAGAGGGCTCAATTATCCTAAGTGCATGACTTGTGGATCAGTCGTGCATGATTCAGCCGATTGTCCTTGGAAGGGCAAGCAGCACTTAAGATGTTATAAATGTATAACCATACTCTTACGGCAGGGGACTGATGCTGAGACTTTATAGGCAGGAAATACGGTCACTGGGTGAAAGAATGCAAACTACCAATGGGTTGTTTTCAATGTATGGACACACTCCGAGATGTCCAAAATTCCTAATAACCTGATGTGCAGGCGGTAGTTTCGGGCATTGGGTAGAAAGTTGCAGATACCCAAAAGGATGCTACAACTGTGAGAGAAAGCCTCCGAGAACTTGGTGATTGTAGCTAATAGTCTGAGTGCTATCAGGCGGCCAATATGACCATTTCAGCCCAGATTGCCCCTGGGATTTCGAATCGAGAGACTTTGAATGCGAGCCTAGTTCCTATCCCGACGTTAAGCCAACCGCCGTCGTATCAGACTCACCCGCACGGTCATCAAGAAGGCTGGCACGTCACAGGTCGGCCGGCCCAGGAGCACCTGAGAATACGGCCAGTTCAAGCGACATTTCCATAAGTCCACACTCAGGAAAAGTCTTGGAAAACAAGCTTCGGACCTTGCGACTTGACCCACAGGACAAGCCCCATGTCACCCAGGGCGAAACGGCCGGAGTGGCAGTGGATGTAATAGGTGAACACGCGGACGCTCATAAGAACAAGGGTTGGCAAGATGCGGCAGCAAAATTAACGTCCAGGTGGCTCAAGGAGTGGGCACAAACTTCAGAAAACCTGAAAGAAGCGCCAGCCATTGAAGGACTCACCAACTCCCCAATTTACCAGGAAAGTATGCTTCCAATTGAACAAGTTAGAAGCGCCCTTGAAGTTCGAGCGCAACGACATAGCCTGGAATTGAACTGGCGGGAGTCGATTGTCGATCTTCTGAAATTACTAGACCTGGCTTCCGACATCCAAGCGCGCTCTAGACTAGCAAGACTGCTAAACGTCCAGAACTTCCTTCCAGGGTCCCCAGAAGGCAACATGGCTCTTCATCGTGCAGTTATCCAGGAATTAGCACGGGGCGGCGGAGACCTTCCAAGGGACATGAGGAACCAGCTAGTCGGTCCAGGGAAATCAGCAAGCATGGTAGGAATGGACAGCGAGGAAAGCGAAGTTGGAAGCGTATTTTCAGAGGACTCAACAGCTTCTTCAGTGTCCGCGTTCAGTCAGACCGCGAATCCTGCTCAAGAGATAGCGCACCTGCTGCGTAGCAATAATGCCCTGAGTCCGCTTCTTATTATCGCATATGCGAGATACAGCACCAGGAGAGTTACAAGAAAGCTTAAGAGCTTAGTTTCTCATTATGGGCGTGATCTGGTGTCTGAGGCTTCTAGTAACGCCCAGAGAATTGCCGCGCAATTTGTTGGCGAAGCAGCGCGGCAAATCACAACTCAGTTAACTAGGGCAATGGCGCAAGAAGCCAAGAGCAGCATTGACTCGAATCGCAAGGAACTTGAGAAGCTTCTTTTGGCACAATCAACCCAACAACAAGCCGCCAATGACCCCAAGGACCCATTGTATGATACTGAGGCGGAGCATTCAGAGCAATCAGAATCTGAGAGTGAGCTTTCGCTGCCTGTACTCAAGGAGGTTGAGCAATTCATGATTGAATCCAAAGCGTTCACCATTCTGGTAGCCAGGATACGGGAATGGCTGGGTGTCCTTGACGAAGATGTCGATGAAAATACGCCGATTGAACAAGTAACCAGGTCTCCGAAATCCTCTGACTCAATCAACAGTGCCATAACAGAACAGACGGCATATTCACGGATAGCCGAGCTGTCTCAGCCACTTACTACGCTTGAAGCGTTGAACAAGGAGACGAACCAAAGCTTCCTGCGACGAGCCCTATCATGGGTTACCCTATTGGAGCCTATGTTCTGGCCAAGACCCCCAGAAGGATTCAAACGCATTACATGGAAAAGTCCTCTCGGAAAGCCTCTTTACATCGACGTCAAAGAGCGCGAGAATGGTGCAGTAGAGCGCTTACAAGAAAGGTTCATAGTATCCGCTCAAGAACGCTTGTCAGCCTCTAGCTCTTCTTCCTTCACTTCCAGTACACTGGGAACCGTCTCAAGTGACACACCAGCTATGACGCTTCGCGCGCCTCCCGCTGCCCTTGTCATGAACAGGTCTTCTAGTCAGTTCACTGTCTCTCATCACGCCAATATAGCACACAGTCAGCCCAGTCCAACCGTGTCGGCAACAGTACCGAACAATATCCGCCAAGCAAGTGGGAAATACCTCCTAGTCTGTTTCAGTACAAGTAAATCAGAGAGATTCGAACAGATCGACGTTACGCACGTCGGCAACGATCAAGCTCTCTTTGAAGAGCTCCACACCCTCTATAACTCCATTAGGGAAGACGAATCGTGGACCTCCAAAATACCGCTTTTAAGTCCTGGGAAGATGCCCCCTTGGCTATGTTGGTTCCTGGACCATTTACATCTTTACGAACCGAGGAAGATAAATTTTGTATCTGTAAGTGACCCAAATTTCCACGTCTCCCTTCCCGTTCATGCTTCATCTCTTGAGTATTTGCACTTCCTGAGCCCCTCATTCTAAGATCGTTATCCAGTTCAGTCTAATGCCCCTCGGCCGAACCCCCACCCCCTTTAATATAAAGACCCCATCCATCCCGCCAGCACGGGAAGTCCACCTCCAGAACTGGCACTACTCTCCCTGTCCCATCGAAATCGAGGAGTGGGCTATAAGTGAAGCTTTTGCAGCCAAGCTCCTTGAACCAGGACACGCGTTTCCAAACGCAGAGTGGTTAGAACTCTTCCCTAAGAAGTTGCGGTCGTCTTTCATCTACGAGCCAGGTAAAAGGTCTACATTGTGGGGTATAAATATCATTGAAGGGCTCAACAAGGCTGCCCTCGTCCGGATCGCCCTTTGTGTGGTGCTCTCGAGCGCGTTGCTGGGGCTGGTATACTCGCTTGCTTCGCATGACGTGTCCGCTGCCTTCGCGTTGGCGGGGTGGTTTGCGACTTCTGCGGCTCTGTTCATTCCGTATTTTCAATTCAAAAAATAATCAAATGAAGTGCCTGGTCTGGGAAAGATTTCATGTTGCATACATCTGAAACAAATTCAATATCTATAAGATTAAATAAGTGGTGGTTAAAATGTATTCTTAGACTATAGTAATCAGTGAAAGTTAATATATATATATATGAGATACAAAAACTACAACTACTTTCATACTAACTCCGAACAGCAATAGTTATCCCTTATACCTCAGCAACGAGAAGTTATTCTCTATTAACGATGTGACAGTTAAACCGCGACTGGAAATGGCTACTCGCCAGCTCAAAGAAGGACCTTGCGCACCTCCACCGACCCAAAAACCACATTGCCCCCAGAAACCTCCAGAGATACACCGTCCGCGGACACGTCAGGGAAGATCAAGTTCGAGATTACCGCCTCGCCTAGCCCGCCAAAGACCTCGAGAGAGCACGTATCAACCAAGACACGCAAGTGGACCTCGCCATTCGCACCAGGCTGCACAGTAGCAGTGTGGACGCCGCCAGCTGCGGGATCGTACGAGATATCCCCACTCGCATTACGATCGACGGAGAGCTGTTGAGAGCTCTGCACGTACCTGATAAGCGTCTGCTGAGAGCCTGCCTTGCGAACAGCGAGAGAAAGCGTAGAACCGGGGGAAGGTACGAAAGTCATCTTGATGTCGAGCGTCCGGGAGTGGATGTCGGAAAGCAACGCCTGTCCAGGGGCGATGGTTGCATTCGTGAGATTTGCGACTGGCCACGCGTACGCGTCGATTTCATCGACGGGCTGTTGCACGAACCGCAGCTTGCCACTGTTCAGCTGCTGAAGCTCTAGTGTGCGGGGAAACGACAGCATTCCCTTCCAGGTGTTTGTTGGAGGGTTTCCGCCGTAACTGTTCATCACGGAGGCGAGGATCCTCCGGCCATCCGTGGATGCAGGGACGTTTTCCCACGTGAGCGCCCCGTCAAAGTCGCGCCCGTAGTCGAGCCAGAATGCGCTGGGGTGAACAGGGTCTGCGGTGAATACCGCACCGTCGAAGGCGCCCGTGACTGCGAAGACGCCATTGCCGCCGGCGGGTGATCCAGTGGCAGGGGTAATGACAAGAACCCATTTCTTCTGCGTTGTGCCTTTGATTGGGAGTTCGAAAAAGTCCGGCACCTCCCACCCGTTGATTCCGCTGGGTAAGTTTGGAATGTTACTGGCAGTGAAGTCACTTCTCCAGGTCCAGGCTTTGGCATCACTTGACGTCCAGAATGTGAGTTTATTCTGGCCGCCGTGTGCGAGGATCATCACCCATCTGCTTGATGGAGTATGGTAAAACACTTTGGGGTCCCGGATCTCCAGACCCTTCGTGCTATCATGCGGTTCTTCCTGCGTTTTTGGAATAATTGGATTTCCTGGGTATTTGATCCATGTGGCGCCCTGGTCAAGACTGTATGCAAGCCGCTGGTCCTGCACTCCAGTCGAGGGAAAGTAGCCAGTATAGAAGGCGAGATACGGAGGGTTCGAGGCGGATCCCAGTCCCGAAAGGTTCTGCGGGTCAAAATATGCGGACCCAGTGAATGCCTGAATTCCATCCGCACTGGAGATAGCAACTGGTTTGTGACTCCAGGAGACCAGATCTGTACTGGTCGCATGGCCCCAACTGAGGTTGCCCCAGAAGTTCCCAGTGGGATTATGTTGAAAGAACAAGTGCCACGTGGACCCGATCTTGATCAGGCCGTTGGGCTCATTCATCCAATTCTGCTCTGGCACAAAGTGGAAAACAGGACGGAAGTCGACAGGAACTGTAGCGGAAGGCTGAGTGGCGGTGCTTGTGCTTGTGCTTGTGCTTGTGATATTTGTACTAACTCCTCTCGTACTGAGTGTCGTGCTCAGTGCCGTGCTGGTCGTGCTGCTGCTGGTGGGCGCATCAAACGCGGACGCCAGAATCTTTGCATCAATCGTGATCCCACTTGTACTTCCCTCGGTTGAGAACAGCCGGACATCGGCGCCCGTGTCTTGGGGGAAGATCTGCGCCGACAAGGTGACCTCGCCTTGGCCACCAAAGACTTCAACCGAAGAGGAATCAAGAAGGATGCGCAGAGTGACCTTGCCGTCACTGCCGGGTTCTAGAGGCGCGTAGTACGTATTGGAGAATGTCCCGTCAAAGCCGACATTTCCCGACTTGGTTCGATCGACAAACATTCTTTTCGTACTGAACTCGTACCCAACCCGGGTTTGCTGTGTCAGGTCAGAGGTTGCTCTGAGGAGGACGCCAAACTGAGCTGGAGATGCCGAGTTCCGGTGGGAGAATGCCACGGTGATATCCAGGGACTTCCCAGAGAGCGGAATGGATTGTGTTCCTTGAGGTACGGTGGTTAGAGCATCGGAATATGTCCCTGTTTGTAGACTGGCCCAGTTGGCAGCGGGTTGCTGGATGAGCGTTGGCCATCCGTTGATGGTCTTGAGTGACAGCTTCCGAGGGATGGACAACATGCTGCGCCATGGAGAGGTAGGGATGCTGGCCGCGTACTGCCAGTTATTCATCCAGGCAATGTTGATGCGGTCTGCAGAGGCAAGCCCATTGAATGAAGCCGCAGCATAGTGGTCAGGCCCCCAGTCCAGCCAGTTGGTCCCTCGTGGCTCAGCCGATACATCCGAGAAGGAGATTTCATCCACCAGAATATGGCCCCAGCCGGTCGTGCTGAGATCTGCAATTTCAATAACTGCACTCTTGCCAATTAAGTCCGTGACGTCCCAGCTCGTTGGCAGGAGCTGCTCGCTATCACTGCCCGTGGCGGTGCGGACGACGTTGCCATCGACCCTGAGGTTGATGCATTGCACACCGGGAGCATTCCCACCACCAATGAGGAAGTTGATCCTCTTTTGTGTAATTGTAAACGCGGGCGAGACCAGTGTTCCAGTCGTCGCATCGCCATTGTAAAACGTGTTGACGAAGTTTCCGCGATACCCAGACACCACCTGCTGTCCCGGCAGCGTATCCTGGGACGGGCTCTTCCCGACAAGATCTCCAGTGGCGGTCCACCCACGACTCTCAAAAGTACCGGTCCCATTGAAATTAAACGCAACATCTTCGATGGACGCGGGAGGGGTGGCATCCCCAGTGAAGGTAATCTCGTCAACGAGGATATGTCCCCAACCACCCGTTTGCTGATCCACAATCTCAAGGACGGCAGTCTGTCCGATATACTCAGCAACATCCCAAGTTTGCAGCAGAAGCGTTTCCTCATTGCGGCCAGTGGCAGTGCGCACGGCTTGGCTTTGCCCCGCGATCTTCAAGTTGATGCATTCGGCTCCTGGTGCGTTACCGCCGCCAATGAGGAAGTTGATAAGTGGCTGAGTGATTGTGAAGGACGGCGAGGTGAGGGTGCCAGTAGTTGAATCACCGTTCAAGAACGTATTGACAAGGCGAGCGCCAGCATATCCGGAGACGGTTTGCTGTCCGGAAAGAGTTCCCTGAGCCGGTGCTGCCCCGACTAATCCCCCTGTGGCAACCCAGCCGAGAGACGCAAAATCCCCAGAACCTTCAAAATCTTGGAATATGACATTCCCTGTCACTGCAGTTTCTCCTGGGCAGGGGCAGGTAGAGGATGTTTGGGTACTCGTAGTAGTGGGCGTCAACACGGAGGTGGGGGTTGTAGACGGAGACGGAGTGTCGGGGTCGGCAACGAATGCCGTGCCATTGAAACTGCCGATTATGTATTGTGTTCCTGATCCGACAACTCCAGGTGGTCCTCCGGGGTTGAGTCCAATCTGTACGACCCATTTGGTCTGGGCCTCGCTCCCATCAAGGGCCAGCGGGAAGATGCTGGGACACTCCCAGACACCCCCGACTGCGTTCATTGGGCCGAACTCACTGGTGTACGTCCACTCCTTGAGGTTCCGCGAGGTATAGATGAGCAACTTGTGGAGCTGGGCCAACGAGATGACCGAGACCCATTTCTGGGTTGGCTGGTGCCAGAATACAAATGGGTCCCGGAAGTCACGCCACTGATCTGCGTAAGGTGCTGGCGGGTTAAGAATGACGGGGTTAGCCGCATCGTAGGTCGTCCATGTGAGACCCTCGTCTAGACTGTAGGCAATCGATTGAGCTTGCTGTCCACCATTGACTGCCTTGCCGCTGGGTAGATTGCGGGACGCGGGATACTAAGCAAAAGTCATCCCAGGTGTCCGGCATGGTAAGTATGGAGGTCACAGGACTCACATAGGAGGTGTACATTGCCACAAATGGGACAATTCCGTCTGTACCGAACCCGCTCGTATTATCGGTATCAGCAACAGCGGACCCAGAGAAGAACATCTCGGAGATATTATCGGGGTATCCGCGCGCAAGCAGGGCAACAGGTTGGTGCTTCCAGTGGGTCAGATCATCGCTCGTAGCATGACCCCATGACATGGCTCCCCAAGTGTCTCCTCCAGGGTTGTATTGGTAGTACAGATGGTAAGTACCATTATGATATAGAAGACCATTTGGATCGTTCATCCAGTTGTTGGCTGGGGTAAAATGATAACGAGGTCGGTAGAGTTCATTGTAGGTTTGCGCACCCACGGGCTGCAAAAGAGAAAGCCCGACAGCAAGAACAGAGGCAAAGAAGAAGAAGGTCATCCTGAAAAGCTGGATGTATCCACTGTCTGGATAGAGAGGCGAATTGGAAAAGATGCAGTGAGTGAGTGCGAAATATTCCAAGTACGCGGCGAAGCACAAAGATCTTTATACTCTCAGGCACTTGGTCATTTTCTTCAGTCTCTAGCTTTATTCCTCTATAGCCAAAAGATAATACGAAATCCTAAGACTTGAACTCTCACCGACTGACTTTTTTTTGTCTTCGTTCGTCTCCAACTACGCTGGATCTCCGCAAGGCTTCCCCGACATCGCCCAATTGCGGAGGAATTCTGAAACACATCCTCCTCCATATCATACTCTGGAAGCAGGGATGGATGCACTGTGACCTCGGTGCCCCAGGGGCATCCATCTAATCCACACAATCAAAAAGCGGAGAAAGAAATACAGCAATTATTGCTCGAGGGCGTCTCATTTATCCGGCTAGGCACGTCGCACAGACTCGCGGAGGTTGGAAGTCTTCAGTGATAGAGGTGGCACGTCGTGACAAGGTTGCTCGGAATTATTATGATCGTCATGACGAATCCCCGTGGGGAGCCGGTGAGACATCGTGCAGAAATGGTGGAGAAATCGCGGGGAGGGGCACTCGACTGCCGATACTCAAATTGCTTAATCTTTCTTTCGTCGCGGAGGCAGCCTAGCTTCCGCGAAACACATTTCGGGTGCTGGTCGGGCGTATAAGCGAGTCGTTGGTATTGGCCGAAGTTCTTGTGTCTGGATCCCTCAGTCTTTAGCTCAAGCCACCGGCAGTTGTATTGACCCTGCCTTGGAGGCACCAAGAAACTCATTGATCATTCCCGTTCCATAAAGTCTTCGTGCGGAGTCTGGGGCTAGGAATACGCTTTAGTGTGATTTTTATGGAGCGACCAGCGCCCAGCGCTGCCTGTCATACAGTTGTTGCTTGGCCTGATGAAATAGCCAGTCTCTAATGAGCATTTACATCCCGCTCCCTACAAATTGCACTAAACGTTCGCCACGGGTTGAGAAGATATTCCAAAAGGCCTAAAGCTCTTAGCAAAAAGTCAAATGTCTGGTCACTGCTGCGTCGCCGCTCGGTTGGCTTTTCGATAATGCGTCAGGCGCCTGGTGATTGAGCCGGTCACAAAATAAGAGATTCCCTGACAGTAGGGTTAAACTGATCCTACGTCCTATGACTCGTTCAGACTACTCTCCTGGACGAGGGCGTGGACAATCGCAGCGTTTAAAGTCCTCTATCGAAGGATCGAGCTACCACAATATCGGGAATATATATATCGAGCCATTCCTCTCGGTGCTATCTTGCTAGTCTACCACATAATTGACAAAGAACACCGTACGAGGAACCAAGCTCTGCCAGGCCAGAGTATCCTCGTGTTGTATCCATAGAGCCTGGCTCACGGCGGCGATGGCCCATCTAAGCCACGAGGACTTGGCTCAGGATACACTGCACGAAACGGGAATTGCTGCGTTTGTTGCGGCTTGGATGGATAGCTGGTACATGGGAACTGAACTATACAATACGCGGTGGTGAAAATCATGAGTGAGATAGATCGAGATGTATGTAATCGAAGAGTAATCCGAGAACTGCTCCTATCTTCAAGTTTTACCTATCTATACCCAGCCTCTCCCAACCGCGCGCTTAGAGTCTGTCGCAGCTCCTCCAGCGATGGGCTCCCCTCTGCCCCTCTCCAGTCCACAGCCGCAGCCGACGGAAGACACTCCCGTAGCTGATCGCGACTAGCACCACCGAAGCACGGGGCCTCAGCAACTCTAAGGGCGGCCATCGTAGTAGTGAAGAGACTGCGAGTGTGTGAATAAGCACTTGAACCCAGACAAGCGGGAAGAGCCAACTGGCGAAACCCACCTAACCGACAAAGTCCACTTATAAACCAGACAGTCGTTCACCGCGAACGCAATCCGCGGCAGGAGCTGGACGTACGCGTCGATGAAGCGCTGCACATGGTCTAGCAGCTGGATGCTCGCTCCACCGTCCTGAATCGCCTGGAAGGCGGCCGGCCAGTAGATGGACAGTTTGCAGCAGTAGTACTGTACGTTGAGGAAATTCGAGAGCGACTCGATCCGCCCCGCGTACGACTGCTGGCTTGGACCAGGCTCTTTGGCGAAGCGGATGTTCCCCGGTAGGTAGTCGTACCACTCGTCTAGCTGGCGCTCGAGCTCGAGCGCAATCCCGGGCGCGTAGGTGGGTCGACCGTCTGCGGTGCGCGTGACGGCCGAGTTGCACCGATGCAGCATGCGCCGCATGGCGATCTCCGCGAGGAAGAAGGAGCTGGCTTGGTCGGCTGTTGTGCTGGTGCTGTCGGTCGAGTGGATGCTTGCGGGGGAGACGGCGGCAGGGCTTGTCGTTTGCGGGGGAGGGAACTGCCAGGTGCGTTGGCAGTTGGGGAGGGGGATGTATTCGTCTAGGGACCAAATGGAGCTTTTGGCGACGTCGAGCTGGACGCTCAGTTCGCTTTGCTTTGTGAGTCTTTATGTGGTACAGGTTCAGCTGTGAGAGTTGGACTTGCCTTTCAAGTAATAGGATAGCCCAATATGCTCTGTGCGTCAGTTCCAGACTGTCATTTTCCGTATTTTGGAGGCCGCTAATAGAGTCAGACTAAGTATGCCATGGCTTAGAGAAGATCTAGGCGCACCTCTTGAACAGATTTTGGATCTTAAACGAGGCTATCAGGCAATAGTCATGGGCCTGACATGGCTTGAGGATGCAGCAGTAATAGATACTCAGGAAAATCAGACACTGAATGCTGGTCACAGTGCACTCCGCAAGGACGACTGGCAGCGACGCAAGAGCAGCTTCAAAGTAATGGCTGCCTGTTGTGGGGTTATGCGCAACGCACCCGATGGCTGCAACAAGGAGGACCAAACATGTGTGACAGGATGGGGTCAGGGAATCAGACAACGTGGAAAAGTACCGCTCTGAAAAGTCTAGAGGAAGGATGGGATAGTAGCTGTGGATGCGGTCGGAGAAGGCCGCTAATGCGTCGGTGATCTGTTGGTGGGGAATAAAAGACGTACGCGGGAGTGTAGTCGTGCCGACTAGGAGATTCGCCCGCTCGAGTTGAATAAGGCGCTGCGCGTAGTTGTCGTCGAGACCAAACACGCGCATAATCGAGTTGGTTGCTAGAAGCCGAAACGGCGAGTCCTCATGGGAGCCCAATGCGCTGGTAGGTTCTTGCAGGACTAGTGGCCTGGACTGCCTCGATAGCAGCGTGGTGAGGTAGTCGAGCCGCAAGTTGACATTAGCTAGTTCAGTCTCTACCCTATATCATATCATCTTAGCCCATCATACATCTCATTTTGCACTCAGGAGGCGTACTTGGTGGCCGGACTTTCAGGAAGCTGCTGGTAGAAGCAGTTTAGCCCCCGGATTCTGCAGGGAGCGCAATATGGTCGCTGTCCGTCGCACTTTACTCGTCGCGATCGACAAGTGTCGCAGGCAAGGATCAATCGTTTCCGCGTTTTGGCCATGTTGAATCGTGTCTGATTGATGCAGGCCGTGACAGTGCGGAGTTTGCTTCAAATACCGCGGGGGGTTTGCTTGGTGGCGGCAAACCCCGCGTTCTGGAGAAGCTTTGGCGCAGCATCGCGGAGTTGATCCCCGATTCCGCGTGAGTAGTACTATCATTCTATCAATTTCACCCATGGACAAGGGTATAAGAGCGCGTCATTGCTCATCTTCTGTAGTTGAAACCATCTTTGAGAACTAACGAAAGGCATAAGAAACCATGAATTCCATCGGAAACCACCTCCTCGCCGACATCACCAAGCAACGGGTCGCCCGCAGCGCCCGCGTCGCAAGCTGGGATCAGACTGGCCTGAACGAAGATGCCTTTGTTGTCCTCCCTGGCGAGACCGCCGTACTAGCGGATCTCGAAGGACCCGGTGCAATCACGCACCTTTGGTTCGTGCAGACCTGCCGCAAGATCCTCGGGCCGGGCCTGATCCCATACACAAAGTCCGGCGTCGCCATGATGGAAATCCACAATGCGCTCGGGCTCAACTACGAAGTCAGCGACCCGGATTACTACCGCAAAGTCCTCATCAAGATGTTCTGGGACGACTCGGAGACGCCCAATGTCCTCGCGCCCATCGGGGATTTTTTCTGTCTTGGTCACTCCATGGCTGCCAACTTTCAGTCGCTGCCCTTTACGGTCTCGGTCAAGCCGTCAGAGGAGAAACAGTTCGGCGGGGCTGCAGCGTTCAACTGCTACTTGACGATGCCATTTAACAAGCGAGCCCGCATCGAGATCGAGAACCAGAACGACGAAGCCTACATTCAATACTTCTACATCGACTACGAGCTTTACCCTGAGCCGCTGCCCCAAGATACTCTATACTTTCACGCGCACTGGCGCCGGGAGAACCCAACCAAGGGCTGGGCCCCGTCGACAATCCAAACCAACAGCCTGGAAACGCAGGTGAAGAACCTCGACGGGAAAGAGAACTACGTGATCCTCGAGACCACAGGCGCAGGACACTACATCGGGTGCAACCATTCCGTCTGGCACGCGCAGGGAACGTGGTGGGGCGAAGGCGACGACATGATTTTCATCGACGACGACACCTGGCCCCCGAGCATGCACGGCACCGGCGGGGAAGACTACTTCTCGCAGGGCTGGGGCATGCAGAAGAACGCATATCCGTTCTGCGGGACAATTATCCACGAGGACGACGTGCCCAACACGCAGGTCAGCTATCGCTGGCATCTCGCCGACCCAGTGCGGTTCAGCAAGCGAATCAAGGTTACCTTGGAAACCGGGCATGCGAACCACCTGCGGGATGACTGGTCGACGACCGCGTACTGGTATCAGACGCTGCCCGGGCCGAAGTTGGAGATCCTGCCCATGGAGGAGCGGCTGCCGCGCAGGCCGGCGGTGGCAGCGGTTCCGGAGCCGACCGAGGAGGAGCTTGCGGCACTGAGTGCGGACAAGAAGGAGAAGCTGAAGCAGCATCGGGAGAGGTACGATGCGTTTGTCATGGATCGGAAGAAGTGGTTGGCTCGGCGGGCGAAGGAATCGAAAGAGCGGGCTTTGAGTAATGTGCGGATTTGTGAGGATATCCGCCAGCGGTTCTTGAACAGCCTCAAGCAGTAGATATGCGGGATGGCGATATAGAAACTGCGAATATAGCCAGGATAATCGAGAGGAATTATGTTTGCATTGTTGAAATACTACTAGATTGCTTCTTAGTAAGTTTTGCAAACCTCGGTACTCCACTTAATTAATGATGATGCTATCACAAACTCTCATGCTGTTGAATGTCCAGCAAGCTCACATGCCAGTCTCAGGCGCTCGGCCCAATCACAGGCAAGTAATCTGTGCGGGTTCAATTCGGCAACTGTCCGACGTTGATTTCCAGAGAACAAGTCACTGGCACGGCTGCCCGTGCGTATTTGGCCCAGATGGATCTTTCCGGTGAGTCTGGAATCTGGCCCGAGTTTCAGCATCGCGGAGAAGAGTCAGACTCCGCGGTAGAGTTTCGGCGCCACTGCAGGGGTCAGAACGACGCCCTTGTCGCAATCATCTCAGTTCAGGTCGCTTGTTCTAACTTCTATCCCACGACCCGCTGTCTCCGGGTTTGGCATCATGCTGGGCTGACCCACCACGCTACCCCGCATTCTGTGATATATAAGGGTTCTTCTACATACCAGACGCAAGTTGAGGATCTATATCGATGTTGACTAGTCATTACTCCGGACAACGCAAGATGCAAAATATCTCCGAGGCCCAGATCGATGGGTAATACGCCCCAGCATTACTCAGAACCCGAACCCTCCTCTCTGGCCAAGCTGACCGAGCGCAGGGTCGACTACTCTGTTATCGACGCGAGCCAACGATGGCGCATGCTCCGTTCGCAAAAGCGCTTCTTTTTCTGGTGTGAGTAGCCAAGAGGCAATTTCAACAAAGCCACCACCTACTCACCTATTCGTCAGGCCTCTGGGTATCCAGCGGAGTGATCATGCAAGGGTTCGACATCGTTGCCGGTGGCCAACTTGCTGCACTGCCAGAATTCCAGAAACAATTTGGACGTCTACAATCCGACGGCTCGCACATTATCCCTGCGCATTATCTGTCTGCGTGGAATTCCATTGCGCCGGCGTGTGAGATTGCGTCGACGTTTATCTACGCTCCGCTGCTTGAGAAATATGGTCGGAAACCTGGGATCTTGGTGGCGTCTGTGATTTCTGTTGCGGGGGTGCTGCTTCAGCAACTTGCGATGGACTGGAAGGTGCATTTGGCTGGGAGGGGTGTTAATGGTGTGTTTTCACTGGAACACGAACATGTGCACAGTTACTGACAAATTCGTAGGCATTGCGATCGGGATGATGTTCACTATATCGCCCTTGTGGATTGGGGAGACATGTCGGCCGGAGCTACGAGGGTTCTTCCTGTGCTTCTTCAATACTAGTATCGTGTTTGGACAGTTCGCTATGTCAGTACTGCCCTTGTTATGTGGTGGAAATGTCTGCTAATGTCTTCCTTCAGTGCTGCCGTATCCAGAGGAAGCAGCTATCTTGAGGGCAAATGGTAAATCCGCCGTGCATCTATCCCATACCAAAGCAGAGCTAGAACCATCCCAGGCAATGGTGGCTCCCAGTCGTGAGCATGTACATTTTCCCCGCAATCCTCACAGCCGGCTGGTTCTTCTTCCCCGAATCGCCATACTGGCTCGTGCGACAAGGCAACACCACTGCGGCGCGAAAGTCCCTCCAGCGAGTCTACGGATTCCAGAACCCCGCCTTCTATACCGTCGAGGTCCACCGCATCCAATCCGAAATTGACCAAGCAATGTCGATTCAGGCAAGTCTCGCACAGCGGAGCACACGGCGTACATTCCTAGGCCTCAATCTTGCGGCCGAAGCCGAGTGCTTCGACGCCATGAACCGCAAACGCACCCTGACAGCCATATTCGCCGCCAGCGGCCAGCAGATGATCGGCGCAACGTTCGTCATCGGGTACGCGACCTACTTCCTTGACCTGATTGGCGTCAAGGACTACTTTGATGCCTCGATCGTCCTCTACGTCGTGATGCTGCTGGCCAGCATGACCGCGTTCCCACTGACAGAGATCCTCGGGCGCCGAACCATGATTGTAATCCCGCAGTTCGTCCTCTGCTGTATGCTTCTGCTAATCGGAATCTTGGGATGCGTTCCGGACCATGGAAAGGCGAGCTGGGGAATCATCGTGTTTATATACATCTGGGCGATTATCTACCAGTTGTCCATTGGTGCCGTGGGCTTTGTGCTTGCGTCTGAGATTTCGACTGCGCGGCTGAGGAGTACCACGCAGGGGCTTGTGACGATCACAAATGCAGCATGGGGCCTTGTTATGCAGTTTACCATTCCGTATATGGTATGTTTTTGCTCTATCGTTCTACTCTGCGAGAAAGAAGATCTGCTTATGCTTTTTTCTTTTCAGATCAATCCCGATGCGGGAAATCTCGGTGGCAAGGTCGGGTTCATCTTCCTCGGAACGGGCCTGGTCGCAGCCATCGGTGGGTGGTACCTATATCCAGAAACCAAGGTATGGTGATCGGGTAACATGGTATAGAGACAAAATTCACTGACTTGTTTGATGCGATAGGGCATCTCGTTTGAACGGATGGACGAACTGTACGCGAGCGGGACCGCGCCGCGACATTTTCGCGCCGTGAGCGGACAGAGGGCAGAGACTCAGGACTCCAAGACGGAGCCGCCGGTCCATATGGAGGAAGTAAATGTTTGAAGTACCCCTATCTGGCCGTGCATGGATCTCTTTTCTAGTGTCCATAGGTGGTCAGGTCTACCGCTCGACGACACCATAAGTTTAGAGTAAGGCTATATTGCCCTGCTTCATGTATGTCAGTATATGTTAGTCCAATTAGGTGAATGAAATATTCATGAAAATCCGGTGTTCCAACGTTTCAACGTCATTGTATCTATTTCGCAAGCGACACGCCTGGCTATCCTCGAGGTTTGTCACCACGTCGTTGTACGTCGACCTACTACTTTGGCCATGGCTGTGATTTTGCGGTGGTGATAGTCAAGCTGCAAGCGTAAGTGATTCCCCTAGCTGCATGATTGTCGAGATGCCAACCCTAAGCAACCGCTGAAAGGTTACAACACAAGCAGTGTACCTTCTTTTCAAACTTCTTAGAATCTTAATCATCGCCTAACATTGTTCTCCTACTGACCAGACTACTACTGCTTTCACCTACACACTGCATCAGACGTCTCCAAAAACAACTGGCAGAACCCCCATCAAGCCCCCTTAACCTCGCGATGCTCCCCAGCAATACCCCCTTTATCCTCAGCCCCCACCAACCCTGCCTCCTTGGCCCTCATCTCCATAAATGTAACGCGTGGCTTCCACCCGACACTCTCCCGCGCACTGCCAATCTCGTTATACAACTCATCCACCTCCTCCAGCGTCAACCCTTTGGTCTCGTAGATCATAAAGTACACAAACCCGATACACAGGAAGCAGCACGCGAACCAGATGAAGAAGATCTTGGACTGCAGGTTTGCGTTTCCGGGCCCGTAGTTGACCAGGTACGGGGTTGAGAAGCTCAGCGCCCAGTTGAGCAGCCAGTTTGTGGCGGTGGTCATGGAGAGGGATTTTGCGCGTGTCTTGAGCGGGAAGATTTCCCCGGTTACCACCCTAATTGAAAAGATAGGCCGGTTGTTAGTGAGCGTACTTGGAGGTGTGAATACAAAGGTGGAGGGGGGATGGGTAATTAGTTAGTTGGGAGGCGCAGACTCACCAGGCAATTGGACCCCAGGATGCTGCGAAGAAGAAGATGTAGATGCAAATAAACGCAATCGCGGCCTTTTGCGCCGCCGCATCATGCACGATTATGTTTCCCTGGCCATCCTGGCCTGTCGTTGTCGTACCCAGAACTGCAACAATCAACTGGGACACAGCCATGCCAATAGCGCCCGTAAGCAGAACCGGCCGTCGACCCCACTTGTCTATCGCGTAGAGACCGGGGATCGTCGACCCAACATTGACACAGTTGATGACGAGCGTAATGACAAACTCATTGCGGATCCCAGAGTTCTTGAAAAACTGCGTCCCGTAGTAGATGATGAAGTTGATCCCGCTAAGCTGCTGCAGCGCCTGCAACAGACACCCCGTCATAAGGCGCTTGAGCAGATTGCCCCGGAAGCAGTCGATGTACCCAGACTGGCCAAGACTCACTTCGTACTGGTGGTTGGCCTGAATCTCGGCGAGCTCCTGGCACACAGCCTCGTGGTCCTCGGGGAGGCGGCGGAGTTTCGACAGGCTGCGCGCAGCGGCTTTGATGTTGTCGCGCTTGATTAGATACCGTGGGGTTTCCGGGAGGATTAGCATGCCGGCGACGAGGATTATGGACCAGGCGAATTGCACGGCAATGGGGATACGATAGGAGCCTGAGTCTGTGCGGTTGTGGGTAGCGTTGTTGACCACTGAGGCGAGGAGAAGGCCAATTGTGATGGCGAATTGGTAGGATCCGACGATGAAACCTCGCACCCACTTTGGCGCAGTTTCAGATTGATAGAGGGGGACTATTGGCCGCCAGATAGGTTCGGTATAAGTGTCTGACACATGATCTAGCATAAATAGATGGTTGGCTTACCCAGCGCAGAAATAAGGCCAACTCCGAGACCAGCAAAGAAGCGGCCTGCAAGGAACGGTGGAATAGAGGTTGCAATAGTCTGGAGAATAACCCCAAGCACAAAAACGCCGTTTGATGCGATAATGCCCCAGCGACGCCCGATGAGGTCGCCCATCGGGGCGGCCCCGAGTGCACCGAAGAATGTCCCGGCGGACAGGATGGACACAATGGCAGAAGACTGGCTGGAGGTGACATTGAGCTGGCCGGTGCTGTCGCGGTAGCCGGTTGAGAAGGTCTCAGCCCAGTAGGGCATGGCGAGGATGCCACTGATGGTGCCGGTGTCGTACCTAGGGGATGTGTGAGCGTGAGACCGGGCTTCAAACATGGTACCTTGGACTCACCCGAACAGAATACCCCCAAAGGCGACGAATCCACTGATTAGAATGGCAGGCCATGCCTTGCCTTCAGTTCCCGGAGGCTTTTCGAAGAGGACACCCATTGTAGATGCGAACTGGAGGGATGGCAGACTGTGTTAATGAGGAAGGCTTCTGCTTTGATGTTTTTATGGAATGGGACAGGATGAAGCTTTATATAAATGTAGCCGCCTTACTGAGAGAGTAGTCTTCGTGAGCATCCAGTAGTTCCGTCCCCTACGCCCGACTCCATGCCGATATCACCATTCGGCCGCTTAGCGTAGGGCTTGTACTCATGTTGTTGCCAGCTCAGCGGAGGTGTGGGGGTTTCTCCGCGATGGTCACCTCGCCCCTAAGGCCCTGACCCCAGCCGGGCGCAGAATGACTCACAGAAATAGCAGGTAGACAGGTGGATACGTTGCTCTGGGCTAGTAAATAGCATATTACTCGGAATGGGTGGACCCGACGAATAGCGCTCTCATTAAGGAAAAAATCTATGTGTACCTCGAATGATACAGCTGTATCCGCTCCTTCAAAATTACGCCCATCTCCGCCAACGAGGGGCTGCTGACCTGGATCACCCCGTCAAAGACTTGAACTGCTAAATCTAAACTGTTGGCCACATCTCGAGACATAAACCCGGCAAAGCATGGATCCATCAAGCCAACCAGCGCCGCCATTGAGATTGTGAACACACTAATAAGTGCACATGCATTAGCGCATCCTCGATCACCCGAGTGTGTTCGCACAGTACTTGAGCACCGGATCTTACCTAGTGCACAACGTCCAGAGATTCGGCCTGCAGACAGCTACGGCTGCGGCAGCACACGGAACAAACTCAGCGTAGCTTGTAAAAAAATGGTGTGAGTGGCGAACAAGCTCACCGTTGGGCTCGCCCGTCGTAAGCGCCTCGTAGACCGCCGGCCAATATATGGACGCCTTGAATGCAAAGTACTGCGCGCGGAGAAAGGCAACCTGTGCCGAGTGTGCATTATTCCCTGTGTTCCCCTGCGGGCGAGGTCCGACGGTAGGGGAGGCGCGCCCGAAGGATAGGTGGCTCGGGAGTAATTGTAGCCACTCGTCCAGCTGCCGCTCCAGCTCGGCTGCGACAATGGGCGCGTAGATGTGGGCCCCGGCCGCCGGGCTACTTGTTGCCCATGTGCAACGCTGCAGCATTCTGCGCATCGCGATCTCCGCGACGAAGTAGGAGAGATCGCTGCTGGGGAGGGAGGTGGTCTGGATTGTTGGGGGTGAGACGAATGGGGCCATGCTCCAGATGCCACTGTTGGCGAGGTCAAGCTGAACAGTAATTTCGCTATAAACTGGTTACCTTCTGATCTCTTGTCTTGACCACGGGGGTCGGAAGAAAAATTGTTGGACCTTTCAATTAATAAAGCTGACCAGAAACAGCTTACCAAAAGTGCCTTTGTTGTGGTGTCATTCTCGGTGCCGAGCTCACTTGAGAGTCCAAACATCAACTAACCGTTTTTTGGTCGACAAAGGCCGTTCTGTTACTCACTTTAAGATATAGTTCTGCAGTTTATACGACGCCATTGCGACAAAGTCATGCGCCTGACACGGCTGTGCATAGCACAAGTGGTATATCGCGAACAATAGAAGACACTGGGCACTTGCTGGGCTAGAGTCTGCAAATACACAGGGAAGCATATCTGTGGCGGCCTTGAGGTATACCGACTCTGACCCGACTTGTCTCGTGCCCGCGACCGACTCGCGTCCCACCACGCATCCGATAGCCAGGACAAGTAGGCTGACGCAGGATGTAATAGACGTGGCAAAACATGACCTGCTCGCCTCGATAAAGTCCTCGGTATAGTCTCTTTGCAGGATCGGATACCAGGTTTGGATATGTTCTCGAAACGCATGAAGATGTCTATAGAGGGGCAAGGCTATTGTCAGTAGTTTTTACTCAGTTCAGGTTTTTCATTTCAAGCGCCTAAGACTCCTTACACTGATGCCTCTTCAAGATCAGCCATCACGAGATCCGTGCCCCTTGTCTGAGCGGGCAGAGTGTGTCTTCCGCGCTCTATCTCCTCCAGGCGCACAGGCAGGGATACCTCAACGCCGACCAAGTTCATAAATGCTTCACTCTGGAGTATCATGAATGGAAACTTCGTCGACTTCCCATAAGTAGTTGGAGAGCTAGACCCCTGTCGCGGATAGTGAGATGGCGAGTTCCGTGACGTGCGGCCCTGAGCTACGGCGGTGATATGGTCCAGCTGCTCCCACAACCTCGAGAGCTCCGCCCTTAGACTCAATATAGAGTCAATACCACAGCGTTTCCTCACCCACGCGCAAGGCCACTCACGGAGATGGAGGTAGATCCTGCCCCTCGTGATAGAAGCAGTCTTTTCCACGCTCGAAGCAGAACGAGCATTTGGGACGCTTGCCGTCGCATTTGGTCCGCCTGCCTCGACAAGTATCGCAGGCAAGAGCGCTCCGGCGTCTCCGCGGCTCAGAGCTGAACACACTGTGGGAGGTCATTGTCGTCGTCCACGCCTCAAAGAGAACTGTCTCGGCGCATTTTGCCGGCCATGGTATTGACATGTTTCTAGAATCAGGGGATTAAGGGAGGTGAGGTGCCTGACATTCAAGCTTCCAAACATACTAGAGATTCTTGTTTCGTGCTGTATATACTCCTCTTTGGTGACGTACGAGCCAATAATATCTCACACACACCTTGTTGTGTCCCTTAGCGCCTTGTCGCCATGTTTCCAGAACAGACGAAGAACATCTGCATCACACGTACTGCGGGGAAAAGAAGCGAAGGAAAGGATAACCCTCGAATCAGCATCCTGGATATCCACCCGACGGCTTCGGGCACGAGTTAGGTTTGTTAGATTGATTGTGGAGACCCTGCCTAGCCACTGAGATTGCGAAAGACATGCAACTTCGGGCCAAGAGACCGGGGGGTGTGCCGGTGAGCAATCGTGGGTCAGCTCGCAAGCGTATTTCAGCGTACATTCCGGAGAGGGGCAGTCCGAATGGCGGCCTGTGGCTGGGCTCCAGGCCCGGTCGGGACACCGATCGTCCTGTCGCTTCGCCAGTCTGACCCCAGCGCCGGCGGGGGAATAAGCCCACCTTGTCCGAAGCTAGACAGGCCATAACCCTGGTCACCGTCCCTTGATGTGATACGATTTGGAAGATTCTAGCAAATATCACTTCGCTTGTAGATTGTGCCCACGGTCTGATGTTTACTAATCGATGTAGGTGCGAACACCCCATTAATTGTCCTTGCACTGTAGCGGACTTGGCATTTCTCTTTTACATTGAATATAGGGCACTGATAACGTAGACTGATATGATATCCTGCCATCTCAATACTACTGTCATCGGGTCACGCAATATGAACCACACTTCCCGGCCGCTTTATCAAATCGGTATCTCCCGTGCGTGGGGCTGCATCCTCGTCGCTAACCGTCGGGTGATTCCTCACGTCTACTACGGCCCAACATATCAGACTTTTAATCTAAAATAGCGGTCTTAGAAAGAAACAGTAAGTGGTCTCACCTAGAGAATGAACCGCCTGGATCCCATTCCTCGCCAGCCATCGAGAACTGAGTTTGTCAAGCGCCGTCTTGAAATCGTCTAGGATGATCGTATCGCAGAGACACTTGAACATAAAGCACAGCTAGAATATCCATCGTCCATCGGTCAGCAATGAGCTGAATAGCACTTAACCTGGTGTGTGAGAGGCGCACCTTCCAGAAGGGATTGATGCCGAGCGGCATGGCGGCCCTAAGTGCACCAGTCACGCTAATGACGTCGAGAGCAATGAACACGATAGATAGGCACATCGAGGCCAGCATAAGCCCGAAGCGGGGACACTCGCGCACCAGCTCAATGATGCCAAAGCCGTAGTGGGTCTTGACAACCCAGAACAGGTTACACGTGGTATAGATCCACCATGGATCGCTGAGATTGGGCTCGAGTCAGTCAATGCTGCCCGATGAGAAATGGTGAGAGAAAGAGAACAACCGCATACCGAAACAGAGCTTCCCACGGCCGAATCTTCTCGTAAACCGTCGGGTTAAGGTTGTTGAAGTAGGCGAAATTCGCGTAAATCTCCGTTGCCCAGTATGGCTGAGCGAGGACAATGGTGCCGACGTAGAAGAGCGACAGTTTGCGGCCCATGAACGGCCTGTTTTTAATCCATGCAATCACATTGTGTAAGGACCAGGATATAATCAAGCCGATTGCGCTCGATGCCAGATACCATCCGTATACAGGGTCCGGGGCGAATATGAATGTCCCATGGGCGAGGGCGAGGATCAGCTGCAGTGGTTGCCCCAGGTCAGTGGGTGGATATTGCATGTACTGAGGTGGGCTACCTCTAGTAAAATCAGCTTATGCAGCAATACGCCCGGACGCATGTTTGCATAGGTGACTGCCGCCATGATGACCAGTGAGCCCGTCATGAGACCCTGGGACCAGGCTTCCAGGATTAGAGCGGCAGGGTCAACTGGGCGCTGGGCCGTTCTTTTGGCATGACGAGAATGCTCCGTCGCAGACACATAGGAAGGGATACTGGTTAGGCCGAGCATGAGCTCGCAATTACATTGTCAAGGAAAGCGTGGAGGCAGCAGCAAGGGGATCAACACTGGAAATTCGGGAATGCTGCAGGAAAATGTGACGAGATATATGTCGAATTTCCGCAATCTTTACGAAAAGGAGGGGTTCAAGGTTCTCTCCGCACTCCTGAATGTGGAGATTCTGGAGAATCTTCTAAAGAGATTCCAGAACCACTCCGCAGTTGTTCTCGCGGAGAGGAGGAGCCGCTCCGCGAAGGTAATTTAGACGCCTCTAGGTGATTGGAAGGGCATTCGACGCTAAGAGAGTGCCAAACGGGACTACGTCTATATCCATACAGCCAAGACCTCAACTTCGAAGGGGGCCAGTGCGCTGCCTAAGTTGGACAATTCGTTGCTTGCCCGCAATGTACGGACGAGGTGCGACTTTCCGGCTTTCGCCCATAATAAAGATAATAGCGCCACATTGGTCCATCGTCTTGGTTCCGTGACCCAGACTATTCTTTGACAATGCTTCCATCCCGAACGGCTTCGGTCTGCGACAACTGCCGCCTCCGTAGGAGACGGTGCGACCGGATTAGACCAAAATGCTCTTACTGTATCTCCCAGGGCGTGGATTGTATCTATAGCAGAACCCCAGACTCACAGCCCTCAGAGTACGTGGTGCCTGGTCATACTGTCGATGTATAGCGGTTAATATCTGCGGCAGATTGGTCCAGGAGCTCATGAGTATACGGGAAAGACTGGAATCCATCACGCCACTGCTGGAGCAGCCTCAAATGCAGCCGGCACCACGAGGTGACAACGATCCTCCTGTGACGGCGCTGCAAAACTGTCCACCTCTTGTTCTTAGGTCTCCGCATCTCATGCAGGTTCTCGGTTTGCAGTCGGATCTAGCAGCCGTTTTGTATCGCCTCGAAAATAGAGCTCATCAGCCCCCCGTGTCTCTATTCGAGTCAACACCTGCTGAATGCTTTGATCTGTATTACATCTCTTGCCTAGAAAGTCCTTGGTCACCCAGCTTACTCTAAACCAGGATCCTCCGCCGAGTCGAGGAGCGAATCCATCCGTGGTACCCAGTTCTCCATTCGGAATTCACGACACATTTCTTCGAGGCTTGCGCTACCGGGTTTATTCCCTCTACAATATCGTGTTTATCACATCTGGTCATTGCGGTTTCAAGCCTGATCAAAAATAGCCCGCACTCGTCACACTTTGAAGCTGCATTGTCCATGATGGGGAATGTCATGCACGAGTGCAGTGTGACGAGTGTTCAATGCTTGATCCTTTTCGGCGTGTATCAGTCCTATCTCATCAGGCCAAGGCAGGCATATGAGTACATCCAAGCTGCGTTTCTGAAGCTTCAACCCTTTGTGAAAAGGTAGACACCCTTCTTCCGCCAGCCCATACCCAACCACCAGGTGTCATCGGATAACACTGGTAATGATCCAATAGTACATCGTACCACGAGAGAACACCAGAGGCGCATCTTGTCTCGCGTTTATATTGGACAATTTACATTTTAATGAGGTCTGTTCACGCCAAGTGCGCACTTCCCTCTTGCCTGACAGATACCCAGTGAGACATATACGCATCTTAATCTGTCCGTCCCGAGCAAAACTTTACGCGGGCAGTCAAAGCTGGTCCCTCTGCCGTCAAGCAACGACGTGTGGAGTTCTCCATCCGATCAAAATGCACCCTCGAACTCATCTTTGGTGGAAATCCCACCAGGTAGCGATCTCGCTTCGCCAAGTCAACCGCTGCAGTCACTGTCACACTTTCGCATAGAGGTCGATCTGCAACAGGCTTTGGATGCGTACGCTACATCAGGCATGGCTGCTTCCGAGATATATAACGGCGTCTTCTCCACTGCAGACGAGCCGATACCTAACGAGAGTCTCAGCACGTTCCCAGATATGCTCTCTGCGGGAATAAAGCTACAGTCTAGCGGCTTTGGTCTAGATACCTACAGTGCAGTCCACCGCGCCAAGTACCATATGTACGAGGTGAACGGCTACTGGCCCGTGATATACCGGATCATCCTGAACGGGTCGGCAGACACCGAACTGCTCCCCTACGGCCCGCTGTTCTTTGAGTCGGTGACTGCATTTCTGTCTGACGCCAATATAGCGCTTTGCGTATGTCGACCGAAAGCCTGGTTTCTATGTGCGAGGTGTGTGCTTACATGTCAATTTTCCTTTTCTTCTTCCAGTCCTGCTCACCTTGTTGGCAGTATGTACACTATATCGATGGCCGCACTGAGAGCTACGGATGTCCAACCTCTACGATTGCTCGTGCATACAGGGCTTTGGGAGCAGCTTCAAGTTACGGTTGATGCATTGCAGAAATATGGCGAACTCAGTCCGTCGGTACGGTATATGTGGGACTCTTTGAGGGAGCGACTCAGTGAAGCCAGGGGTTAGAAGAGCGTGAGGGTTAGTACTTACTTGTGACTGATAGACATGCTTTGGATTATTTATCGAACGTAGTTCTCAAAAGAGATTTATTGACCTATATTCTACGTCTGCCATTGTGTATCTGCGCAGGAACTCCACCCTGGATACTCCGTGTTCACCTGAAGTATTTCGCCACTTCAAAAAAAAAAGAAAGAAAAAAGCTGAGGAAGCTAATCTACTGCCAGGTATCGCGTACTTCTCTCACCCGCACCTTGATATCGCTAGTCTCCCCACCATTCGAAAACAGGCGACTGTAGACAGCATCCTTGGAAGGGAAAATCTGGCTCGTGATCGTTGCCTCACCCTGTCCCCCAAACACCTCAACGCTCGACCAGTCAAGGAGAATCCGCAACGAAACAGTTCCATCTGCTCCTGGAGACAGTGGCGCATAATACGTACCCGCGAACGCAGCATCGAACGACACATCCCCAGAACGCGTTCGGTCAACGAAGATTTGCTGGGTGGCAAACTCGTATCCGACACGGGTCTCCTGGCTGTGGTCCCTGGTTGCAGCCAGAGCGATCCCGAACTCGGCCCTTTCGGTTGAGGACACTTGTCGACTGGAGAAGGTTAACTGAATCTCCAGTGTCTTGCCGAGGCGTCCGAGATCCCGCGTACCCTCCACGCGACGGAAGCTGAACACACGGCCGCCGTCCGTCAGAGCATTCCACTTTCCTGCGGGCTCTGACACAAGGGTCGCCTTTCCGCCGACTGTCTTGAGCGCAAGATGCCGTGGAATCGTCATAGCACTGCGCCAGGGATCTGTTGGGATCGCTGCGCCATACTGCCAGTTATTCATCCAAGCAATAACAGTCCGCTCATCCTGGGCGAGACCGTTGAACCCAAGCGCCGCGTAGAAATCCGGGCCCCAATCGACCCAGTTTGCAACATTGTTCGTTGCCGGGGTGTTAGAGAACAAGATTTGATCCACGTTGACGTGGCCCCAGCCGCCCGTGGCGTTGTCGACAATCTCAATCTCTGCGCGTTTCCCCTGCAGCGCACTCACATCCCAGCTCGACCAGGAGAGGCCCTCGCTGTTGGATCCAGTAGAGCTGTGCACTATATTTCCGTCGACATGGAGCCGGATCGCGGTGTCGTTAATGTTGTTGCCACCGCCCACGAGGAAGTTGATGTACCTGTGCGAGATGTTGAACGGGGCGGAGGTCAGGGTCCCGGTTGTAGAATCGCCGTCGAGGAATGTGTTTACCAGCTGCTCACCCAGGAACCCAGTCACCGGGTTTTGGCCGGCGAGCGTGCCCTTCACCGGAGAGGCCCCGGTAAAATTCCCGGTGGTTCTCCAGCCCCGCGCGGCAAAAGACTGGTCACCCTCAAAGTCCTCGAAGACCACGCTATCTTCCGGACCCCTTCCATCGTGGATGCTCTCCGGATCCGCAGTGAAGGTTGTCCCGTCAAAGTTGCCCACAATATACTGTGACCCAGAGCCGACCGTGCCTGGGGGCCCACCGGGATTCAGGCCGAGCATCAGGACCCATTTGGTCTTTTTGCCGTTATCAAGTGATAGCGGGAAAATACTCGGGCATTCCCACACTCCGCCAACGGCATTAGCCGGTCCGAATTCGCTGGCTAGATCCCAGTGCTTGAGGTCTCGGGATGTGTAGATCACGATTTTGTGTAGCTTCGCCAGGCTGGTTACAGCAATCCACCGGCGCGTCTCCCTGTGCCAAAAGACGCTTGGGTCACGGAAATCCAGGTACTGGTCTTGGTAGGGAGCAGGAGGATCGGCGATAACAGGGTTCGCGGCGTCGTATGTTGTCCATGTCATGCCCTTGTCGAGGCTGTAAGCAATAGACTGCGCCTGCTGATCCTTGCGCACGCGTTTACCACTTTGTAGCACCTGCTCCATGGGATACTGCATGACATTAGCTTTCTCATCTCAACCGCTGATAAAAATAACCCGGCTCACATAAGACGTATACATAGCAACCCAAGGCGCTTCCCCACGCCGCCCAAACCCACTTGTATTGTCCTCGTCGACAACCACAGTCCCAGAAAAGAACATCTCCGTAATATTCCCGGGAAACCCCCTTGCTTGGAGCGCAACCGGGTGCTCCGTCCAGTGCATCAGGTCCCTGCTCGTTGCGTGGCCCCAGGACATCGCACCCCAGGTTGTGCCGCCGGGATTATACTGGTAGTATAGATGGTACACGCCATCGTGGTACACGAGCCCGTTGGGGTCGTTCATCCAGTTCCTCGCGGGGCTGAAGTGATACTGTGGGCGGTACAGCTCTTTGTAGCTCTCGTGGTGCGTGGCAGTCGCCGGAACCGCAGACGACATCATTCCGACCAGGAGGGCGGCGGTGGACAGATGAAACTTCATCGGATTGATTTTGAATCGAACGGTATAGGACAAGGAAGAAGGCAGAGGTGTATAGTTGACCTTCGCTCTGGGAGTCTGTGTCCCAATATATATACCCTCCCAGCGGGGATAGCCTTTCCGCAGGTACACTTACCGACTTGCTCCTGCTGAACGTGCTTATGTTTCCTTTGCTTAGGCATCGCGGAGAATCGCGATAATGACCGAAAAAAAGAAGGCACCAGAATCACTTAGCGAGACCACGTACCCCGCAAAGAGTGGGGATAATACGCAGTGATGAGACTATGGGGTCCGGGGCGTAATGAGGGTAAACAACGTCGCCACTGAATTGTTGTTTTGGGCGGCTTTGTTTGGAAAATAGAATACCGCTATGATTACAGATATTGAGACCCTATCCTGACTGGGATATAGTCCGGACACCCTTTTGGCCTAGTGGTATATTATCTTGATAGGCTTGTTCCGAGGGGTCTCGCGGAGAGGCTCGTCTTTTCCGCGATGTGGACCGCACGGCTTGCTAGGGCGCCGGCAGAAACGCCCGGGGACCCCATGTTGATTAGGAATAAGATATGCAGGGGATTGACTGCACCCCACAGGGATCACTAGTGCTCGACATTGTTTTTTCCTTTTTCCCCCTCACAGAAGGACCCCCTGGTCATATCTTAAGGGGTAAAGGCCATAATAGCGCTGGAAAATATAACACCTTGTACTAACAATTTCTTCTATCTTCACCAGGCCTAGGTATTGCTTTGATGGTACAGATGCTGAGAGTATGCATGCAAACACTTTACGTTGGTCGCGTCGTATGGTTTGAATCTCTTCATCCCATCAAACCTTGTAACCGGAAGGCTTGATCTACCTCTGAAGCTGTCCATTGGAGAGCGTGCCAAATATTAAACGGGTAACATTATTCCTTCGCAACGGGACAAACAGACCGGGTGCGGTCTTAGAGAAGCCCTGATCTCTCAGCAACAGGTTATAAAAACATAAAGTATTAAGGTCTCTAGTTTACAGACTGGAATACCCATCTTTTGAGCAATTCCGCGTATTCGCATTGCAAAAGACTAGAACAGGATCTTCTTGGCCGCTTTTAGATCCCCTATTTCTTTCAGAAGCAGTCGCCGTTTCCGCTTAAGTAGACGTTGATAGTACGCCCTAAAAACTCAATGCTTGCGTCAATGAAGTAAAAATGACCACAAGAAAGAAAAATACAGTCCCTTGTTAGAGACTCTCGCTGCTCCTGGCTACTTGTAATGCCTGACTGCCAGAACTGTTGACGGCTACCACACTCTCCAGAAACTCTTCATCCGAATCTGATAACTCTGGGCACTCGATTGGCATTTTCCCCTTCCCTTCATCTGGACTTAGATATTGGACAGCTCTTGCAAGAATTTTATCGGTGTCGTCCAGACATTGTGAGTCGCCGTTAATCATAGCGTTCTTCGCGTTTTGTTCCCACATGTCCAAAGCCGCACGTTTGGCCTGTATTTCCTTCAGTTCTCCAAGGTATCTTCCCTCAAGGAAATCTTTTTTGCGCTTGAGTTCTTCGATCGCCATACTCAGTTCTCTGCGAAGCATGGAGACCCTTTCCGAACGATTAGAGTCATCCAGAGCTTCAAGAAAAACTTGTGCGTTTTGAGCCAGACGCTCTACACCACCAGCGGTCTTTCGAAGTCGGTGGACGGCAGAGTGTCTCAATTCACAAAGAAGGTGAAATAATTCGCATTTTTTTTTCGTGGTAGCCATCTCACCCATATACCTGGGTAGAAGCTTGGTCCACTCGGTGAGTTCCACAGCCTCTGGGCAGTCCCAGCCATTTCTTGCCAAAAGCTGCGGGAAGTGACTTTGAGCGTAGACAAAACAAGCTTCTTCCACCAATCTTTGTATGCCTGTTGTGATGAGGTGTTGACTTCGGTAATGTATGTAGACTGGATAGAGAGATGGGATTGGATTATTGACACCGGTTTCGGTCTCAGGGGCTGATGATGCTGGCTGTCAACAAATATCGCAAGGATTCTTTCATAGGAGTACCAACCATCAATTTCGTAACTTTCCTCGTTGGCTGGTCGCGCCTGGGACTGAATCGTGACTTCTCTTGAAGTCTCCCTCTCAGAGATTTCCCTCACTGCCTTAGCCTCATCTCTCGCCGCCTCCGCCTCTGAAGCCTCTCGCTCAGCGCTTTGAGCAGGTGACACGTCAAATAACTCGGGAAACCGGATCTTAGCTCTCAATGTCGAGTGGAAAACTTGATCATCAAGGAGTCTCTTGGCAACATTACACATGCGGTCGATATTATGTTCCCGGAGGATGTCTGTCAGGGTAGGTTTGTTCTGTTGGAGCAAGCTCATCACATCCTTTCGCTTTCGGACCTGGGAGTTAGAGCCACGAAAAATGTGCTGGCAAGCCAGATAAACAAGCCTCTCATCAGGGTCTCTCTGAGCCATTTAGACGGTTGGGAGTTGCCCCTGAAAGTGTGGAAGGGATCGAGCTTTTGTAAACTTGGGAAGGGTGGTCAGTTTCCGCAAACAGCCAGCATGTTTTTGTAGTATCTGTTTTCAATTTTTTTTCCCCCTTTTTTTTTCTTTTTGGATTATGCCGTCATTGATATTGTTTTGCTCAACCTCTTCCTCGGTGTTGGACTCTCCCCACTCTAGGTGCCAATGTTTATGTTATCCAATATGAACTCGGGAATCAGACTGAGGCAAAGAACTCCACGTGATGCTTGTAGATAGCGCTTGAATCCACATCAGCAAGTAATATAATTCAGGTAGCACATTCCTCTCCAGAAGGAATATTCAGCTCGCAGTCCCTAATCGTGTTGTGAGAGACCACACGACCACCATACATCCTGCTGAGGAACTTGAGAACATCCATGTATCACGCAAGTCATACTGCAATATTGTAAATCAGCCCGAGCTCTCCCGCAAAATGAGGAAACACAGACCTGCTCTTGGCAAATGTGAACGCCTCTCCAGATGAGTTGCTTCTCTGTAATAGTCGGTGTCTTTCTCAGGGCTCTCGATCCTGACCTGTGGAGTTGACCGTCGAAGATCTCGTCCTGCTTTCCCAGATTGATATTAATGACGTCATCGCGTAGGGCACAGGAGGTGTGTCAGAGTCAGAGTCGGAATCCATAGCAGAGAAGTGATCAGAGGAGTAGGAGAATAAGAATTGGCAGAGGGACTGTGGAGAGATAGAGAGATGGAGGAGAGGAATAGGAGCTCAGAGAATAAAGAGAGATACCAAGTCTTACAGCACTGAGTTGGAACGCTTAAATGTACACTTCAGAGAAAAGCGAGCAGTTTGATGAGTCCAATCCAACTAAGACATACGAGAAGTTTAGACATATTATAGAGGCACTAAAGTATGTTGAACTAGCCCCAGATGCCGCAATACCAGATGCTATCAACCTGTCCGACAACCAAGCATGCAGAAATTTTGGCAGCCAACAGCAATCACCAGCCTCTTAGGGATATAGCGCAAGGCAAACCTTATAGGTGCGGTTCTAGAAGACACAGTCAGCTTAGGCAAGACTTGGGAGACAGTTGGATTCATGCTGAAAGTACATACCCTTTGGCTGAGATGGAAAAGCCTTTTCCATACTAACCAATGGTAGTTGTGGGAAGATGGCACTGGCGCCTTAGATAGTTTCAATTCTCAAATTCTTGGTATAAATGTCAAGAAGATATTAAGCCGATCCGGATTCAAGACGCTGCATGAATTTCGATTTTTCACCATGTTGAGGGCTAGCATTCGCAGATTCAGCGACTTTTTGATACTAAAGAGGTATTAGAGACCGGAAGATATAGAGTAATCTGAGAAACCCTTTCCCAGACATCTTATAGGAACCTACGTGTCCCGTTCCTCTGGAGGTAGGAATGGTCCCTCGATACGGCCGTCTGCCTCGCCGAGCCACCAGCCATAGACGAGACCTACTGAGGTCAATTATCTGCAGTAAGGGAAGTGAGAGCCATAATACTAACCATTATAAACACCATGCACTTTGTGACTATCACTGTAGCTTCTGAGAATAATTTGACTGCCGAAAGATACACTCACTTGGGGATAGCTCTTGGAAGAAAGGACGACCCTGAGGCCTAAGCAGCATCCGTACATGAATGAGGGTATCACGCAAAACTGGAGTTGCATGAAAGGACCTGAGCTGATATCAGAGAGTGTGCTAGGGATGTCGACTCATAGTGTAACCTACACTCCAGGCAACGACAAGATCATACTCCTCGGCGTTGAAGCCCTGTTCCAGCGGATTTCTTGGAATATCAAGCATCTTGTATTCGATTGCATCGTATTACTTGAATCTCTCCTTGGTATTCTCTGCGCCAAAACAGACTGAATGATTCGATTTTGGCAACTGGAAAAGGCACGTTGATGTAGTGAGATAGGGCTGGAGAGTGTAGATGGTGTTGATAAGCGATAAGCAGAAAAAGACAGCCCCAGGCTGCCAGCCCGCTTCCGGCCCCACCCCGGCCCGACTTTCCTTTGTCCGTCACTCTTACCTTATCGATAAGTACCTTCCCATCCATAGATGCTACTCATCCCTCTTTGTTAATAGCCTTCTCACTTCTCTTCTTCTGCCTCATCTCCCTTTCGCTATACACCCTTGTTTAGCCGTCATGCTGTTTCCGCCATTACCTACCGTTTCCTCCTCCATGGAGGCAAAGGACGTCGACTCGGTGAATTCTCTCGGAAGGACTCAGCCAGATGGTGCATCTCGAACCTCGCAGGTCGAGGTAGCGGGTGACTGCCATGCGCACCTGCCATTCGAAATTCCCAGTGCTGTAGTGTTATCTGACCCCTCTCTTTTTGTCCTTCGAGACACTGCGAACGATGTCTATCGTCGAATCAACTCCGACCCCTCTTACTCGAACCAGTTTATCATCGTGTCAAATGTATCCCAACCTCTGCAGGAGCTATTAGCTGGAGATCGAAACCCCCTTGAGGTTACCTGCAGGTTGACGCTCGACAAACAGCACCAGAAAGTCGTTATTCGAATAATGCCCTCAAATGCTCACGAGCGCGTAACGCGGTCATTTTCAAATAAACTTGTCGTGAAATTATTCGAAATGGGAATTGATCCAGACGATTACACTATGAACACGGCCACCCGGTACAGCGGAAGAACATGCGACAAAGAAGCTGATGAGTCTCTCACTCCGTCAAGGAATCCTCCCGAAGGTAACGACTGGCCTTCACTCGTTATTGAAACTGGTCTTTCTGAATCAGAAGCACAACTACGAACTGATGCACACTGGTGGTTCTCAAATTCTGGATACCAAGTCAATACGGTCATACTCTTTCATATCCGGAGATCCCCCGAGCGCAGAGTCATCTTGAAAGTCTACAAGCTCAGACCTATCACCCCCAGAATCACTCGTGGACTACAGGCAGAGGTCGATCGCTCTCTGCTATCTAATCGTACGACTCCTCAAACAGAGTCCCCAACAGTGCTGCGACCTCATTTATCAGACGAAGAGATTATCGTTACCTCGATAAGTGTTGAGAATGCTCCACTGGTGCTAGAGTTCGAATCCGTCATGCGCCGCCCGCCCACCCCTAGCACGATGGAAAGAGATATACTGTTCACAGCTGAGGATCTTGCTGCGTGCTGCCGCCACGCCCTTCAAATAGCTTGAGCATGTCATATCCATAAGAAATGCTAAGAATGCTTTACTTGAGGACCTTGCTGTGTGCTGCTGCAGAAACCTGTGCGTTATTGCTACATAGTACGAATTCAAAACTTGCTTTTTTGACGGGTATCCACATAGTAGTTTACAAGCATCTAGGCAGGCGCGAGGGCATCTACGGGGGAAGCAAAGTAGCCGGCACTCACTGATTTCGGCCCCGGCCGGGACAGATCTACGAGGGAATTAGGGTAGTGGCACTCAGTGATTTCGGCCCTGGCCGAAATGGATGCACCTATGAGGGAATCCATGCAGGAAAGTGGGAGGCGCAGCTATAATTTCTGATAGGAAAAAAAGAGGGGTTTCAGTAGTAGCCATCCGGGCAGATGAAATGATGGGTGTACCTGGAAGGGTATAGATTATTTCAGGGACACAGGGGGAAAGAAGAAGTTTGGAGAGATGATGATTAGGACAGCAAGGAGATGGTTCTTATATACTCCGTACTGGAGGTCACAATGCGGTCAGTGTTTATAAGATAGTGTATGGGGAGACCATACCTAAAATAGTGCCTAATCACAACAGGGTATTCACAGGTTAGCTTTATAAGCAGGATATAGTAGCAAGGCACAGAGCTTGGCTTTCTTGGCTTTCTTTTATTTTTTTTTTTTTTTTATTTTTTTTTTTTCCTCGATTTCTGCTGACGGATCACTGCAACTACCTCTCTAGTGGAGAAATCGGCTATTCTCTTCCGCGAGCCAATTTTCCTTTTTCGCAAACAATGCCCAAGTTATGACATAACTGCACTCCACCGGCAATTCACTTGAGGAAAAAAAATTGAATCGGTATAGCCTCTCCACACAATTTAGATTATACTTTTCTTTGATTTCATGTCTATGCTCTTCCATATATCGTTTTCATGACTCCTTTCCTCGCCATTGAGTGAATATCGAACTACAATACGCTTGCCGAGTGTTCTCGCAATGAATGATCCATAGAATGAAGCTCCCGCGCGCTCAAGAGATTGATTTCGACCTCGATCGATACATCAATCGATATCTTCCCCAATCCCAGCTTCATCGCCTACCATGGCCGATCTCGCGGTTTCTAGGGTATCGCCGTGTCCCGCAACCGGAAGTGGGCAATCTGCTAGTCTGCGCATGGGCATTTGTCGGCGCGTTTAGCGGATTGATTCTGGTAATGGGTGTCTTCAAGTCTTCCGAGACTATCCAAGCGCATCATCCTCCGCTCGTTGTCGCTAGTCTGGTATGTTTCCTGCTGCTAGTATCCTCAGCAAGTGCTGACGTTCTAGGGCGCAACGGCCATCCTGGACTACCAAACGATCCAGTCCCCGCTGGCTCAACCGCGCAGTTCCATTCTAGGACATGTACTTGGAGCGGTAGTCGGGGTTGGAGTCACCAAGCTATTCATGCTGCGGTCAGACTTTGAGGATCTCCGCTGGGTCGCCGGGGCAGTCTGCACCGCTCTGGCGTCGGTAGTGATGGGCCTGACGAACACCGTCCATCCGCCCGGGGGAGCCACGGCGCTGCTGGCGGCGGTGGATCCCACCGTCGACGCGATGGGCTGGTTCTTCGTGCCGCTGGTGCTCATCGGGTCGCTGCTGATGCTGGGATGCGCCTTGGTGGTTAATAATATCCAGCGTCAGTTTCCTATGTTCTGGTGGACGCCGCGGGATGTGGGCCGGAAGAGGGGTCCGCCGGATATCGAGAAGACGTCGGACGTTCCTCAGGACAGTCGAGAACGACGGATAAGCCGTGCGGTTGGGTTGCTACGGGAGAATTCGATTGTCATCACGCCGGATCAGGTGGTGATTCCGGATGGGTTTACGCTGGGGCTGGAGGAGAAGGGTATTCTAGAGGTCTTGAGGGATCGCTTGAGAGATCCGGATCAGTATGAGGGCAGTGTTGGAGACAGCAGCAGTACTGAACGTTAGCATAGAGTATAGACTACTGACGGCCGATGTTCGTCCGAATGTATATAGATAATGAGTATGACAAATTATGCCGTTTGGCTAATGATGAAGCCACCGGCTTCCGCGGAGGCGATGGTGCCCAGACGCCTGAAGAATCAAGTATTTACTTATCTTTTGCAAATATCTGATTGGACATTGTAGATCACATATTGGATGCCTGAGGCGAAACATCCACCTTTTTTCCATTCGTCCGACGGCTCGGTTAAACCCAATCTGAGCTTAATCTCTGCGAATCGTAGAACCTGATCTCCAGGGAGGCAGGAACATTCTCATCCCATGGTTCGGGGTTTGCACTTTAAAAGTACAGATGGCGGACGACTACAGCGGCCCAAATATAGTAAGACGACGACTTCTAGCCGTAGCTTTTGCTTGATATCAATTCTGTTACTCTGATTGATCAATTGACATCCAGTGGATCATTGTTCCGTGCAGCAGAAGCTTAAGCCTAGGTGTCTAAACTGGGGTAGCAGCTGGTGTCTGATAGAATCTGGCCTGATTCATGTTATGTTGAATATTCCAACTGTCAAATGTCACTGAGTGCCTGGGAGACCCCACAATAACCCGCACACGGCTGGCTTCATTATCGGCCTCGTGGGTGGCAAATGTAAAGCGAAGTAGTCAGTTTTGCGAATCATTTTCGTCGAATCGTCGCACCATCCCTCTTCATCGCTGTGGCTTCTCTTCGTCATACCTATCTCCTCCGCACCAGCTACATGTCGCTTTATGGACCTCATCTTGCAATCGTCTCGCAAGTCACACTCGCCGCGATTGATGCCTACTTCATCTACAGAACATTCAATGTTCGACAGCAGCAGCCCTCCTCAAGGAAGCTGTCCCATCTGCTGTTCTCTCAGTCTCAAGCAGATTGAGATCATCAAGGCCACTGCTGACGTCTCCCATCCAGTTATTCTCTTGTCGGCCGGTGTCAGCGTTACGCCCCTGGTATTCATCCTCAACACCATCATCAGCTCCGCATCAATCCATCGCAGGATCCACTTCATTCATGGATCCCACAGCGGCCAGGCCCGCGCCTTCACAGTCCAGGTCCAGGCGCTAGAGAAGAAGTTCCCAACCTGCAGGCGACATTCGCTAAACCCGCTGACTAGAGGATACCCGGACTAGAAGCATGCGGGGGAAAAGGTCATTCAAATCAGCCCTCGGCCGAGGTTTCATCGCAAGTTCTCCGATGCATTACCAAAAGCTGCATTTCTGCCCAGACACCGTGCGTCTGTCCTTGTAGCTGACACTTGACTTCTGCTTAGTGAGGACGGTCATGCCCAATTCATCGGTTATCGTGCCGATACGTTTAGGCTAATCACTTGCGGCACCACGAGCGAGTCATTGCCTCCGAATGTGTGATTACCGATATCAAGATGAGTCTTTCTCCTTTGGAGGGGTAGTCTTATGCAGACTGCTCTCGATCGTCAATACGGGCATGCTTTGCTTTGACCCTATATCACCACAGCCAGAGATATACAGCAATAATCCACTCCTGTGGATTGCCATTTAAAGTAAGCTCAGCCGAAGTTTTACCGGGAGGTTGCATCGATACGTTAGGTTTATCAAGTGTGCTTCGCCAGCGCAGTGTACATTGGCAGTCAATCTCGGGTGGCATTGTTCCGTCAGTCAGTGCGAGGTGTGATTTATCAGCATCATCCAAGAGAAGCAGGGAAATGGTCTGTCGATCGCACGTTGCTATTGGGGGTATTGATGCAAATGCCGGTTATTTGCCACTCCGGGAAGTTGTGGAGATCTGGGGTTTGCGGGGAAGGCGACAAGTCGAGAACATGACGACTCAGGCGAGAGTCTGTCGATTTGGTTCCGCCGATTCCGATGATTGATAAATAATGGTGAAGTATAGAATACGGAACGTGTCGTTGGAGAGTATTTGACATAGCATCGCGTCCAGATATTTGCATAAAGACCACAGACTCACTCCAACCGAAGCTCATTGCCTACAAGTCAAGACGGCCGCCAAGCGTCATCAACCATGTTCCAGTGATCTTCAATTCCGCCGGTAATAGTCCGAGCCATGCAAGGCTTGAGAATCGGTACGTAGAGTGGCACGGTTATGTTACATACCTGACTGAGTCGATGTGAGGGGTAGAATGGGAGAATGCACAGCTATAAAGAGGGGCAAATATACTCGCTACTCTCACCAGTACCAGGCAACAAGGCAAAATCGAGATGTACCCAAACCTAGGACTCGCAGGACTCGCAGGGCTCTTGGCCGCTGCGTCTGTGTGCTTGTCTGCTCCAACAGAGCAGAATATCACCAGTGACACCTACTTTTATGGACAGTCGCCTCCTGTATACCCATCGCGTATGTCGCTCTCCCTTGCATAGACAGAGACACTAATCTGAAAGTAGCCGAGGGAAGTGGAACTGGCTCCTGGGCTGGGGCTTATGCAAAGGCGAAGAAATTTGTTGCCCAGCTCACCCCAGAGGAGAAAGTCAATCTTACTGCTGGGACTGACGCCGAGAATGGTTGTTCTGGCAATATTGCGGCTATTCCGCGACTCAACTTTCCAGGGCTGTGTGTATCTGACGCTGGCAATGGTCTTGTACGTGCACACAGCAGCGATTACTGAAAGTAGCTAATCTCTGTAGAGGGGAACCGACTACGTGAGCAGCTGGCCTAGCGGACTACATGTTGGCGCCAGGTATGCTCGGTCCCTAGTCCACCGCATAAATGATACTGACCGTCCGCAGCTGGAACAAAGCTCTAGCTAAGCAAAGGGCCATCCATATGGCATCAGAGTTCCGCAAGAAAGGTGTCAATGTCATACTTGGACCCGTCGTTGGTCCCCTGGGTCGTGTGGCAGAGGCGGGACGCAACTGGGAGGGTTTCTCAAATGATCCGTACTTGAGCGGTGCCTTGGTCTATGAGACCGTCGATGGAGCACAGTCGGTTGGGGTTGCCACTTGCACCAAGGTCAGTCACACCTCGACGGATTCTTGGTTCTGCCAATAACTCTTCGCTTTTCATACAGCATTACATCTTGAATGAACAAGAGACAAATCGAAACCCGGGAACGGAGGACGGCGTGGATATCGCGGCAGTCTCTTCCAACATCGACGACAAGACCATGCACGAGCTGTACCTCTGGCCCTTTCAAGATGCCGTCTTGGCCGGCAGTGCTTCCATCATGTGCTCATATAATCGCGTCAACAACTCGTACGGCTGTCAAAACAGCAAGACTCTGAATGGTCTCTTGAAGACCGAACTCGGATTCCAAGGTATGTCGTCTTCAATCCGTTTTGCAGTTCAAGCTGACCCATCAGGATATGTGATGACCGACTGGGGCGCTCAACATGCCGGAATCGCCGGTGCTAACGCCGGACTGGACATGGTGATGCCTAGAACCGAAACATGGGGAGCCAATCTCACGACCGCTATTTCCAACGGAACGATGGACGCATCGAGGTTGGATGACATGGCCATAAGGTAGTCTCGCCCTGCTGAAGTCGCAACCCCAAACTGACAAAGACAGGATCATCGCTTCGTGGTATCAGATGAACCAGGACTCTGACTTTCCATCTCCTGGCGTCGGCATGCCAACGGACATGTATGCACCTCATCAGCGGGTAATAGGAAAGGAAGCGTCGTCCAAGCAGGCATTACTCCACGGTGCTATTGAGGGCCATGTCCTCGTCAAGAACACCAACAGCGCCCTGCCACTCAAGTCACCTCAACTGCTCTCCGTATTCGGATACGATGCTAAGGGACCGAATGCCCTAAAGCAAAACTTCAACTGGTTGACTTACAGCCCTGCCATTCAGGAAAATCACACCCTGTGGGTTGCAGGCGGTTCTGGGGCAAATAACGCTCCGTATGTCGACGCTCCGATAGATGCCATCCAGCGCCAGGCCTACGAAGACGGCACGTCCGTGTTGTACGACCTTTCATCAGAGGATCCCGACGTTGATCCAACGTCTGATGCGTGTCTGGTCTTCATCAACTCCTACGCCACAGAAGGGTGGGACCGTCCTGGACTTGCCGACAACTCGAGCGATACCCTGGTGAAGAACGTTGCTGGGAAATGCGGCAACACTATTGTTACCATCCACAACGCCGGGATCCGGGTTATCGGCGAGTGGATTGACCATGCGAATGTGACTGCTGTCATTTTCGCTCATCTACCAGGTCAGGACAGTGGAAGGGCATTGGTAGAGTTGCTCTACGGCAGGGCCAATCCGTCCGGAAAGCTGCCGTACACGGTGGCTAAGAAGGCCGATGACTACGGTAGTCTGTTGCATCCGTCCAGGCCAGAGACCCCATATGGACTGTTCCCGCAGTCGGACTTTGACGAAGGGGTGTACATCGACTACCGCGCCTTTGACAAGGCCAACATCACCCCACAGTTTGAGTTCGGCTTCGGACTGTCGTACACGACCTTTGAGTATTCCGGCCTGCGGATAAGCAATCCTAAGAAATCTTCGCAACATCCTCCGTCAGCTGCTATCCAGCAAGGTGGAAACCCTCATCTCTGGGATAAAATTGTCACCGTAACTGCGGAGGTCAAGAACACTGGACGTGTCGCCGGTGCCGAGGTGGCACAACTCTACGTCGGCATCCCCAATGGCCCCGTACGACAACTGCGTGGATTTGAGAAGGTCGATGTCTCAGCCGGGGAGACTGCAAAGGTGCAATTCGCCTTGAATCGACGCGATTTGAGTACATGGGATGTCGAAGCTCAACAGTGGTCGTTGCAGCGGGGAACGTATCGGGTATATGTTGGACGGTCGAGTCGGGATCTCCCTTTGACAGGGTCATTTACTCTGTAGATAGCAGTCACAGTCATGATACGAGAGTAATAACAGAGTCTATGTGATAGACGGTTCTTCTCGTCTTTTCCCTTGGCGCGTCGAGATTCATGACGTCATCATCTCTGAGGTTGCATTCCTCTCCGATAGAAAGGTATTTCCACCTTATTTAAAGAGGCGTCGATCGAAGAATGAGATCCAGGAACGTCAGGAGCACCAGCACTATGTGATTTACAGCTTGTTGGAAAACCCACAGATGACACACCTGCCGGAAGACTCGATGCGCATCGTTGACGGAGAGAGTCCGCCCGACACGAACACAGCGCGACGACACGTGAGACTCTCCGCCGATTGTCTCTCGATCTGCAGCTGCAAGTGTGATCCCTCATACCCACTCTCCGCATCAGTCGCATGTCTCGCACGGTTCAATCACAACTATACTATGCCAACAGCCCTCGTCCTCGTCTATCCCTCCGTCAATACTCTCGACACCAACGGCCCGATCGGCGTGCTCTTCCAGGGCGGCTATTCCACGCTCATAGCCGCCCGTGACGAATTCACCACCTCCCAGGAAAATGTAACCTTCAAACGGGATTTGTCCATCGCCGAAGCCAAGGACAGACTAACGGAGTTTGATGTGCTTATTGTTCCTGGGGCGCGACCGAACAATATCCTCCCGTATCTCTCGGCAGATGGCCATCTCCACGAATTGTTAGAGTTGATATCTGCGTTTGCGAAACTCGGCCCCAAAAGCCCCGGGCCGCTGGGCGAGAGGGTCCTTTTTTCAGTTTGCAGCGGGTCATATCTTCTGGCGGCGGCAGGAGTGCTAGATGGTCTTACAGCGACATCACACCGGTTGGGGCTCGGACCTCTGCGAAATTTATGCGACGAGTACACGAGCCGGACACCGGGGGCGAAAGGGACGGAGGTGGTGCCGGAGAATGCAACGGGCACTGTACACTATGTCGATGCAGGAATGAACGCGTCGCAGGTGCGCATTATCACGTCCGGGACCATCACCAACGGCATGGATGCGGCCGTGTACCTTATTTCGCTACGGTCGGGGAGACCGGCCGCGGAGGAGGTGGCGTCGTTTATAGGATATACATGGCGGGAAATGTGAGATCGGGATTTCGGACATATGGGACGTCATGATTGCTATTCTTGGACATAACGCAGTACATATACACTAATCTACGGCATTCTACTACTGCCCGCGTTGGACATGGATCCTTGGACACAGCTGCTATTCCCTCCAAACAAAGCCGCTGCTGCAGCGCGCCACACTGCTTCCTGCGAGAACCAGCTCGCTGCTGTGTAGAACAGCCGACAGTCCGCCGCCTTGTAGGTGAACTGCTGCGGTGTTTCGTTGTCGCCAGGCGCGTACTCATTGCGCAGATTGACTCCTCCGCCGAAGACAAACGGGAATTCGTCGGGGTCAACGGGGATCGATCGGTTGAATTGCGCCCATTCCTGGATTGACATCAGAGGCGTCGAGCCATTCCGTAAAGTCTCCCGGATCAAACTGTGCGCCGTTTCAACATAGGAGTAGATCCCACCGTAGGCCAGGTTCTGGCCGCCACGAGTGCCGCCAATGGCCTGCATGGGACCATACTGAGGTCTTCCGCCGAACGCGACCGTGCGAACGCCTTGCCGCTGCATTCGATCGACAAAGTAGGCACATGTTGAGACACAGTTGCCATCCGTGATCTGTTCTATTAGCGTTGCCCTTCTCTTGGGCACGGACAACCTACAATGATGATATCCTCCGGGGCAAAGAATCGTTGCGACGAGTCTAGTGGAATCGGTCCATATCCGGTGATCGGAGAGTGCGTCGTGGAGATGCTGGTGAAGTTGAAATTGGCATAGAGGTTCGACAATGACGCTCCGTCCATCTCATACGGTCCGTACCAGGCCTCCAGCGATTTGAAATTGCCGTCCTGGTCTGGCGTCACTGCAGCCTGCCAGGAAAACGGATTCCCCTCCCAGAGCTCGAACTGCAACTTTCGATGCGACTCTGCCAGTCTGGAGAATGCTTTGCTCAAGAATTCTGCGCCGGGGTGAGCCCGTAGCCGAGTCGCTGTGTATGGCACCACATCTGGAAAGAAGATGTGAAACAGGTCCACGCCGGAAGTCAAGCTGCCCCCAGGGTTGCCAGACAGATCCACGATTATCCTCTTCTTGCCAGCTTCGGTCGCGTTTCGCAGGAAGTCCACGGTGACCTGGTGCAAGGTCGCGGAATCAACCGAGAAGGTGGTGACAGCTAGCACGCCAACGTCCTGAAGTGCCTCTTCCGCTAAGAAATATCCCGCTATCAATCCGCCGTAGCTAGACCAGGTTGTGTTGGGATAGCCCCCGCTGTCGGATGCTGCGACTGCTGTCGTTGCAATTGGTGCTTTACGACAGCGAGCGTTGAACAGTGCGGTGCCATTGCGGTACGGGAATTCCAGTGATACGAGATCGGCTGTTCTCTGACTCTCAATAGTAGAGCTGTTGGCAAACGCGAGGGTGAGCCGGTCGCCAGTCCACTTCTCTCCTAGGTTCCGCGACCAGAGACCGTTGTTGCGGGGCGTTCCTAGGGCGGTTTGACTGGCTAATGACGGAAAATTTGTATTATACCTGGTAGTCTGTTAAGTTTCCATGCACCTGAATGAAGTGTAGATCTTACTGAGCGTCTGGATCATGTAGAGCAGCCTCGGAGGAAAAGGATTCAAGGTATTGAGCAGCGTCCTGGCCGTCTATAGACACTACCGGCGAGACGGACTGGACTCCTCGGAGCAAGAGTTGAGCGTCATCTATCGAGTCAGCTGGCTTCGCTTCGCCGTGGCGAGAAACTCACCGAGTGTGTATACCTGCGGCAGCTCCAAGCCATCCGGTGATATTGAGACTAGAGGAACCGAGTTGGAGAATCGAAAGAGCACTGTAGAGCAGAGCTGTAGAGACAGATGAGCGTCATGTGCCGAATTGATGAGTTGTCGCAGATCTAATTCGAAATCCCAATGGCTGGAGTAGTCGTGGTCCTGAGCCTTTTTCCTGACATTGTCCAGACCAGCCAGTAAATCTGTCGATGGCATCAAATATTGGTCTGGGGGATCTGCCAAAGTCAGCGACATCCGTCTGTAATGACAGCAGGCACATACTCTTCAAATTCTCGATCGTCGACTGGAACTGTAGATACTTGCGATATTCGTCAATAAACCTAACAGCATCCTTCGCATCAAACGGCATCGAAGTCAGACACCCATAGGCCAGGTTTCCCGGAATTCCTTTGGTCGTCTTTGCCTGAGCAATCCAATCCGAGACTTGGGCACAAGGCTCGATTTGACGTCCATTATTTTGTATCTGACTTGCTTGAGCTGCAAGGCATGTTAGCGCCAGTATTTGGGATGAGAGTACCCATCGATAATGCATCACGATGTGAGCGATGGAAATGAGTAATGAAAGTGGTTTCGTTTGCTTTTCAGATTTAACAGGCGTCGCCGATATGATGCATCATAATATTTGTACAGTTTCAGGGGCCACGAGCAGACTGATTGACGTCTGATCTGGGCAGATCTTTCTTTTTATATCGCATGATGTGTTGCTGTGGAGTTGGGATCCACAAGCGGTCGAAGTGCTCATCTAAAAGCAGGTTTCCTGTTGATCATCTGGTGTAACCAGTTACAAGTACAAAGTCTTTGTCGAGACCTCTCAATATAAGCTTGGGTAACCAAGTGAGGAGAAACTCCGTGACAACCGGTTTATTGCCTTGTCAAACAATAGACTATCCCTTCACAGCCAATAATCGACTTCTAGTGTCACGTACGGCGGATACTAACGAAACAACTTTACTAGTCGAGGATATTGCAATGGAAGAACTTTGTACCCCGGAGTGAGCAAGGATAGGCACTCGTTTATACCATCTTCCATCGGCTTCATGAGGGCCACATCTCGACACTTTCAATGATATCTTCATCTTCGTCCGAGGCTACCACATCACCAACAGTCAACTCTTGAGTACTAATGCCAGCAATAGCAGTTTGAAAATTAATGCACCCGTTCTAATTTGATTCTCTTCTCCTCCACTCATCCTCTGGGAAGAAAACAACATCAACCTTTGGGAGCCTCAACAGTATCCGACCAGCTTAGGATGTGCATATATATATTTGTGTAGGATGTCGGAAAATTTGACTTTCTGTCATCTTCGAACACAGGCAACCAGTCACTACTGAATCAGACCAGTAGAATCTTTAACGAACTCAATTCTGTGTACTTTGAATCCACAACTGATTTCTGCCATATTCTGATCTCTGACTGATTTCATCAATAGACACATCCCCCGCTTGGATCTAAAGGCCTCCGGATCCTTTATCCAATAACCACAGACCAATAAATGTTACCCGTCTTGGCTGATAAGCCCGCCAATCAGCAATAGCCATTCTGGCTGTGGCTCAGGGTCCGTCCTCTTCTTGGATCAGGCGGCTCAGGGGAACAAAAACTGTGTTTCTGTGTCAGTGTGATGATGAAAATCGTCAGCCATCGCGCCTCAAACAACCAGTGGCCGAATCTATTCTACCATCTTTCACTCTTATCAGTATAGAATTATCTTTCCTTCATCATCTCGCACTCACTGTCAGCATGCAATCCATCTTCTTCCTTCTTTTCCTCACATTCAGTGCTGTCGTCCTGGCTACCTCATCCACCTCCTACAATAAATGGGTCGAGGGTCTTCCCTCATGCATGCAACCCTGCTTCAACACCTTCTTTACGAATATTGCTCAAGCCAAATGCGGCAAAGGTGCCAGCAGCAGCACCAAACCATCCGACATAAACTGCATCTGCCAATCAGGCACTTTCACCTCGAGTAACGGGATTGCGCCGTCCATCGCCGACTGTGCATCGGTGCTATGCCCGGATGCAGCGTCTCAGTTGCAAACTGTCCTGGGTTCTTATACCCAGTTATGCTTGAATCAGGTCAATTCAGATGGATCCGTGCCGAGTCTAGGTATGTTCGTGCGATTCCTCCCGTCGAGCCTTGCTGATCTTTCATAGGGAGCACAACGCCGGTGTCTGGCTTGGATGCAATCCTTGTGTCGGGCGGTATTGCCCTTCTTCAATGTGTCTTATAGTCGGTTGTGTCTGTCGTGCTTTTCTCGCTCTGTTGATATGATGCATAGTGATGATCTATTGCTTGGGTATGGCTGTCTCCAAGATTTCATTTCTCGTAAACCCTTCGTGCATGTAAAACCAGGCAGTGCAATATTGTCTGGTATAATGGCGTTTCTCTGTAATGAAACGCTCGCGTCGCAGCATCTCGACTGCTACGATGGACCAGTAAGAGTAATTCTCCGATGTAAGCTAGAAGAATTTGTTTAAAAGGAGCACATGCATACGCTCTATGCACTTGACCTATACCAAACAGTGTTGAGCATAGATTTCACTTCGCTTATAATAGCAAGGCAAATTACTCGCCCCATTTCGAAAGCTTCTCCTCGTTCATCACCAATCAAAGCTGTTGAAGAATAGCAACAATGTGGGATAAGCTTCACGACTGCTGACAGTTGCAAATATAATTGCACAGCCACCCACTTACCAAAGCCCGTGCCACGTGTATGTACCCATGAATTCCGATCGACAAGCACCTAGACCATTTCAAAAGATAAAAAAAGGACCTCAAAGACTGAAACAGCACATTCAGCCCCAGAAACATCGTTCGGCCCCAAGCGGCCCCAGCTCCGCAGCTTTAGCGCTGATCGTCTGGCACAGCCCAAGCCAAGATTGCTTCGAAAGCTTAGCCGGTACGAGGTGATCGCTTGTTGGGCTAAGGTTCAATACGAGGCTGAGGTTTGATCTCGCAGTGGAATGGCCATCGCTATGACACGGTGTCCCAGCTATTTTTATGACAGACAGTCTCGTTAGGAAGGTATAAAGGGGTTCAATCCCGTTGCATACTATGACGATGAACATGACATCGAAAGACCAGCATCGACTATTCCCTCGCCTCTTCTCCAATATCACACGTGATCATATCGAATCAAAATGTGTCTCCTTATTCCTCTCTTCCTCGCCAAGAACAAAAGAGCACAGCAGAAAGGGGGTGATTCTGACTACGCAAGACCTCGACCATCAATGAGAGAACAACCCAATTCGCAATGGATCAGAGAACATCGTCAGCCGTATTCCCATCATGGCATTAGACAATCAAGAAGCAGCGTTAAACACATCCATTGAGTATGTAGGTACTCGAGTTCTTCGTTGTAGGTTTGCTAACCGTGACAAAAAGAATTCGTCGCGAAGAGCTTGAATAATACCCGCGATATATGATTTCGACTATGGGCTGGCTGCTGGACATTGGAGGAGCTGGATGGCATATTGATTGATATAAAGTTTGATTTGGAAGCATTTGGATATACATTGATCTGTGTTTACTTAGCATGAAATTATTTATACCTTGTCAGTCATTGAACTCGTCATTCGTCCTCCCATCTCAAGATCAACTTGTTTTTCGGTAGACTACGACAGTCACTACTTCTGGTGAATAACAGAATCCAGTTTTCCTGCTGTCGGAAAACGCGATAATGTCTTGATTAATGCGGATCCAGTTCCCCTCATCTCACACTATAGATGGGTAATCGGCAACCACTTCAAGAAACGTAGAAGACAATCCATGCATTCGTCATATCTCATTATCATACAGTGACATGATATTAAACAGTTCCAGCAGCAAGAACATAGCCACCATCGACCACGATAGTCTGCCCGTTCAAGTACTGGTTGCAGACGGCAAACAGAATAGCGCTGCCCATGTCTTCATCCTTGCCCGGTCTTCCAGCAGGAACCTTACCCTCGTACTTCTCCTTGGGCAGGGAACTCTTCTGCTTCTCGTCGCTTTCATTGGCGGTCATTTCCGAGGGGAACACGCCAGGCGCAATGTTGTTGACACGGATCTTCAGATTGGAGGAGGCGATCTCATGCGCCAGCATTCTCGACACATGGATGGCGGCGCCTTTGCTAGCGTTGTAGTGGAAGTGGTGCTGGGCTGTCTTGACGATGCCTGAAATGGAGCTAATGTTGACGACGGTACTGGACCAACCATGCTCGATGTCGGTTCCCTTGTTCAACAGGGGGAGGAAAGCAGTGGTGGTGAAGTAAAGCTGGGTGACGTTGGTGCGGAAGATCTCATCCCACTCTTCAATGGAGTTTGATTCGTCCTTGAAGAGCTTCTGGTGCAGTTCCTCGGCGCTCTTGCTGTCAGTGTCCTGTGAAGTTCCAGAGATACCAGCGTTGTTGACGAGGATGTGCAGTGCCTTTTCCTTGGAGGAGATTTCGTCGACAAGTTTCTGGATGGATTGCTTGCTGGTGACATCGGCGGTGATGGGAATAATCTGTCCGGGAATGTTGTGCGAGTACAATTCTGCAACACGGTCGAGCTTTTCTCCCGTCCGGCCAGTGATGTATACCTTGGCACCGTTGACAGCCAGTGCCTGTGTGATCATGAGGCCAATTCCCGAACCACCTCCAGTGACGAGGGCAACTGCGCTGGTCAGTATCGTATCATCTGGACGGCTGGAACAACATACCTCGGCCCTTGACGCTGAAGAGGTTTTCGAGCTTGAAACGCTGATTCTGTTGTTGAGCGTCCGACATGGTGATTGCTTGTTTATGCTTTTTCTCTTCGTGATGGGTCTTAATTTGTGGAAGTGAGGTGAGTTCGGTCGATCTTTGTTGATCCGGCTGGGCACTGCCGTTGGCTCTATATAAGTGCAAGACTGAAACAGGCCATACATACTATCATCATGTTGGCGTAATTCGATGCATGTGAAGCCAAAAACCTGGCTCAGTGGCGAGTCTAGATGCAAATGTGTGGAGAAGTTGAAAACCGTTGAGGAATTCATCAGCATGACGTAGTTATCAAGAGCGATGATTCTCAACTGTATATTTCTACAACATATTCAGTAAACACATAAACCATGAGGAGGATAAATTATATCATTTCAATCTTATTCGTTAAACTGCAGACATTGATCGCACGCTCGTATATCAGATCATCCTATGAAGGGCTAATTAGCTGTGCATGGGAGCTAGTACTTTAGTCGAATGCTCGACAACGAAGCATTGGAAAGTGATTGATGATATATAATTAAACAATATAAGTCCAGCATATTAAGATGCTGTCTGTATTCAGCAGTCTCTAGGTACATTCCGACACTGTCCAATTGGCAGTGCAATCGAAGAGTAACTGTCAAAGATACAATGCTCCTGGCATAATCGAGAATTAACACTCTACTCTCTATAAATAGTATAGATCACGTGTACAAATGTACAATTGACATTCATCAAATTAAACTAACAGTCATAACCCCTGATTATCTAATATACAGTTCGTCATAGCTCATTCTCATAACTTAATGATCACCGAGTCCCATAGCATTCTTCGCCTTCTGGCCCCTATCGCGACAAGTTAGCACCTGATCAGTCAGATTTCCTCCGGATGCGGGGAACATACATTGTCTCGGTGCTGCTACCATGGGTCTGGTTGTCCGTCTCGCCACGCACGGAATCGTAGGCCTGCTGCGAGTACGACTTTTGGTTGTCGCCTTGTGCGCTGCCGGTGAGACGGTCGGTAGCGTCGGTGAAGGTCTCCTTCATTTTGTCCATGGAGGACTTTTGGGAGTCAGGAGTGACCTTCTCCTGAGCCTCTGTTGCGGAGTTAGAATTGATCTGTTGCTGGTGAGCTGGTGAACATACTGGTAGAGAAATCCTTGCGGCCGGTGTCAGACATGTTGATAGTAATGTTGGTTTGAAATGTAAGAGTTGTGTTTGAATTGACTTCTGTGAAATGCTTCTGATTTGATGATCTGTCCTAGAATGAGAAACGACGACTGAAAAAGTACCCTTCTTATATGTCCTTCAGGACGCGATCGACCATCAACGAGGTAGGAGTTAGACGTCATGGCTTGTGACACGGCCTGATCAGGGATAGAGCAGCCAAACGGCTGGGTTCATGAATCACCATTTTCTGGGGAAGTACATTGTCGGGCTGTTTCTTGCCACTTGTGGTGGGGGAATGTGATAGTCGATGTGATGATTTTCGACGTCATCGTCTTCGGCAAGTGTTGTAGATCACCGATAACTTTAACCTTCCTTTCCCAGGGACCCAGTTAATATGACATGCGATATTGTCATTCGATCTACATTTCTATCCTCGATCGTACCTTGACAAGGTCTGCTCATTGCAAAGAACAAACATTCAATCCTTCTAGAACTACTAATAGGTCTATGGACTCTCTTTCCCTCATATGGGTCAATTCTACTATTATGTATTCAATGACGTCATCAATTTGGATATCCGAAGTTGGACACCGGAGTCGGATACCATCATCCCAGAATAAGTAGATAGATTCTGACTAATTATTTACGGAGTATTGCCTCTGCCAGAATCGTTGCAGAACGTCAGTCATGGAGCTTACAGGTGTAGGTGTAAATTTATCAATTAGATATATTTTTGTATTTGAGTAGTTTACATGGTCATTCTGATAACGACTGATAACGACCAACTCTGAAAGAGCGAAATAGTAGTCCAGTAGTCTGCAAGCTCGGGCACACGGGGATATCACCGTCGCTGTGGCCCAAGCGTCCGCCTTCGAGATACAAAACTGGTCGGCACAAAACAGATACAACACTCGTACTGCCCCTGCTCATTGGTACTGTACCGCACACAGGTGAGGCAGACGCGATGCCCACACTTGGTAAGAAACACCTCCCGACCATCGACTGCGACGCACGAATGGCAGAAGCTCGTCGGATCGGGCAGATCGCCCCGCTGGATTCTCCGCTCCATTTCGGCGACTAGCTCCTTGCCCTTTTCTGCGCGGGCGCGCAGTAGCCGCACGCGGTACTGGAGAGCCTCCATTTCAGCAGCGCTCGTCCCGTGCGACTCGGACCAGCTCGCCGGCGTGGGGATCGGTTCGAGAAGCGCAATCGGGCGCAGTCTCTGTGCGACTGGGATGGATTGCGAATGCTTATGCTCGAGCAGCCAGCGCCGGCGCAGCTGTTTGTTGAGGAGGAGGGTGAAGAGCATCTCGGCGGTCTTCCACGCGAGCCATTGCGACCGGTCGTCTAGTTGCAGTATCCTCGCATCTTGTTTTTGTGGTCGTCCTTGCGATGTTGAGGTGACTCTTAAACTTGTCATGGGGCCAAAGAGCAAACAGACAGACATGTAAACGAATGACAAGAGAACGAGCCCTATAGCCCCGGTTTGCCGTGATGGGAAAGAGGCAAAGGGTCAGTTTCTCTTCGACCACCTGGGTTGGCTGGCAGTGGTCGAGTGTCTTTTCACATCTGGACGGCATTGTTATATATATTCATGCCTATCAACATTTCCGAGGTGGGTTTGCGGCATCGGCCGATCCGATCAGCCACAATTCTTGCAGTTTCGGCCGGTTTGGAGCCATTGACTGGAACGGAGACATATCCAATCCATGGCTGCAGGAAGATAATTCCCCAGACCCTCGCCACGCCTCGGCTCAAAAGGGCATTTCAGGCCTCAGGCATTAATCCAGTCGATGACGTTGTTATCACACGATCTGTTGTGATGAAGCCCATGATTGGTCAATTGACTCAGCAATGACAGAGGTAAGATACAGCTGATATGTGCTCTGCTGACTGGGTAGTAGACTGATAGCAGCTTTGCTATGCAGCGCCATATATTTCTGTTTATAGACTGTGTAGTGACCTCCACATGGCTTGACAGTTTTAACTCCAAAATAATACATATCCGATGCACGCCAGGATCCAACTCCATGAAACATAACTCACTAGGAGGGGTAATGTAATTGATCACAATTGAACAAAATCCACAAAGTCACCACCCGATGTGGTCCACGGTGCATCTGCAACCATGGACATCTTCATCGTCGGGGACTGCTGCTGCAAGACATCATCATCGTTGAACATCAGAGGCTGCGCCTGCTGCTCAGAGTACCCAGGAGAGTAGGTACTGATCGGTCTACCTGGCGCAACAGCCGCACCAGCCTCCTCGACCATCTGAGCAATGTAGAACTTGAGCGGCGGGTCTTCGCATTGTGCGTGCTTCAGCAGTTCATCCTTCAGAGAGAGCAGTTCGGAGCGCATCCGGTCGCGCTCCGAGAGAAGCCGCTCTTGCTCTGCAGATTGTTTGCGATACAGGTTCTCCAGTTGCTGGTTGCGTTCTTTCTTCTGGCGGCGGCATTTGCTGGCTGCGCGCCGGTTGCGCTCGAGATATCTCTCCCGACGGGGGTCGTTCTTATCATATACCTTTGATTTCGAATTGCGTTTGCTAGATTTTGAAGATTTTTTGGGAGAGGTGATGTCTGATTCTGTTGTGGCGGACGTAGAGGTAGAAGTTATAGAAGAAAGGCTGGTGATGGATGAGCGCGATGGTCGAGCAGAGTGGATATTTGGAGCGGCCTGATTGGTGGAAGCTGGCTTTAGCTCCGGACGCTGGGTGTACGGGGGTTTATTATTATTATTATTATCGATGCTGGTGTCTGTGCGCTTGGAAAGAAAAGCGGGATCGAGGACATGGAGATCCTCATCGCTCAGAAGGACAGGTTCATAAGTGGTAGAATCACCTGGCGGCAAGGCAAGAGCAGTGGGACTGAGGCTGGCCCAGTCCAGAAGATTGCCATTGGCCGTCTGCTCGGTAAGAAGTGTGGTGGTCGTCATGATGCAGGTGATAGATACACTCGAGCTGTACAGCTGTGCAGCTGAGCGATTGAGCTATGGACAGATGGTCGGACGGAAATGAAGAAGGTTTAGACGTATGATGCGATCACGGCTAGGGTGTGAGGCAGAAGCCCATAGGCCAATATATATAAAGCCTATAATGGTACTGAAGCCGTTGCTGTAGTTGTAGCTGTACAAGAGTGTTTGAAGTCTCAACTATCGAACCGGTCGGTCACTCTCTTTTAAAGAAAAGACTAAGACATCCCAAGGAAACCTGCTGGAAAAGCCAGAGGACTCGTTCAGGTGCTGGAGAATGTTTCCTGCTACGCAGTTCTGGACCAAACGCCTCCTTCCGCCCCAGCCAACATATGAATCTTGATGTAACTGAACCCTGAGAACGGACATGAAGGAAGTCTAAAGAGCAATCAAGCTCAGAACCAGGGAGGAGAGCTTTAACCCCAGTCAGTAATGCCCAGCAACCACTCCGTGGACAGCCTACGCTACCCAAGGAATCATATTTAAATTACCTCTCGTACAGTGTATGGATAATGATCATGATTCAAGGAGGCACACTGACAGCTGCTTTTCCGCATAATCTCGTTACATTGAAGGGGGGTTGACGCAACGGTAGCAATGATTGGCCGGATGTAACAACCGGCATTGCACTAATGTCTGATCAGCGGGGCCAAATTTCTTGGCCCACCAATCATCAGTCGCTGTTTGGGCGAGGGAGTGGATTCCTTATTTGAGAGTGGACGACTAAGGTAATTGACAGCCCGTTTTCATGGGATTGTTGCGGCAGTCTGTCGATGAAAAAACCTTAAGGTACCTAGCTCATGATTTTCTGTCAAGGAGCCTCACGAGCAAAGGGCAACGCCAATATGGCACAAAGAATAGACAGGAAACAATGCGGGGTCTGTCTGAAGAGAAGATCTGCAGTTCTGCTCAAGCCACACGAGTTCGTCGGTTCGTCCTCGAGGAAAAGATAAAGAATTCCACAGCAAAAAAACCGAAGAGAAATGCACCACGTCTGATTCGCTGGATCTTCTTTCGGCCACTCGGGCTCCAGCGATATCTGATTCAACCTATTTTAACATCAGACTAGATTTCGGAGTTCCATTACCCCTCGGTGGATAGGAGGCGCTGGCTGACGTCACGGCAGTGCGTAGCTGCATTGGAAAAAGAGAACATGATCCATCCGCTTAACGATGAGAGAAGCTTAAAGTGTGTGGAAATAGCTGAGTATCTGCTTGTAGATCCTGCCTCGGACCCAAGCTGTAGCCCTGGGCGATCATGCTCATGTACTGGGAGCAAGTACCTCTGGTAGTACTAGAGAAGCATAGAGAGGCTTCATGGATACTGCAATGCACAGTCTCGACTCGTAAGATGAAATTGGAGATGATAACGCGGAGGTGGCGCAGATACACAGCATCCTGGATTGATCGGCTTTCTGTCGGGTCCAAGCTGCTCATAGCCAGTGAACCACAGCTGCTCGTGCCACACAAAGAAACCTTCCCGTCCTCCAAGACATACCTTGACGTCACCGGACACTACGGGTGGGATCTACGTTGTATTGTTGAGTTTGTTGTCCTCATACATGAAAAGTACCAATCTACAGTACACAATTGAATGGGAGAATACTGCAGTCGGTCGGATGTGGCTACTCTAGGGGTTTGTGCCGAAGTTTGGTGTTTTCATGTCATACAAGACATGAAGGACAACTCACGTGGATACATTTCTCATTGCTGCAGAGGCAAGGGTAGTACCCTGAAACAGGTCAATCGGACTGTACCTGGCCCGTTATAGCATGATTCCTCTACACAATCCTGCTGACAGCTAGGGGCGTTGAGTTGATCTTGGCCATGCGCATGGTATATATTTTCTGCCAAGGATAAACTACAACCCCATGTAGAATCCAGGAACAGATCACAGTCGCATTGTTACAGGAAAATAAAATGCTAGCGGTAGTAAATTTGCCATAAGCGAGCCCTGTTTTGAGTCTTGAGAATGTGCAGCGGCAGTGGAATCGGAAGTGGCAAAGATCTAGAGATCTGATGCGACAGATCAAAAACTATCTAGTCCTCGGGGAGAAATGTCAACATCGGACAGTACTCCCAATAGAGGAAATTCGCCATATATAAATACATAAGGTAGCCTGTGGCAAATGCAAGCAAGTCTAGACTTCTTCTCCAATACTAATACATATTTGTCTATCTACCCCGAAGCGCCGACAATGAAGGCATCGCCTTCTCCGAAAGGGCAAAGACCCCTTGCATAATTAAGTGGGATCAAGGAACAGAACTATTATTATTTTTTTTCCCCTTTCCCTTTTTTTTTCGTACCATCCTGGGCTCAGTTCTTGCACTTCCTCTCTCGGCTGGAACTTCCGTCCCAATCAGGCGACCTCTTTTGCTGCTGCTGTCCACGAGGCTAGAGAAAAGGCCCCACTGGTTATTCACGTTTCTTCCACTCACACGACGCTCTCGGCACGACTTCTAGATGAGTCGGCAGTACCTAGTATCGATTCGATACCTTTACTCTCCTGCAGATTATTATTATTATTTTTATTATTATTATGGTAAAGCGGGAATAGACAAATCATAAATTATAATTATGATTTCATGTTAAAATACCTGTATGCTTATATCAAATATCATTAAATATTTAAATATTACCAGACCGAGTCCGTGTCCCCTCGTTCTTTTCCTCCCACCGCTGATCCCCAGTTACTGTCCGCCTCTTATAGTAGTAAGGTAGTAGCTCAACTGCCGTACCTTCTTTTTGAGACCCAGCATGTCCAGTGGTCCTGGTGTCTGCCTGTTTGTCTGTGACCCTGAATTGGCCTGAATGGGACCCAGGGATCAGATAAAAGGCCTGTGCCATCCAAATTTCCCCGTTCCAACCAACTATATCCCAGCTGTGTTCCCTCCTTTCTCCCCGTTGTTTCATCACTCGAGGGGGATGCGTCGCCTTTCGCTCGTTGCTTGCTTGGAGGACGTCACTCATTTCATCTTCAGACTTGATATCTGCCGGGTGGGTTAAATTCTGACGGTTAATAAAAATTGCCACTGCTCTTTTATAATCCTCGTGTCTGTCGTGTTGTCTGTGACTTGTGAGACCCTTCGACGTCGGAACACGTGTACGTCGAAGCGAGGAAAATGTTTGACAAAAGGTTTGTTTTTCTCTGGGATAGCAACGGCTTTCAGATCATTCTCGAGACTAACCACCAGCAGGACGAAGCAGAAGCCTGGAGCAGAGCTGATCGGGGAGTTTCGAAAGAAGTTTTCCCAGGTCATCACAGACCCCTTTCTCACACAACAGGCGTCACTGGAGCACAACGATGCGAAACTCGCAAAGCACCCCATACTCCCATCACAACAATTTCACCCCCAGCTCAACCATCACCAGGCGAATCCGAATGTGGTCGACTTTGTCACTCCTTCAGCCCTGCAAGCCGGCCTTCTTACTCCCACTGCTAATCAGATGTGCGCCGTAGTCCATAGTCCTGCAGGGGACCTTCACACCCCAACTGTAGAATGGAATCTGGCCAGCACGCCTTGGATATGGGATCAGATGGTCAGCGTACAGTCAGACCTTCAGGATCAACAGCAACCACAACCACCACCGCAACAACAACAACTACTACATGGACACGCGCCGACGGCAACCCGAGGCGTGGCGGTTTTACAGTCGCAATACCAGCATCATCTGTTTCAGAACATGGACCCGTTTGCATCAAACCACATACTACCGAGCAACGTCTCGTTCGGGGCAAACTCAGACTACGATCCATTGGACACGGCAAGCCATCGAGATTCATTTACAGAAATGTTGGGACATGTCGCGCAGCCTCTCCTCCCAGTGGCGTCGGACGCGGTCGACCGCGCCGACTTCCCTTCGAAGCCCGAGAATCCGTGAGTCCTCTACAATGCGACGACTACAATCGGCCCACTGTTTGCTGACTCGCCCTGTTTGTAACAATGTAGATTCCGCTATCGTGTCACTCTCCACGCTCCCACCGCTATCGCGGATCATGCGCATGAACCGCCAGTCACCTATCTCAACAAGTCCCAGTCATACTCGGTATCCATTGTCGACTCTACGCCGCCGCCGCACGCCACACAAGCCGTCAAATATCGCACGAGTGTGAGAATCACCTTTGAGGAACCGGCACACCGATCGAATCCAGCCCGGTGCTGGCGACTCTGGAAGGAAGCGCGAGGGGCGGTCGAGGCGCAGCAACGAGGGGGGAAGATGCGAGCGTTGGAGTTTGTGGACCTGCGTATGGGATCGAAGAAGAACGCGCCGCGGATCAAAAAGGTGGACAGCGCGTCGTTTGACGGGTTCTGTGTAACCTGGACGAGCACTCCGGAAGCCGGTTCTTCCGAGTGCGTGATCAACGTCCGCTTGAACTTTCTCTCGACGGATTTCAGTCTATCCAAGGGTGTCAAAGGCGTTCCTACGAGATTATGCGTCAAAACGGAGATGATTGGCCTCGAGGATGGCACTCCTCCTGCGCCGGGAGTTGGCACCGAAACCGAGATTTGCTACTGCAAGGTTAAGGTGTTTCGCGACCACGGAGCGGAAAGAAAGCTGTCCAACGATGTGGCGCATGTGCAGAAAGCGATTCACAAGGTCGAGCGGCAAATCGCGCAGGGAGATATCGACGGCAATAATGGTCTGGGAAAGCGGAAACGGCGAAAGGGCGTGGGACACGGGCTGACCAAGAATCACACCGTATCGATGAGCCTCTCCCCCAGCCGTTCCAACAGTCTCACGGGCATAGACGATCTGCACCGGGCTTTGTTCGAGCTGCGCAACCTCTTCTCGTCCTCCCAGCCAGTTAGTCTGCTCTCACTGCAGGGCGACGTGCTGGATGATCCGGATCAATCACCAGTTTCTCTACCTCGGGACTCGTCCACGCCTGTGTCTCTTGGACGGGACAGCGCGTCCGAGACTGATGCAGGGGTCAACTTCCATGGCGACCTGGTCGAACTCCC